TGATACGATATGTAGTTTACGTGATAAGAGTTATTCGTTGCATGGTCAATGTTGCGTTAAATAATAAAGAAATGAATGGTTATATTAGAAAAGACAATTATGTATATATATCTTAAGCGTATATATTGTTTTAGCTGCAACAAACATCCTTGTTCTGTCCCTCTATGAGTTTTCCTTCTTGGGAATTGGCTATTTGGTTTCCGTGATGCAAAGGCATCCCTCTATTAATACGATGGATGTTCTTCAGGCATCGTTGGAATCAATTCGGGACTCTCTTGCAGAGGAGTTGGTTAAAATGACGGAGCAGGTAAAGTTTGAATTTGCTGCAAGCATTTCCTGAGCTGGTGGTTTATTTCATACCTATCTTGTTCCATATCACTGAGGTTAATAATGTTCGGATTTGCAGTGTGAGAAGTTGAGAGCTGATTCTGCTCTGTTACCTGGAATAAGAGCAGAGCTGGATGCACTCCGGCGGAGACACTCAGCTGCTTTGGAGTTAATGGGTGAACGTGATGAAGAGGTATGTGCTATTTCTTGTCTTGACGTGTAGATGTAAATGCTTATCATTTTCTCGGTCTGCAAGTTCGATATCCAATGCAATCTTTGGGTTTCAGTTTCTTGGTAACAAACAGTTAGGCGATATATGCTTCCTGAATTCTCTCTATAGTCTTCTAGTTACACTCATTTAACATCTGGAAGTGGTTGAGAATTTCGTAATCTATTCATTGTTTGTAGCTGGAGGAACTGCGTGCTGATATTGTGGACTTGAAAGAAATGTACAGAGAGCAAGTAAACCTACTTGTTAATAAGGTAAGTAATGAATTCCTTCGCTGCCATTGTAAATTATATTGCGTGAACTCTGTCTCCTTTCTCTCTAAAAGAATGTTCATGTTTTCTTAACAGATACAACAAGTGAATTCGCGGTGATTATGTCCGGCTCAAGTGAAAAGCTGCAACGGAGGAAGTTTGCGGAGTAGAGTATCATTACTATTGTTTTTTTATGGTTCGATTGTTTATCTTTTCTCCATTCCTTTTGTGCTTGCCTCGCTTGGATCATTAAAGGATCTAGTTTCCAGCATTAAGATGATATGCATGATCATTAATCTCTCGATTGTCTCTCGATTGTCTGGGAGCGCTCTTCTTCGTTGAAGTGTTGTAACTTAGATCGATGGTGTTGTACAGCAGCAGGGAGCGAATGTTGAGAAGTTTGCTCCTTCCTGGAGATTGAAAATGTTTTCTTTTCCTGGAGGACGTATTTGAATTTGGAATGATAGTTATGGATGGACAGAGTTTAGCTGGAGGGCAGAAGTCCTCAATGCAGGCATGAACGTTTTCTGTATGTTGGTTTTCGTAATGTGTAGGTATTTTTGTAGTTGGTGTTTTACAGATACTTTCACATAGCCCATGCATCTCACCACTTCGTTCTACGTCTCCAGTTGGAATGGATCATGATCTGGTGGTGACAGCGACCTTGTAATTGGTAGACTGCTGCAGACCGAGTTTCCGATTCTCAACTTCCAGGCTTAGTCCTCTGATAGATGAGCCTAGAAGTATTGTACAAATATTCGGAGCCCCATTCTGAAGGTTTCTGTCACATTATTGTCGACGACGTATTCTACACCACAAAAATTACATTTTCATATTAGTGATAAAGGTTTGGCATGAAAGTAGGTACGAGCAATGAGTTGGTTTGGGGCAGATTATGCTAAACTATCTCATCTCTATTTCTAAATATTAGAAACTCGTATCTACATCGTACCCATGTGAAGAGAGGTTTTGCAGTCCCATCTTCATATTCACGATTTTTGGATGCTCCTGTGTGAACTTGCATTGTATATTCAATATTACTATACATAGAATTCAAAATGTATATTTTCAACTATAAGACTAAATGGAGTTAATAAATTATGAAGAAACAACCATTTTAAATACGAATTCAAAACACCCAATTCTAAAATATGCAAAGACAAAGTACAATACTATACAAATCTTTAGTCTCCAATGCATCTACTACTGAAAATAACTAATATAATCCTGTTAACAAAGGAGAAAGAAGTGAAATAGTGAAGATTTGATGTCTCGAGTCAACAAACCTAGTTAATTGACTCGCCAACTCAACTAGTTGCTAAGAAAATGCTATTCATGGCAACCATTGTTGGTCCACCTCCGGTGACGGGCCCAACACACTCCGCTATTCTGCCAATGGTACCCATCATCGTGTACATAAGATAAGCACCATCGATCTGTTGTGGCCTGGATTCAGCTCCTAAAACTGTCGGCTCATTTCTACCACAGAGAGGTCATGTTTGCTCTGGAAAATCTCATTGGCAAGACTATGAAGTTAGACTTCCAAATGAATAATCTAGAACAAGGAAAATTTGCTTGTCGTGCCGAGGAACCTGACATGACGAAACCTTTCCCAACTCGCATCTAACTTGATCCTTTCTGGGCAATAGGTGCTCTATGAAAATCTAATCACCATATGTTATGAATGTGGCTGAATTGGCCAATTGAAGATGATTTTCCCACGAAAAACTCTCTAGAATCTGATCTGATCGCATCACCGTAGAAGAACCAGTTGCCAGAAGAAAAGCTTCTACTGACACAAAAGAAAAGAAAGAGCAAAAAACTCTGAACAAAAAAAGGCTTTTTGGATAATTAAAAAAGAAAGGCGATTAATCAAGTTCTATGGACGTAACTTCTTGATTATCTTGGAATCTTAGATTATTGGCGATCGAGTAGACACTATCTGTGGTAAATTGGAGTTTGATGAGATTATTAGGGTGGATGTCAAGGGTCGCTCAAGTGGGATCTGGCTTGCCTGAAATACGATAATTATATGGCAAAATTGGCTAATGCTAACAAATAGCATATTACAGTGAAGGTGTCCAGGCCATAGAAAAATGGGTGGATTGGATGAACATGACACATCATATTTTCATCAACGGGCTACCTGTCATATTAGAAGAGATAAGGTCCTTACTCTTTGTGATGGCAATGGCAACCAGATTGAAGACAAGTAAGGCCTCAGCAACATGGTTCTCGATTTATATTAGTCTCTTTACACTCAAGATGAAGTCATATATGAATATCTTGTGCCAAATAATAGGTTCACAAGGCTACAACAAGAAGACTTAATGCAACTATTTTGGCTTTTCCACATATCAAACTACCACAAAGCTATATTTGATATAAAGCCTTACTAAGCCCCTAGCCTAGATGGTTTTCAAGCTTTCTTCTTTCAGGAATTCTGTTCGGTGGTGGGTAAGAATCTTGCGCTCATGGCTACTTGATTCTTTATAGGTGACATTCCATAAGAGACAATAAAGTCATTACTCGTGCTTATTCCCAAAGTCGATCTTCCGAAGACTTCAACTCAATTCAAACCGATATGTCTAAACAATGTGGCACTTAAATCTGTCACCAAATCCATAGCTAACAGGTTGCAACCATTGATGCTGATGTTGGTGTCCCCAACTCAGAGTGGTTTTGTCAAATAAAGACGGGCTAATACCACTACAACACCCGAACTATGACAAAAATGTCACTTGTGTCCTATTTCTTTTCAATATTCTATTTATGTAATTTCATATGTTCATTTTTTTTTCATTTATGTCCTCCGGATTTTGTTGACCGTTAAAGATAACGATTGACCAGACGGAGGTCAAACTTTTATTGACTTTTGCTGACGTGGCAAAGCATGTGACATCCACATAGGTGCCATGTCAATGCCACGTCATTTTTTACTCAAAATTATAATAAAATTGAATTATGAAAATAAAAATATGATAACTTTTAAATTCAACAATATTACTAAACAATTTTAAACATCCAGAATTAACAAAAACAAAAAAACGGAAAGAGATGGGACATTATTATCAAGATAGATTTAGAGAAAGCTTACAACAGGCTTCGTTGGGACTTTGTTCAAGACACATTTAAGGAGATTTGGTTACGATAGGCTTCACTTCGATCGACAGAAGCATGACTTGTGCAGCGAAGAGCAAGGTGAGACTAAACTGGAATGGTGATTTTATAACCACTTTTACACTATCCAAAGAAGTTCATTAGGGAGATCATTTATCTTCCTTTTATTTGTTCTAGGTAAGGAAACTAGTGTGGGCCCTGGCCAGTTGGCCGGAGGAAGGTGAGGTATGAAATTTGATAATGTAATGGGGTGTATAGCTTATTGTTGCATAGTTTTTTTTTTGGAAAACACGTGATAAAAATAGTGAATTTAGCAAGAAAGAGACATGAATGATGCAACGAATCAAAAATCGGCCTTATGAACCAAAATCAAGTACATGTTACCTTGTAAAACAATATTGTTTCTGATAATATGATGAGGTGGAGTAAGTTTTATAGAAACCGAATTCCAGAAAATCGATTAAAAAATTGTCTATCCCGTCGGTTTTGGGGAAATGAGCATCTCACAATCGTTGCTAGCTTTTACTCGGCCCGTTGGCCGATTAATTTGCTTTATAAAACTTTCATCTTGTCGTCATTGTGCTTTCTGGTTTTTGTCTGGCCATAATAAAATCTAAGGAAATCAAGAACGAACAACATGATTTGGGATAGAAACTGCCGTTATCGTATCCCTAGAAAATGGTGGTAAACACGGACTCACCTGCCAAACTGGTTTGGATTGAGATTTTTATCGGGTATCAAGGAACCATGTGATTATAAATTAGACTTGATCAAAACGGGCCAAAACTTGAAACTCAGCCTGTTTGACCGACCCATGTCAAATTCTAATTATTCTTTACTTTTAAACTTTCTATTTGAAAATAAAAAATAGTGAAAGAAAAAAGATGACTGCAATTCGCCATTTGCACATCACTTATTCGGGAATAAAATCATAGAAATTCAAAAGGAACTGAAAATATTTAGGATCATTTTAGTGTTTAAAATAACCAAATATATCTTTCTGTTTAGTTTTTTTACTAACAAATATCAAATGATTTCCTATAAAATACAATATAATTTGATCATTACGATATCAAATAATTATATAATATATATTTGAAATGATAAAAATTGAACTAATTGGGTTGGTCAAGGTTGAACCATTGAATAACTTTAAAATACATTATATTTTAGCCAATATAAAATAATCGCATAATATATATTATGCCAGAGAAAATAGCTTGTTTTAGAATGTCAAACCAATGATGTTCATTTGTTTTACTTGATGGCCAAATCCCGTGTAGGTCAGGCCCATCCAACTCTTTTATTTTATGGTTAGCGGTTAGCCCATTAGATACCAAGCATTAGTTTATTGTTAAATTTTTTATGTTCAGCAATAAAAAGAAGTATTAATTTTTCCTTTTCATATATATTTTATCACCACGGTGAAATAAAAGGGCTTAAAGAAAAAAAATTGACGCTCCTGGACCCGTTCAAATCCGCATGTGTACGGTAAGTTGGCCCGTTCCACAAAGGAAAGAGAAAAAAATTGATACTCCCTATTCTACTCTTCCTACAAACACTCCTGGAGTAGGGAATTTGAAATGGGAACGCTCCTGTTGTAGGGAATTTGAAATGGGGGAAGGGTTTTTCCTCCCTGCTATTATATGTTTTTAATTTAAAAAAATACAACAAATGTACTTAGTGTGATTGGTTGTGATCCTTGTTTTCTTTAAAATGGTCATGGTTCAAATCCCAATAGGTGTCTTTTTAATGAATAAAAAAAAGTAATTGTGAAGACCAAAATGTCCTTCCTATTTTCACTCTCATTGCAGAAAATTTGAAATGGGGCTCCCGTTTTTCCCTTCTTTTTGTGGAGGCATAGGGTGGCCAGATTGATGTCATACCATCTAGCATTGAACAATGTTGTGCTAGCTCTAGACAAAGCCCAACGACTTAGTTCCAGAGCTGGCATTAGTCTCCTCACAGTTGACCTAAGGACATACTTAGGGCTGAATGTAATCAACTAATGATCACTAAAGGCTAATAAAAAGAGTTAATCTTGAGAGTTCAACCAAGATTAGCAAACTAGAAATCACGACACCTTTCTGGAAGCTGGAATAACCGTGGTTAAGTTTATTTCCTCTTCTATGGCCATTTACCCAATGTTTTACCAAATTATTACCCTCGGCTATTTGCAATACTATTAACAGGTTAAATAGCCAGTTTGTGTGGATGGGGGGGAGGGAGGGAGGGGGTAAAAAAAATCCATCATGTGGCCTGGAACCCACTTATGAAGCCTCGCAATCATGGTGGGATGAGGATTCAGCCTACTAACCCTGTCAATCAAGATGTGTTAACCAAAGGATCCTGGAAATTGAGGACTCAAAAACAATCACAATGGAAAAATATTATGAGGAGCAATTATGGAAGGAGTAGAAGGGGACTGGATACACTCGTCAAGGCAAGGGAAATTCTTTCGCCTGACGTAGTTTTGTTCAGACTGTGAATATCTTGCACAAAGGTACAACTTTTAACGTATAAAGTGGTAAAGCTACTAACGAGCGTGAAGACACAATTCATCCCCACATGAAAATTCTGAATGCATTTCGAAGACCAATGGCTCAAAATTGGGTGGTGTGGTTAGTTCGTACATATTATGAATGAAATAGATGCGCCGACTAGATTTCGAAGCACAATCTCGTTTATCCCTTTGTTACGTATGAAATAACTTATCTACCAAACAAGTTGGAAGAAGATCATTAAGGAGGACATCGTTTTGGGATAAGCTTCCCTTGGACGATACCCCTGAACGTGAGATGACCCCTTTGTTTTGCTATACTATGTTTGATGTCTTTGGCTTGATTTTAGATGGTCATAGCTGGACTAAAATTTGTGTAGGAAACTATCCCAGTGATTAGCTCGTGTAAGCTTTTCCTTAATTCGTAAGCCTCAGGCCCTCGTGTAAGCTTTTCCTTAATTCGTAAGCCTCAGGCCCTCGTGTAAGCTTTTCCTTAATTCGTAAGCCTCAGGCCTCCTTTTCAATAAATAAGTGAAATAGCGAAGGGCGCATTCAGAGAAAGAGATCAGTGTCTGGTTTGGGCGGACACTCAATTACATTTCTAACTTTTTATTCTTTTTAATTATCCTTCCCGTCATTGACAGGTTAGAATATTGATCCATATACCTTGGTTATGCATTTATGAATAATTAGATTGGATACTCGATGTTAAGTGGAGTCAAATCTAAAGAATAAAATTAAATATTTTTTTATTTTTCATACTTTTTTTACCGATTGGTACCTTCTTTGTTTTAACTAGGATTTAATTTTTTTAGATAGATTGAATTTATATTATCTACAAAATAATATTAAGTTTTGGCATATTTTGAGGGGTTTTTTTTATCAGCCATTGCTACTTATTATCACTTTGTTTTTAGCTCAAATTTAAACACAATTTATACAGAATGAATGAGTTCATCGTGATCTACTGTGATTTATAAATGTATAGAAAGATATTTAGGATCAAATATACCACTCCATATTACCTTGGTACATGATGGTAATTGGTGGTTGACGGTGGTGAAATACAATAAATGATTGTGAAAGATAATACATGATGATTAGTATATTCATATTATCACGTATATAATCATTCTACAATACATTATATTCTTGCTATAATGATATACTTCTATACCATCATGATATAATCAATCTTATGTAATACCACACATTACAACCATGCTACATATCGCTATATATGTCTCAATCGTTTTGTTTTAAAATATATCAAAGTGAATGTCATTTTAAAAAAAGTAAGATTAATATGAGTTTTGCGGTGAAAAAACTGAATTCCTCTTTAAAAAAAGAAACTTTTAAATTAAATTTAAAAAATTATGAGATATTTACTCCCATGTGAAGCTAAATTAAGACTTAAGTGAAGCTCAAATCATATTCATGCCTAACATAAGAGTCCCCAATAATCAGTTTATTATCAAGAAGAAAACCCCATGACTAAAAAAGTTAGACAATTGATTAGTTTGTACGTCACTCTCGCGAGTCGCGACAACGGGGTTTCATGCGTTTCTAAGCAAACTGTTCGGGGCTTTATGACGTGTCCATACAAGAATCCCTGTGCGGAATTTCAAAAAGGTAACCTTTTTCTTAAATTAATATATTTTAATTTTAAAAATAACTTTTTGTCCTCGAAGAGCGGCAACCAAACACCAGATCTAGCAGAGTCCCCGCCATCAACTCCGTGCACTGGACACGTGTCCCCTCCTTCCCTTCTCCTCCTTTTTACTTCTTCTTCCTCCTCTTCTCTGCAACTGAAAAAAGATAATTTCGGAAAGATTCTAACAGAAACAACCAGCCCAGTCGGACGGACGGACGAATCAAACTGGAAGCCAGCGGATATTCACCCAACCCACATTAGCAGCTCGCACCGACTCTGCTCGTCGTCCGATCGCCAGCGCTGTCACTCTCTCCATCGGGAAGTGACACCAGCCATCTCTCTCCTCTCTCACCGCACATTTCACATTTTCCCTCTTCTTTCTGCTTCGCCGTCACCATCGAACGTCCGGTCAAGAATTATTTCTCTCGCCTCTCTCTGCATCTCTTTCCTTCTCCTTCATCAGATCGCTTTCTTCTATACAGGTATTGCTAGTTTCGTTTCCTCGTTTCTCTCCTTTGTTTATGTATATATATATATATATTTTTCTCGATTGCCATTCGATCGTTGAATTCTCTTTCTCCATTTTCCTCCTGTTGATTTAGAACGAGAGTCGGTGAGTTGAAGCTCAGCGCTCCTGCATTTGCTTAATCAGTAATGTGCGGACGAAGCTTTTCATCGCCTCGTCCGGATCTGATTGAATCCTTGAGTTCGCTTTGGTTTACCATCCGGATCTAAATCCAAGTAATCGTCGCCGTTGTATTTCCGCAGTTTGCCGGAGAAGGCTCAGATCGTAGCGAGGTTTAGGGGAAGAGTTTTTACTTTTTTAGTACCTCCGCCATGAGAGGGCGTCATCTGGAGAACGCCTACTATGCTTACAAGCGACTTTCCTCCAAGGATTTCGTGGATGATAGAGAAGAAGCTCCTCCAGGTTTTCATTCTCTCTGCTTTTTACTTCTCCTTTTCTGTCGTCAGTGATGCCCTTTCCTGTTTTATATCGTGTGATGAAATTGCAGATTCCTGGAGTGAGAAAAGGTGTTAATGTAACTCATAACGTCGTGTTTTTTCTTTAATCTTTTCCCAATTTCGTAATACTCATGTAGACTAGAGATGCCATGAAGTCAGAAATTGGATTAATTACTGATGATTGTGCAAGTTGCTTTCTCTCTCTATTAGTTAATGCAGCAGTGGTATATTCTGAAGCGATAAGCGAACTGAGCTGATTTGCCATTTTTGGACTGCAGATCCGATTGAGATTAGCAAAGATATTGGAAACCCTCCATGGAGGCGATCTCTGGTGCATATACTGGTGGCAACTATTTCTTCACTCTTGTTTGGTTACCATCTTGGGTAATTTTGCTTCTCCGGAACTTAATCCTGTATATTCTTTGTAAGAAGCGAAGCGCCTGACATACTGTTGTTAATTCTGGATGCAATGCAGAGTAGTGAATGAGACGCTTGAAAGCATATCCCGTGATCTCGGGTTTAGTGGGAATACGATGGCGGAAGGTACTGTCACACTTTGGACAATGAATTTCCCATAACTCGGTTCTCTTGTTTTTGTTGAAATTATTCTAATTATTATACTTTTGCCTCAAAATGAAGGCCTTGTGGTGAGTACATGCTTAGGTGGTGCCTTTTTTGGATCACTCTTCAGTGGTTGGGTTGCGGATGGTGTAGGCCGGCGCAGGGCGTTTCAACTTTGTGCATTGCCTATGATAGTTGGGGCTTCAGTGAGGTGAATGCTTGGTGGCTCAGATTCTTCTTTGTTGCATTCCATGTAGATTTAGTAGCTCTGACGACTCCTCAGTATGTGTGACCATTACCTTAAGCAAATCCCCAAACGTTTTCTTGCAGTGCCACAACAAAAAACCTATGGGGCATGCTTCTTGGAAGGTTACTTGTTGGAACTGGGATGGGTCTTGGCCCACCTGTAGCAGCTCTTTATGTGGCAGAGGTATTGCAAATTGAAACTCCACCATACCTACTGAAGGCTCGTTCACTCTTCAGTTATCGAAGTACAATGACATATTGTGACTTGTCTTTGAGCAGGTTTCCCCAGCTTATGTAAGGGGTACCTATGGAAGCTTGACACAAATTGCAACATGTTTTGGACTGATGGGGTCTCTTTATATTGGAATGCCAGCCAAGACGACTATGGGTTGGTAAGGAAAGCTGAATGCTGCCTACTAAACCGAAACTTCAATGCACTTTCAATATTGCGGGATATGATGATAGTATGACTCGATGTATTTGTTGATAATTTGTTCAGGTGGCGCATTTGCTTTTGGGTGTCTGCCATTCCTGCTGCATTACTTGCTATTCTGATGGAGTTTTGTGCAGAGAGCCCTTACTGGCTTTTAAAGGTACCTGCTCATGGTCTCAGTTCATTGTTTATCATGTTAACAAGTGTTATCTGTTTATCTCTAGATAACAGTTTCTCCGAAAATAAAAATCTCTAGATAACAGTTACTAGAAATTGGACATAAAAGTTATAGTTGAAACAAGATTATGAATAATTTTTACGGAGGGAGAAACAGGGTTTGGTCAGTGTTTTCAGATATGGAGCGTATATAACAAGAGAAGGAAGTCCATGCCTATTAAATTATGGGTTATGAGAGGTGTTGTCGTATCTTGTAAGCATAGTTTATGTGCTCATCTGATTGATTATATTAATTAGTTATTATCTTTTTAAATTACTTCAGAGCGGACGAAGTGGTGAAGCTGAAGTTGAGTTTGAGAGACTTTTAGGAGCGTTGCATGTCAAATCTGCAATGGCAGAATTATCGAAGTCGGACGGGAGAGATGAAGTGGAGAAAGTCAAGTTCACAGAGTTGCTTTATGGCCGCCATTTTAAAGGTCCCAGATTACAAATGTTTTACTTAATGTTCGGGCTTCAGTTTTCTTCCAAATAATTACACCCGATTCCCTCGATTTGCAGTGGTTTTCATTGGGTCTACCCTTTTTGCCTTACAACAGCTATCAGGGATAAATGCTGTGTTTTATTTCTCATCAACTGTCTTTAAAAGTGCTGGTGTACCATCAGACTTTGCCAACACGTGTGTAGGACTCTGCAACTTGTTTGGTAAAGAAAGCATTTCTACCCCACGTTTATCTTTGCTTTGCTATACGTTGAGTGTTTTATTAACTTCAATTCACTCACATTTTTCAGGCTCTGTAGTTGCTATGATTTTGATGGATAGATTAGGGAGAAGGGTGCTTCTCATGGGCAGTTTCTTCGGTATGGTAAGAACGAAAAAATGCTTCTGACTTGAAAACTTGTTGCATTGTTCCAATAAAGGAAATTTTGTTTTCTGCCAGAAGAGTGGCAGCAACATATGAAGAAAATTATGGGGGGATACAGCTTATCTGCTAGCCCGAAAAATCTTTGTTATATGAAATAAGCCTAGTTGCTCATCTTTTAGTTTTTCTTGTGTGTTATAGCAGTAGAATATATGTCAGCTGTGATTCATATAGCATATTTCTGTACTTCTTTACAGGCAGTATCAATGTGCATCCAAGCTATCGGAGCGAGTTCGCTTGTGTCAAGCTCCCAGTCAGTGTATCTTTCTGTTGGAGGCATCTTGTCGTAAGTAATCTCTCTTGACTTTGGTTTTCAAAAGACATTGCTATATGTTTAATCTATGTGCTGATGCTCCTTCATGTTAGTACTGAATAATCTTAGCCAGTACTGACTACTGATAGTTCACCTACTTTACTTCCCATACTTAATAATACTTGGTCAGATTGCAAAAACACAGTGTAATCAACAATTGTGAAAGAGGATCTAATGAGTCAGTGCCTTCCAAGAGCGTCACTCTGCTCTGTGGCCATTACTTTCTAACTGAATCTGTTCTGCAGGGTTGTCTTAACATTTGCCCTTGGTGCTGGTCCAGTTCCTAGTCTCCTCCTATCAGAAATATTGCCAAGTCGGATTAGAGCCAAGGCGATGGCAGTTTGTATGGCCGTCCATTGGGTAATTGATTTCTGCCGGTATTCTTTTCTATGATGAAATTGGGATGCACAATAGGATCCACTGATTACTGTTTGGTGTGCACACAGGTTGTAAATTTCTTTGTTGGGCTCTTGTTTTTGCGGTTACTGGAGCAAATTGGTCCTCTTGTATTGTATACAGTTTTCTCCACTTTTTGTATGCTTGCTGTAATCTTTGTGAAAAAGAATGTCCTCGAAACCAAAGGCAAATCACTGCAAGAGATTGAGATTGCACTTCTACCCCAAGTATGAAGGTTAGTCATTTTGTTATACCAGTTTCCGAATTGCTTTGCCTTATCGGACTGAATTATTACATATCTACCGTCATAGATCAAACAGTAAATACCAACCCCTAGGAGGCTAGGACGTAAACAATCGTTGTGGATGCCTTGCTTAACTGTGTAAGTCTGCCATCACTGCTAAAGTGATAATTAAATCATATTAAAAGTTATTAACCATACGATATAGTATATACGGTATTTTTCCCCCTTAACCAGTAGGTAGTCATGATTAGTGATGCCTGTTGCTTTTGAATTACAATATGGTGCATTTTAATATCTTTCTTTGTTCAAGTTGAATTCCCTACTTGTTCAATTGCTTATGTAGTCCTACGTACTGCTGGTGAGTCATTCTTCTCCTTATCACCACAGGTATTGTAAGTTATGGCTCCATCACCTAGCACATCTCGACCTGCATCATTTCTCGTCTATAGTTGGAGGTAGTTTTTCTGTTTTAATCTGTCCAAGTTTCTCTCTTGAACTGAGACTTTCATCTTTCTCAAAGTTTTAGTAGTGCATCATATGCATTTGGGAATGTGCAAACCTTTTTAACTTCACAACCAAGCATGACTGCATGCCTTCGTGGAAGAGTTTGTGAGAATTAAAGAAGCACCTTTGAGATAGCGAAACAGCCCTTGAAAGTCGGTCTATAGCTAATGAATGTTAACCCATTGCGTAACCTCATATGAGGTGAACTTGAAACTTAGGCAGTGGCTGAATGTCTGCCTAGCTTCCATTGGTCGTTTGTTCATTCTGGTGTGGATTGTATTGCAAGTAACTGACTAGCTTCATGGCCACCCTTTCGATATTGGCGATGCAGGGAGAAGACAACTGATAGTAGAGAGTTACTGATACAGGCATGTACCGGAGTTCAGCGTCGGAAGGCATGTACCACAGTTTGATGCTGCCTGGCGCCTGCTACTCTATGGCCCTGGGTTTTGGTATACGTATAGCGGTAGAAACCTGAGATACTCTTACCCTTGAGAGACGGGAATGTATATTTATTTACAGTGCAAAATTTCTTTCTGTTCCCTTCTTTGGTTGTTCAAATTGATGTTCCGCTGGTGGTATTTGTATGAGCACGTTATTACTTTTGTTCTATTTTATACACGGGACGGTCTGAGTTCAGGACGAGTCTGGCTTTCCTTCTTTTAGCATATCTAGTTTTTTGGTCCCTGCTTGTTGCGATAAGAAAATAATTATATTTAAAATTTTATGAACTTACTCAATGATTAACTTGACAGTTGACATAAAATATTAAGGAAAACTTTCACATAAGATACTTTCATAGTCTCTTAATCGTTATAAACCATTTACGTAATATGAGTAATATGAGTGTTTAATTAACATATAAGGAATAATCATCCATTTATAAGTTTTAAGTAGTGTCCTAACCTCTCTTTTTTTTTTGCATAATTATAGATTGATTATGTAATATGTTTGTTTAATATTGATATGTAAGAAAAAACTCTCCCTCCATAAGGTTTAAGATTTTTACTTATGACTTACCTAACTATTTAATCTTCCATAATGTGTGGTGTACTAATAAAATCAAATTAAGAAAAGTATCACATTTGATTTTAAACTTTTATGTAGAGGTTAACTCACTTTGTAGAGGTTAACTCACGTTATAAGCATTAGCCAGTCTCTTAACATTATGAAATAATTAAATCATACATTTTTTAATTGATATATAATAAATTATTATCCTTCCATAATATTTACACAATGTATTTGTAATTCAAGTGACTATTATAGCATGATATTATATAAATCTTATGTAAAGTGTGGTTTAATAATTAAATCAAGTTATGATAGTATAACGCTCCATTGAATTGTTATATTAAAGTTAACCAACCTAATAAATTTTTAAATAATGCATATAGGATGAGATGTTAACATTTTGGTTATTATAAAAAGAATTAGGTTACGAAGAAGTATCACATTTGATTAAACTGTTATATAAGAGATAACTGATCTTACATAACCTTTGTGTAGCGTGAGTTGATGATAAGGTCAATAGTTTAGTTAACAATAATTGAATTTTGATTCAAACTTATATTATCAAAGACATACATAATATGTTTGTTTAACTGATACATAAGGAATAATTATTCCTCCAAAACTTTTATGAAGTGTCCTGACCATATAGGTTTGGTAATACAAAATGCAACATATTCAACTAAATAAAATCATGTTGTTTAATATAAAAGAAATCTAACAAGATCCATTTTGACTACTTTTTATTGTGTGGAATTTTTATTCATATTTTATATTATAAATCCTTTAAAGTAATTTTACATAACCTCTTATATTAAACATCATTTCTAATAATTTTTTAGCGGCTCAATTACACGTTTGGTCACTCAAATGATATTAATCTTTCACGTTTGCCACTCGAATTACTTTTCTTTCACATTAGCCACTAACATTACGATTCGTTTCACGATTAGTCACCGGCCGTTAGTCTCCGTCAGATTCCGTTAACTCCGTCATTTTTTTATGACGTGGCAAATGGAACAACTGACTGGACTGTTAAATAATGACATGTTAATTTGAAAAAAAATTAGATCAATATCAGGCTCCACCTTCCCTCCATCGTCTTCTTCGCCTTCTCAAGAATCCTCTCCACAAAACCAAATTCCAAACTAGCAGATGCTGCCGTGAAAAATTAAACGGCAGTCGCGACAACAATTGTGTCCTCGTCGTCGTTAAAGTTCCAAAGATCTCCGATGACCCTCTCCTCAATTGATTTCTCTAGTTCTTCTTCCTTGACGGCTTTCAATTGACACTATAGTCGTGACCGCGATTGTAACCATTCACGTTTCGGTTCAAGTCGTCGTAATCCGAAACGAAATAATTTACCTCCCCGTCGAAAGCATTGGAAAGATAGGACCCAATTTAGTTGAGGTCGTAGCGGAACCCGACATTGATTCCAAGCCGCAGCAACTGCAGCAGCAGCAAACGACCGTCTCTGCTCGCGATTCCGCAGTCAATCAGTGGTGAATGCCTGAATGGCGAGAAGGAAGACGAGGCTTAATTGCATCAACAGATTCACAGTCTCAAGCTTGAAGGAAAATGAGAGGCAGAGTAGCAGATTCACAATTGGTGGGTTTTTTGTTCGATTGACAGGCTGGGAGGAGAAGGAGATTGAAAAAGAAATCCATTGATTTTCTAATTTGGTTTGATTGGCAGGTTGGTTGAAGGAGGAGATTGAAGAAGAATTGATGGGTTTTAGGATTTGGTTTGATTGACGGGCGAGAGGGGTAGAAAATTGTAGAATCGAGAGGGAGATTGAGGAATCGGTAAAGACATGAGATATATCAAATTATGAAGGTAGATGGATATGGATTTGTGTGGGAGTGGAAGGTTGTTGACGAGATTGAGAAGAGGCCAATGAAGATCTTGGCAACGGAGGGGAAATCAGTGGTGGAATTCTTTATGGATCTCAAGGTAATGGTGATGCATTTGTCGGGAGTGAGAGACTCGACCTTACTCCAATGGCGAGCTTGCGGAGGTAATCCATGGTTAGCTCGTTATAACCGAGAAGAGCGAGGATCGGACAGGAGAGCAGTGCAGAATCGCGAGCAGAGACGGCCGGCTACTGCTGTAGCTATGGATTTGGTGGTGACTGAGCCGATGATGGGAACGAAGACTGTATCGACGAAAACAACAAAAGCGAGGTGTTTGTCGAGAGGATTAGGGTGGGGTGTTAATAAATTTTTTTTAATTGACATGTCATTAATTAACAGTCCAGTCAGTTGTTTTGTTTGCCACGTCATCAAGAAACTGTCGGAGTTAACAGAATCTGACGGAGACTGACGGCCGGTGACTAATCGTGAAATGAATTGTAATGTTAGTGGCAAATGTGAAAGAAAAATAATTCGAGTGACAAACGTGAAAGATTTATGTAATTTGAGTGACCAAACGTGTAATTTAGCCATTTTTTAGCCAAACACTCAAGTACTATTTTTGCAAATTGCTTCTCTACAAGTTGCAGCCAGAAGCTGCTTCTGTAAAAGTTACCACACGCCAAACTAGCCCTATATTATACAAAAGAGCTTTTTAACTTTTTAAAAACAGGGTTTTTAGAGGGGTTTGAGACTTTTTCTGTTTTTAAAGTTGAAAAATACTTCCAAAACCTGAGCCAAATATAGAGAATGAATTCCCAAGTGATTTTTTGCTTCACATTTTGTTATTTGTAGGGACTAAATCTGTAGCGCGAATCGACTTTGAGTCCCTAAATTCATGGACCTCTCTCGCAAGCTGTAATCGCCATTGACGTTAAGATGGATTGTCAAATACGGGCCAACGGCCAGAATACCCAGTTGAAATCATAAGGGCCTCTCTGGTGTGTTATTATTTAGCCCAAACCCAAAAGAGCCCATTCCTTATCCAGTCCATGACTGATAGTCTGATAGAACAGTCAGTGACTAGCTAGCTCCCGAATTCCAATTGCTCTTCTGCAATCTCTGCTTTTGTTCCCGGCTTTCTTCGCTTCAGCTCAGTCTTATTCCATCTGTGACTGTCACGTCGGAGAACCTCCCACTGCGGCATAACAAGAATTGAATATAAAGGGTAGGAGCGTCGAAGTGAATTTTCCATGGTTACTTTCTGTTGCTAAATCGGCGGCTAAGTTTGTTGATCCTGATTGTTCACCAGGTGTTCGACGAATTGCCTCAGTGAAGTTTGAGTGCTTGCTGCTGCACTATCGTCGTTGTAGTTGGTTCTGTTCTTCTTTCTTCTTTTTTTTTTTTTTCTGTCAATTCGGAGGAATGGATAATAGCAAGAGCGATGATGAGGTTAAGAGGGCGCGGCTTATGGAGGCTCGCGCCAGAAGCATCAGTCACAATGTGAGGTGCACGGAGTGTGGGAGTCAGTCCATCGAAGAATCTCAAGCCGACATAGCCGTTCTCCTCAGGAAGGTCAGTAAAGTCTGGAACCTTCAATTCAATGGATGTTTTTCCATGCCCGTATGTGTTTTTTTCTTTCTTTAATGTTATCGGATTTTACGTACTGAATGTTGCTGTAACCATGTGTAGTTGATCCGTGACGAGGTCTGGTCTGGGAAATCTGACAAAGAAATCTTCAAAAAGCTCGAGGATGAATATGGAGAGACAGTTCTCTACGCCCCAAAGTTCGATTGGCAGACTGCAGGGATATGGTTGTCCCCGGTGAGTTTCCGTAGCTTGTGCCTGTTCCCCACCAAACTACCGTTACGTTGCAAGTTCCTGAATTCTGAAATGTGAGGCTTCTGTGGTGCAGCTTTTAATTGCAGGTGCTGCTGGAGGGATATGGGCTTACAGAAGGCATAGGCAAAATACTAATGTGCATATCATGGCTCTGAATCTGGTCAGGGGCGTTGCATTAACACCAAAAGAGAAGGAGACCATGTTGGAGATTCTAACACCTCCCCCTGCAGAACGAACCCCTCTTTCATCTTGGTGGAAAAAGTGGAGAGCTTGACAGAAAAAGGGTATGTCTTCTGTCGATTGGTAGCCACAGTCAAGTTGATTGCAATGACATACTGGTGCAAAGAATCAAGATTTATGGTGTGGCAATGCTGGAGTTAGTGAGACGATGTAAAGAGCAAGCAGCTTTTGCCTCTGCACCTCAGTAATAGTAGTCTTAGCTATGTATCAATGTTTGTTGAGATTATACTTGCATCGTTTGAAAGTTCTCTCCCTTGTAATTCCTGCATTTGAATTTAATGGCAGCATCTGAATTATCATTCACTTGAATTTAATGCAAGCATCTACATTATCATAAAACAATATTCTCGTAAGACTGTTTTTCATATTATGGTCAACAAACGCAAACAAAACTGAATTGAACTTTCCATATTCCTCTGTCTCGTTTGGTGCTTCTTCGAACCAAATGCACTTTGCTTGATAATCATGTGAGAATCATTTGATGAAGAACGATGTGTGGCATTGCTTTCGAAATGGTTGGTTATATGAAATACTGGGTTACATTGTTATAACCAAGTTGCAGGAGGGAAAAAGCTTATGCTGAACCTCATTGATCAGGGATTACTTGATGGTCTCTACAGGAGTTAAACATTAACTGGCTTCAATGAAAATGGTCTAATGTCAACTACACAGTGATGTGTCCTTTTTTTATGATGTACCTAGGATTGCTCCTAGCATTTGACATTTAAGTGATTAATTTGATGTTTCATTGACTGTAAATGACTGTTATTGTGATCTGTGAAGGTTATTTTTCTGCCGTTACTGATAAAATAAAAAGTGTACTATCTAAGCTTGTTAGAGCGGTGGAGCAACCAGATCAGGCTTCAGAAGCTCAAACCAATGTCAATGGGGACCTTTCAACTCCATTTGTTTCAAACAGCCATATGAGCAGGTCTGAAACCTCAAGAGGTTGTCGGAACAATGCAGCATTCAGATCAGCAAACATCCATTGTACATGTTCAGAGTCCAGCAAATATTCAAACCGAGATTCACCAAGATCCTCCAGCTTCGGTTGTCTTCGTAGAGCTCGTGATTGGACAAGCTTGGACTTCTGGATTGTATGACTGGCGCAAAGATCAGACAAATGGTAATTGCAACACATCTCATTCTGGTGAAAGGGGTCTCAGTTCTTGAACTTGTGAAAGTATCATCCATTCAGATCAATACAAGTCTCTCCTTTTTCCCTTGACAGCTATTCTTACTGTGATTTGTCCATGCGTTACATTTGGCCAAATAGCTGAAGTAGTTGACAAGGGGAGGTCATGTAATTATCTTCAACACATGTTAGATCTTAAGCTCCAAGCAAGTACCCAACAACTAATTTTACCCCTAACCGTCATTTTTTCTCTGCAGAATGGGTTGCATTTGCTTCTTGACGCTGCTCGCCTCATACTCTCAATGGCTTGTAGCAACAGAGAACAGAACCAAACCGAGAAAGAAGTATGGTCTGGTAGAAGATCAATACACAGATGTGGCTTCTCATATCTTCTGTCCGTTGTGCTCACTCTTCCGATAATATGGAGAGCTTAAAAGCCGTGGGCTTGATCTGTCTGTAGGTGAATGATGTATCATACTATCATTCCATTGATAGACATAGAACTGTGAAAACATCATCCATATTTAGAGGTGATGAACATGTAATGATTCTGAAGGATTTCCCGCCTTGGAACTTCGGGTGTAGGTTGGAAAGGGATTGTAGCTCAGCAACAGAAGAAAACACAACGCTACGAAGATCGATCCTGGAGAAGACAGGAGGAGGATGAAGATGATCATAAAGAAACCAGTATTGCTCCTCCTCCAGGACAAGTCATGCCCTTAGGGGCGGACCCACGGGTGTTTAGGGGTGTCCCCGGACACCCTAAATTTTGGGAAAACGATTATCCAACCCCCGGTAGTAATTTGGGAATTGCTATTCGTCGCCCTAAAACTTCTTATTCGTCGCCCTAATTAAGTTATAATACCCTCGTTTGGCACGAAGTATAGCGTTAGTGACATTTCTGGCCCAAGTTTTCAAATAAGACATCTCTGGCCCACTTTTCAAATTATCGGACGAATTTGGCCTCTGGGACGGGTTGACTGTCAGATTTGAGGTCAACAATGTTCTCCGTTGCTGACTCAGCATTCGACTCTGACGTGGCTTGTCCACGTCATTTATTTTTATTTCCCTTTTTATGAACATTTCTAAGTCATTAAGTTAAAAAAAAAATACAAACAAAACTAAAAGGGAAAGGTGGAGACCAGGTCCACCACACATATTTCTTCCCCTACCTCTTCCTCTTCCTCTTCCTTGACGCCTCAACCGACCACCACAACTTACCCATCTCTTGGTCGGTCTTTGCTGTCTGTTCCGAGGACTGTGATACAAAGACGGCTGTGAGAGATCTGGAATCTGGGCCAGAACAGGCTTCCCAGCCCGAGATTTCACCTCTGCCGAGTAGATAGCAAGGAGGACGGCTTCCAAACCAGCGAGAGAAGGAGCGGAAGTTGATTCCAAGGAGTGGATCCGGGAGAGATAAATTCCGGTCAGAAGGCGAACAATGGAGAGAACGATAAGACGAAGGTGAGGATCGGCAGAAAGGTAGGTTTCGTACAGCCACTGGCAGAGAGGATCGGATCCCGACCCTGAAGAAGGAATCGAAATCGCAGAGGAGAAGAGAGAGTAAGCGTCGAGGGACGATAGAAAGGAGAGAGCCGGCTGGTCGGAATCTGCCAGAGAAGAGAGGGAGAAAGAAGATGAAGGATCGGGAGCAAGGAGGGAGTTCAGAGCGAGAATGCGGGAGCGTGCTCTGGAGATGGATTCCCACCAAGAGTGCATCGGGTCGGCGGTGGAAGCGGAGGTAGCAGTGTTGGAGCTCGTCGTGGCCCCGCTGGCGAAGGTGGCGGTTGTGGTGGTCGGTTGAGGCGTCAAGGAAGAGGAAGAGGAAGAGGTAGGGGAAGAAATGTGTGTGGTGGACCTGGTCTCCACCTTTCCCTTTTAGTTTTGTTTATATATATATATTTTTTTAACTTAATGACTTAGAAATGTTCATAAAAAGGGAAATAAAAATATCTGACGTGGACAAGCCACGTCAGAGTCGAATGCTGAGTCAGCAACGGAGAACATTGTTGACCGTCAAATCTGACAGTCAACCCGTCCCAGAGGCCAAATTCGTCCGATAATTTGAAAAGTGGGCCAGAGATGTCTTATTTGAAAACTTGGGCCAAAAATGTCACTAACGCTATACTTCGTGCCAAACGAGGGTATTAACCCATTTTACTATAATATCCTTAGTTCATTTATTTGTTGTTTAAACACTTAAACCCTAAACAAACTTATAAATTATCGGTCGACTCGTCGCCGGCCATCGCTATGCGATTTGCAGTCCATAGCAATTGCGGTGGAGCTCGAGTTAAAACCAAGTTTTGCATATCCAAATTGATTTCAACTCTGCTCAACTCTATCAAATCGTTGCGGGTGGTTAGTTATCAGAAAATCCAAATTAATAATTCAACTCCGACTGTAAATTGATGCAACAACTCAATTCTTTCTCAGCAAAAGATATCACTAACGATCCCCCTCAATTCCACTGGAAACAAAAACACTAATGACCTCCTGTCCCTGGTCCAATTAATTCCAAGAATCCCCTTACTCTGTCCAATTAATTTCCAGTGGGATCATCTTTGATAAAACACCCCTAAACCCTTCTGCCGGCAGCGGATGTACGAGGGAGAGTGACGAGTTACCCTCTGTCTGTCTTCCCCACATCGCCACCTTTTTTGTCTTGTCGGCGGCGAGCTGCTCAGGTTGGGGGCGAGCAGGGGAGGCGACGAAGCAGGGGAGGCCGGAGTAGAGCCAGCAACACCTTCTGGTTAGGGTTTAAAAATGAAATTGGTTGAGGGTAAATATGTCATCTGGTTGCGCTTTAGGGCGATAAAATTTGAATTTTAGGGCGACGAATAGCGATTAAGTAGTAATTTACGTATTGACAAAAAAATTAAAATTGATAGTCGGGGACACCCCTAAATTTAAAAAAGTGATTATCCTACTCTCATCTTTTAGTTTGAGTATGATAATATAAGTCGTAGTTTGGGTAATTCAAACCTAGGACACTTTTATTATTAATAAACATAATTTTCATTAGGCTACAACTCATATGTTATTCGATTTTAAACACTTGTGTAATAGTATAATGTCATTCTCTATCTCTAATTATTTTCAAAATCTAACAATTAAACAAATTTCAAGCTACCCTTAATTTGTATTGATTTATGGTTGTACAACAAGTATTGAAAGAGTCTTTTCAGCTTTGGATTACATCAAGAACAAGCTTAGAAATTGAATATGTGATCAGTTCGTGAATGATTGTCTAATATGATATACAAAGACAATTTTTTTTTTGAATAGTGTAGATCCCAAGTGTGTTCTACAATCATTTTTTAATATGAAAACACATTGTGAATTTTTTCAAACTATATGAGTAAAGTATTTCTTATTTAAATATTATTTATTTTTTATTAATTATTTTAGAATTATTTGTATTTAATTTATTTTTTAAAAGTGGACACCCCTATGTAAAATTTCTGGGTCCGTCACTGCATGCCCTAGTGAAGAATGCAATATCTTTTCCTTTTTCCTTTTTTATGTATCATGTTCATATTTACACGTGTCTGTCATGTATTGGCATCATTCTTGTCAGATTTCCTTTCGAAGATTTTGTCAATCAGTTAAAGAGTTGCGCTTCAAATTGGCCACCAATTGAGGTTGCCGAGTCCAAAATGAACTTCTATGACAACCATATTCCTTATTGAGCTCAAAGCCGGGTTTATACTTTCATTTTGCGAGGGATTGTGCAAAATTCTTCATTGGCTAAAAAGAAAAATACGAAGTGGATGATCTTCTCTTCACAGTTACTCTTCGTATTCATTTCAAGCACAAATAAGGATGTTCTTCTTGGGGCCTCTTCTTGGGCTCTTCCAAGCACGATGGAATATCACACTTTCCATTGTTTAAATATCCATTTTAAATTTTAAGATGAAATGAGCTGATGATCGAACTTGATTTTGCGACATGTTGGAATGTCAAATTTATGTATAGGAGATGATAATATTTTTGATTCTATAACTCTTTTTTATTCAACTTCCCTTTACGAATAATTACTATTACTCCAATATTAACATTGCTTACATAATATTTATGATAGAAACAAGTCCAGAATTATATATTTTTACCCATCGTTGTTCTTCCTGAAATATTGACATAGCATTTTATTTGTAAATTTCAAGATTGTTAAACTGATTTAGCCCGTTGACCCGGTCAAGTAAGTGGGTTGAGGGTTAATTATCCTATCGGTTTAGCCTGAATATACGAAAATGGTCATTATGTTGTTCCTAAATTTGTAAATTATAACAAATCTCATTTAACATATAAGTAATAACATATATGATATAACATTACTCTAAACTAATATGTGATACTTGGAGCCAACATATAGTGAAAATCCAGACACTTATATAACATTAATATTCAAACGTTCAACTTAAAATTCCAAAGATAGGGTAAAAAAAAGAGGAAAAACATCGTATATGACATCCAACCCGATAAAATTGCAATGGGTTGACCCAACGGGTGTATGTGACCCATTTTTCTCACTGAGTCATGGTCAAAACGGGTCAACCGACGGATCGACAACGTTGCTAAATTTATCTTTTCTTTGTTTATTCACAATTTTCATACCTTGGGACGGAGAGTGTATGGGTAGCAGTAGTACCAGTCATGAAACCGACGTGAACACCACTAATATAAGCGGCATGATCGACCTACAAATTTTAAGCAAAATGACGTTGTTTTAGCGAATTTAATTAATAAAAAATAATTTATTATTTATTTCATGTATTTAAAAGTCAAAAGTTGATATAATTTATTATTTATTTCATATGGATGTTAATGATTTTTATATTTTTACATATTTTGTTACATAAGTATGAACCGACACAAAACGATTGTAATACCAGTCGTACAACGATATAAACCGGTTTAACAATAGTCTCGCGGATCATCCTCGAAGAAAACGCGACAAATCACATGCGCGCATTCACTCACTCACCGTCTTCATTAACTCCCTCGGCCAATTACCTACTCCCTCCGTCTCTCGATCCAAACTTCTCCTCCTTCATTACCAGCCACCGTACTGAATCAATTTTTTTATTCCGCTTCAGTAATAGATCATTATCAGCCACAAAACAATTTTCTCACTTTCCTGAGAAAGCTTAATTTTTCATCTCCCCCTAACTAAAATTATGCGCTCTTTATTACTCAAGCCACTCAACCAACATTTCTACTCCCGCTTTCATTCCTCTCACCGTCATCAATACTCCTCCTACTACTGTTGCAACTCCCCCTCACGTTTCCCTCATTCGTTATTTAACTTCCACCCACCTATCTTCTCTGCCTCCTCTTCTCCTTCTCCAGCGCCAAGATTTGGGTTGTCTTCGAATCGTCATTTTGGCTCTGGTATGCCTTGCTTTCTCTAACCCTTTACTCTATGGTGTTTGGTTATGATTGGGGGGGTTTTCGTATGATCAGCCTGGGGGTAGTTTGAAGCTTTTGTAGGTTGCCTGCTTTGTGTTTGAGGAAATGCCTAGCTGAGATTGTGCGTGCTACTACGTCTCTGTTCTTATTTCGTTATTGTTTTTATTTTTTCCCCCTCAATGGGAATTGGGCAGGGTTAGCTGAGCCAGGACAGTCTAGTACGTTAATGGAGGTGGTGAAATCAGTTTACGCTCAAGGCGGTGAGAGGATAGCCATCAGAGCTGATCAGAAGAGTTACAGTTATGCTCAGCTAGTCTCCTCTGCGCGGGAGATTTCAATTCTCTTGTCTGCCGCTGGCTTGAAGCCCGTAAGTTTTGGACTTGCTTCATTTGCCAAACTTCAGGGGTTCTCTTTTATGTCAATTGCCTTCTGATCCATGATTTGATCAGCCTCAGTTGCTATCTACAACTTTTTTTTTTTTTTTGGAAGTTTTGAGTCCATTATCACACAAGCAATCAGAGGGACAGAAAAAGGCTTTCTAAAGCTATTGTGAATCTTGAAGAGACGTCATTGAAGATTCTCTCTATTCGGGTAGCACCTGACGAAAAAGGCTCTTGCTTGCAGGTTGATGGTGTTAGAGGTAATGGTCCTCTTTGTGGTGCACGCATAGGGATTGTGGCTAAACCTTGTTTCGAGTTTGTTGCTGGAGTGTTGGCGACTTGGTTTAGTGGAGGTGTTGCAGTTCCGCTTGCAGTAAGCTATCCAGAGAGCGAGCTCTTGCATGTCATGAATGATTCTGTACGTGTGAACTTAAAACATTCCTCAAGCAATTGCCTTTATGGTCTTACCTAGTTTTTCTCTTACGAATATATTTTCTTTTTGTTGTTATATAGGAGATATCAATGGTATTGAGCACTGAGGATCATCGTGAAGCCATGGAAAAGGTTGCTTCCAAGTGTGCTGCTAAATTCTCTCTGCTCCCGACTGCGTCCAACATTTCTTCTCAGACAAGCGCTTATGATCAGAAAAATGTTGGACAAATGGACGCTCTAGAAGGTTTACTTAACCCATATTAAAAATATTACCTTCCCTAGTCACCGATGGTTCGTGCTCGAGATTTCGGACAGTGTCTGAGTTTTATTTGATTTCCTTTTTTTTTTTTCCCATTGAAACAATGTAGGTGATGATCCAGCGCTGATTATCTACACAAGTGGCACAACTGGTAAACCCAAAGGGGCTCTTCACACGCATAATAGTGTGAATTCACAAGTAAGTGATTGTGAATAGTGTTTAGGTAATCGTTTAGTAATTAGTACAATACACACAGCTCAAAATCTTTGCGAATCAAGGTTTAGCTGCCGGGTCAGCATAAATGTAAAATGGGATTGCCAAATGAAACAATTGCGCCAAGCTACATAGTTCTTTCTTTCATGTACTTGCTTTTCTATTTTAGGTTTGATTTTGGTCTTGAAATTGCTGCAGTCCTGGTTCAATTTCAGGTCCTAATATTGACAGAAGCATGGGGATACACATCAAGCGATCAATTTCTACATTGCCTTCCATTGCATCATATCCTCACAAATGGCTTCTGCAATTGTTATTCTAAAAATGACTGCCAAGCCCCCCCCCCCCCCCCCCCCCCCCCCCTCTCTTTCCTTTCTGGTGCTATTTTGTCCCTTGATATATCATAGGGTACTGAGTAATCCAAAGATATTGTGTCAAATTGCTCCCCTTAACTAATAGGTACATGTTCATGGTCTCTTCAATGCATTATTTGCTCCACTATATGCAGGTTCCACGGTAATTATTCCGATCTTGTGACTTCGGTTCAGAAACAAGTGTGTGTGGTAGATTTACATACATATGCTCGTCATTCATATTGTACATTTTGGTGTCCATGATATATTGTAATAAGTTGTATCTCATTGAAGGTCGAGTTTATGCCAAAATTTAGTGTGAAAGGAGCCTGGCAAAGGTGGAGAGAGTCTTATCCTCAAAATGGAGAGAAGGCAGATGATGCCATTACAGTCTTTTCAGGAGTAAGTTTACTTTTCCTGTGAAGTTGTTCTACTAGCAATATCAGCTTTGTAACTGAGTTTTGTTCCCCTACATATCAAACTTGTGTTGGATGAGCCAAAGGGGCTTGAGACATGGTGTAACCATTTACGTGAACTTGTAATCTTTGGTTGTTTGGATTCATACATAATTTTACAATATGCAGGTTCCCACCATGTACACTTGGCTAATTCAAGGTTATGAAGCATTGGACCCAGATCTGAAAACTGCGTCGGCCTATGCTGCAAGGCAGTTGCGGTTAATGGTAATGCCCCTTTAAACTTCAAACAGTTGAATGTTATACATTCATATGCACGGTGTAGCTTGGCCACCTTTAGAAGAATTGTAGTCTATCTTGTTGCACTTTTTCCTGCCTAACAAATTATATATTGACTTTTTGACAGATGTGCGGTTCCTCTGCACTCCCTGTTCCTATCTTGCAACAGTGGGAAACAATCACTGGACACCGCCTCTTAGAACGCTATGGCATGACAGAAGTTAGTGCTTTCACTGATTAAAATTTGAATTACGTCCTTTTGTTTTTTTATAAATCATAATTGATTTCGGTTGTTGATCTCTTGAATGCAGTTTGTCATGGCAATATCAAATCCCTTGAAGGGCACACGGAAAGCTGGCACTGTGGGTAAACCACTTCCTAGAGTGGAGGTCTGTGTGTAATGTAATAAGTAATTTTTTCCTCCTTATAAATTATAACTAATTAAAGCATCTAATGAACTTGTAACACTTGATAGGTAAAAATTGTGCAAGACGAAAGTGATCATGAGAATACCGGGGTGGGTGAGATTTGCGTTAAAAGCCCCTCCCTGTTCAAGGAATACTGGAAGCTTCCTCATGTACTGAGTCTGCTTTCTCTTAGCCATTTATGATAAGTGGTTCCCTGTGAAAGTTTCTATAGAACTTGGGAGATCTTGGAAGCATCATTGTGGTAGTTTACCTGCAGGTAACTAAGGAATCTTTCACTGATGATGGGTTCTTCAAAACTGGAGATGCTGGAAAAATAGATGCAGATGGATACTACGTCATATTGGGACGTAAGATCCTGGACTCTTAAGTCTTTATCAATGGTTTCTTTCCCAACCAATGCATAAAATAAAATAAATTATAACAAACTTCAGGTACAAGTGCTGATATTATGAAGGTTGGAGGTTTTAAGTTGTCTGCGTTGGAAATTGAATCTATTCTATTGGAGGTAATAATTTCTCTTCACCATGCACATCATTCCTCTTATGAACATGGCCAATTTGTTAGAGGCGAGAGAATGGATCGCAGCATGATCAAAGAGCCCTTTCCATTATGCAGCACACATCTGTGGCGGAATGCTGTGTGCTGGGTTTGCCTGACAAAGACTATGGAGATGCTGTTTGTGCAATCATCGTGCTAAACGAAGAATCCAAGAAGCAACAGGATAAAGAATCAAAGCCTGCGTTAAGTTTGGAAGAACTGCGGGAGTGGGCCAAAGAAAAACTTGCACCTTACAAGGTAAATAAATAACCCTGTCTCTGCAACTTAATGTCAAAATGCTCTGTTACTACCAATGTGAAATCATGGCACCACCTGTCCTTCTGCAGCTGCCTACTAAACTCTTCCTGTGGGATTCCCTGCCTCGAAACGCAATGGGAAAGGTACATTGATGTTGAATCTTAATGGAACATGCACACCGATCGTACGAATTACTGACTGGTGATAATAACAAACACTATCTTGGAACTGAATTCCAGGTGAACAAGAAGGAGCTAAAGAAAGTGCTAGCTGCTCAGTAAAGGAGCTAAATGAGGTGGGAAATGATTAAGGTAGAGGAGGTGAAATAATTTGGGAACTATAACAACGTATAGAATGGTGGCAGCCAGGAGCCATTATTGTTTAGAACTGTACTGTGTCTGTACCTTCTCTGTCCAGATTGCCCAGCATTCTGTACTGTAATTTACAAGAAGGAGAGGGGAAGAGCAGGCGTTCAAACCACGATCTCTTGGTCGATAAAAGCTGTGTGTTATTCATGTTTTGTCGAACTGTTAATTTGTGATTTAATTATTCTCAAGCAAGCAAGGCAACTGTTTTGTTGGTTTATCATTCCCTATCATTCATCAATAGATGCCAGGCCGTTCACATTTCGGAACCTTTCATCTTGTGTCCGTTTCATATAAAAAACAAAACAAAACAGAAGCCATAGCTCCAGAGAATCAGAAACTCTCCAACCATTTTTAGTGCAAGAAAACAGAGAGCCATGGGAGACGACGCAGTGACGATATCGAACAGAGGGCTGGAGAGACTTTCCAAGAATCCACACAGTCGACTTGAAGGGTTGACCATAGACGGACTCAGGATTGTGGAGTCTCGCAAAGGGTTCATCCGCTGTCACTTCACCGTCCCCAATCGCATTTCCGTCAGTAAACTTTCTCTCTTCCTCTCTGTTTTCTTTTTCTCTTTTCATTTGATATCGGGGTTTGACTTCACTGTTAGGACGGAGATGGGAACTGGCACGTCGGAGCGATGGCGATGATGATCGACGTTGTGGGTGCGGCTGCCATCTTCTCATTGGTCGGACAGGTCAAAGTTTCCGTTGATTTCACCATCTCTTTCATTTCCTCTGCCAAATCCCAGGTATAAAACAGGGGATACGGCTAAATGCTGCCCGCGTCCTTATAATTCTATTCAATGGACAAATTTTGGGACCTCATTATATGGACGGACGGATGAATATGTCGACTGGCAGGAAGAGATAGAGTTAGAGGCGAAGGTTGTTGGAGAGAAGGGAAAACTGGCTTCAGTGGTGACAGAGGTTCGAAGGAGAAGTAATGGAGAGCTCATTGCCTTGGGGAAGCAATGGATGATGGCTGGCCTTGCTGAACATGTTGGTAAAGTAAGTAAACTTTGATTGTCAGAATCATTAGAGAGAAAACCTCTTGCCCGGTAACCGGAGTAAACATGGTGACTGATGAATTGTTAATGGCATATTCATGGTGATTATTGTTTACGCATCATCACCATCTTTTACTTTTTTGGATCGATAAAATCAGACCATCATCACCTTTCTACAGCTTACTACCACATTTGGTTTGCCTAATTTGTGCCCTTCGGGTTTTGATAAAATCATAATTTTCTTAAAAGAAGTTTTTATGGATACACCAATTACGAGCAACATTACAGGTTGCACAAACAAAGTCATGGAGTAGTTTTTAATGACTTGGGCCACGGATCGAGGCTTGACAAATTGGGCTCCGATCACACCGTTGAATGTGCTTACGGTTGAATGTGATTGTAGTTATAGCGTTTAAATAGTTAGTTGGTTATCAGTTTTAATTGAAAAATATAGATAACTGAAAACTAATAATTTTTAATGGTTTAGACTCAATAATTTGATTTTAGTCGGTTATCGGTTTTAATTAAAAATTATAGATAACGATTAACTAATAATTGATAAATTATTAGTTTTTTTGGGTCCGTTTTTCACCAAAAAAAACTAATAACTGATAAATTTTAATGGTTTGGACTCAATAATTTGATGTGGTTTAGTGGTTAACCACTATCCAACTAATTGATTAGTGGTTAATTGATAAGAAAGTCGATAACCGCCTACTAATATACCCACTTTGTTTTGGGTTTTGGGTAAGGAAATAAGTCACAAGTTTCAAGGCCAACCAAACTAGCAATTTCAAGCATACCAATTCTCGCTTATTGCAAACAACTCTCAACCCAAATTCTCAAATGTGATAAAAAGTCAGAACCCTGAAAAACCACGCCTCTACGACGTCTCCTACAGTCGATAGCGCGAACCTTGCACACTAGTAGTGTTTGTTTCTTTGGTTTTTGTGACTGATGGCGATCTTGTTGTGCTTGGTGTTAGAAACCGAAACTAAAATAGCTAGAAGCATAATCGAAACGGAGACAGAGATTTACGTAGTTTCCTTGATCGGTGTGATCAAGACTAGTCCACGGTCGAAGCTATAAACTCATATTAACTTAACTTCAACATCAGGTTACAGGTTACAATAAATAGAGTACTATAACCCTAGTCGAGAGGGAAGAGGTTGGCATAGGGCTTGACTAAAGCCTTCTATGCTATGTACGCTAAACATATGGGATAAAGCCCATTTACATAACTCAACAGCCTCCCCCAAATTGATGAGGGTCTCGCATCATCAATTTGCCAGATATATAGGAATGGCGGCTAGCAGTGAAGGCCTTAGTCAAGAGGTCTGCAATCTGATCTCCGGACTTGACATAGAAGAGGCGCATAATCCCATCTTGAACCAAGTCACGAATATAGTGAAGATGAACCTCAATGTGCTTCGTACGATCATGAAGTACCGTATTAGTCGCAATCCAAATAGCACTGGTGTTATCAACATATAGCTCCATAGGAATCTCACACATAACACCAAAATCAGCAAGTAATCTCCGAAGCCATTCTAACTCAGAAACCACATCAGATATAGCACGGTATTCAGCTTCGGTGGAAGACTTGGAAACCTGATCCTGCTTCTTGCACCTTCATGAAATACACGAACCACCCAGACGAACACACCAACCCGTTGTGGAACGACGAGTGTCAATACAACCTACATAGTCAGAATTCGAGAATGCTCGAAGAACACAGGAGCCAGTAGCAGGGAGAAATAAACCAACACCTCTAGTACCCTTAAGATAACGAAGTAGGCGATGAACTGCAGCTAAATGAGATGTACGAGGAGCCGACATGAACTGACTAACTATCTGGACCGCATAAGAAATATCAGGACGAGTCGAGGTAAGATATATAAGACTGCCAACAATACTACGATATGCTTACCACCATTCGGCAGTAAGTCACCTGTCTCCTTCCCAGCTTAACATTAAGCTCCATCGAAGTAGAGACTGGTATGCAATCACCAAAACGAGTCGACTCAAGAAGATCATCAATATACTTCTTCTGACTGAGAAGAATACCATCCCGCGAACGAGTGACTTCCAAGCACAAGAAATAGGAGAGAGAACCAGTTCCTTCAGGGTGAAGGAAGCATGTAACCCCTTAGTAAGCGCCACAATGCTTGCTTCATCATCACCACTAACAATCATGTCATCGACATATAATATCAGAATAGCAATACCACGAGCAGACTTGCGAGTAAAGAGAGAGGGGTCATTCTGACTCTGTTAAAAACCCAGACCCAGAACCGTCAACTGGAACTTATCAAACCATGCACGCGGGGCCTGCTTGAGACCATAGAGAGAGCACCGAAGGAGACATATCGTATCGGGAATATCGGTGTCAAGAATGTAACCATGAGGAAGGCATTCTTGACATCCAGCTGGTAGAGAGGCCAACCACGATAGGAGGCCACAACAAGAAGAGTCCGAACGGACACCATCTTCGCGATCGGTGCAAAGGTCTCGAAATCCACACCAAACTTCTGAATGAAGCCCTACGCGACAACCCGCGCTTTATGACGCTCCAAGGTACCATCTAGGAGGAACTTCAGCGTGTAAACCAGCGGGATCCCACTACTGGCCGATCAACGGGGCGAGGAACCACGACCCAGGTCTCATTTGCACGAAGTGTAGTAACCTCTTCCGTCATAGCACGATTCCAATTCGGGTCATCCTTTGCCTGAGGATACCGAGTGGGAATAAAGTAAGAATCCACTTCATAAGTAACATAATCCCGGTGGCGAGGTGGAGGAATGCCCTGAGTAGAGCGCATGGAACAACGAACCAGCGGTGGAGAAGGAGGCGGTGGCGGCGATGTGGAGGGAGGCAGGGTGTCATCAGGGGGGTGGTCGAAGCCAGGGAGAGCATCATCCATATCATCGTCAGTGTCGAAGGACGGAAGACCCAAGGAGGTGTTAAACAAAGGATTGGTAGTGGATGAGGAAGAGTAGAACATAAGATTTTCCATAAAAACCACATTGCAGGCTGTACGAATACGCCGAAGTTCAGGATCATAGCAAAGATAACCCTTAGAGACATCACTACAACCAAGGAAGGCACAACGAGTAATTTTTGAAGACAATTTAGTACGTTCGGATCGGGGAAGCAAAACAAAGCAAAGAAAGCCAAAAACACGTAGTCTAGAGTATGGGGATGTGTGCCAAACAGTTTAAAATGAGGACTCGACTGACCGAGAATGGGAGTGATCTGGTAATTAATCAATCGAACAATAGTGAACTGTTTCGGGCCAAAAAAAGGATGGGATGTGGGAAGAAAGAAGGAGAGCACCAGTAATCTCTACGACATTACAGTTTTTACGCTCGACTAAACCATTTTACTGATAGACACTTGGACACGATTTATGGGTGAGAATTCCATGAGATTAATACAAGTTAAGCAATGGGGAAGAACTAAACTCAACCACCAGGATCTGACCAGACTACACGAACAGTTCTATCAAACTAAGTCTTGATCATTTGTAAAAATTCAATGGATATTGGTAAAAGATCAGACTTGAGGCGCTGGAAGTAAATCCAAGTGTAGCGAGTAGCATGATCAACAAACAATGCAAAATATTTATAGCCATGACGTGAAGTGACCGGACTAGGGCCCCACAGATCGGTTTGGATAAGATGAAAAGTTTCATTGATAACTGTGGTACTAGAAGGAAAAGCAATTCTAGTAATTTTGGCCTCAACACAGTTTTGACAAGAAAAATCCGATACGCGATCACATTTATTGTTTGCACCAAATAACTGTTGACGAAACAAGACTACAAGTCTGTTTGAGTTGGGATGACCCAATTTAGCAACCCGCAAATGAAATTTTTGGTCACTAAGACTCGAATAAACAGGAAATGAAGATACCCTAGACACCGACAAAGAATCCAACACTGAGCAAGATAGGACAATGGAGAGCTCATCCAGAAAGAAGATACGACCGTGCTTGCTACCCCTCCCGAGCTCCCTCCCCGTCTTGCTGTTCTGCACAACACAACCAGATGGTGCAAAGGTAACCCGACAACCTTGCTCAGTAAGTTGTCCCATAGAAACCAAATTAGGGACTAACTTGGGAACATGAAAGGTAGCCGGCAAAACAATCTGAGAGCCATGAACTGAACCAATACCATAGATTTGAAGCTTATCACCATTAGCAACTTGTAAAGACATGTTATCAACCGGATGAACATCCGTAATCGCAGAACAATTACTAGTCATGTAATTAAAACATGCCGAATCAAGAATCCACTCAGATTGTTTTGCTGGTTCGAGTTCTCGCCCAGTGTATGATGCGACTTCGACAGCAGTTTCAGATGGTGTGTTAGTCACTCCCGCTGCCTTGGAGCAAATGGTCAATAAGGCCATTACTTCCGCCTTCGCCCTCCCATTTGACCCATCGGAGCCACTATCATCAGCCATTCTTTCCTGCAACAGTCCCCAATCGAAAATAATATGGCCACGCTTCTTACAATAAACACAGAAGTTGCGCTTACGGCAGAATTCCTTCGTATGCCCCTTGTCATGGCAATGGTGGCATTCCACTTCTGAAAGAGGGACGACGATAAGACTGGGAACGGTATGCTGCATATGAAAGCTGATCGTTGGATTCCTTAGACAGTGTGTCGCCGCCAACACTAGAAGGAACAACTACAACGGGAGAAAAGGGACCAGAAGTGGGAGGGTGATGACTGCCGGGTACAACACTGAAGATGGTTGCGTCACCGCGCCCTGGACGAACATCAAGAACCCCCTGTGTTCAGAGACGGGTTTCTTCTCGGACCAAATCAGTAAGGATCCCTTCGAGCTTTAGGGAATCACGATTGAGCAGAGTGACGCGAAGTGATTCAAACTCCGGCTTGAGACGCATCAAAAATTGGAGGAGTCAGATCTTATTTTTCTCGGTCTGGATCTCGGCAGGGACTGGTTGGGAAAGAAGAGAGGCCGAGAGCAGCTCCTGCTCGGTCTAGATCAGTCATGTTGCATTGAAGTATGACGCCTCGTCGAGCTCGCCCTGGTGGAGATTAGCGAGTTCGACTTCCAGCTGGAACTGACGGTTGGCGCTTGTAGAGGAGTATGCTCGGCCAGAGACTTCCACATTGCTGCTTCCGTAGGGAGAAGTCGCAGACCGAGCACGATACTCGGATGGACCGAGTTCATGATGAGCGACCTGACTTTGGCGTCGTTCGGCACCGACCTTGACACATCCTGTTCATCGGCAGTAGGAGATACCGGCCTCTTGGAGGAACCATCGAGGAGCTCCGCAAAGTCATTGCCTTTTATGAAAACCTTGAACTGAAATTCCCATAGCGCATAATTCTTGCAGTTCAATCATGTGTCGATATGATCGGAATCCATGACGGTGAGCTCTGATACCATGTTAGAAATCTAAACCGAAATAGCTAGAAGCAGAATCGAAATGGAGACAGAGATTACGTGGTTTCCTTGATCAGTGTGATCAAGACTAGTCCACGGCCAAAGCTATCAACTCGTATTAACTAAACTTCAACATCCGGTTACAGGTTATAATAAATAGAGTACTATAACCCTAGCCGAGAAGGAACAGGTCGCCCATCTGGGGGAAGGGTTGCCTCGTCATACGTTCCCGCTATTTCTAAAGAAATTACTGGCTGTGGTGCATAACCCTGCTGTGGTGATGTCTGTAGTGGCTGTTCTGTGGCGGATTTGGCGATCTCGGAATTGGGTCTCATTTGGTAGCTCGAAAGGCCATGTCTTTGTTCCCGACTACATGTCGATCCTTTGATTTTAAGGCCTGGCTGCATTCCAGGATGTAACGATCTATTTGTTCTAATCTAATGATTATCTTTTGTAAAAAAAAAAGTTTGGGTAGCTCTGATTACCCACGACTATTGTTTGAAACACTTTAGTTGCGACGCTACTAAGTATGAGACAACCATTTTGCAGAGGCATCACGAAGCATTAATATATATGTTCAAAATTTAATTATAGTTTCATGTTGCAAATTATAACATATATATGATGTACTGATGATTTGAAGTTCTAGTCGTGTAAATGATTGTTGTTGCAAATTATGTATGAATGTATTGAAGTTGTACTTACAATGTTTACGTATGATGGTTTAGGAGACAATTTAGTGACTACAATATTGTCTATACTAAACCTTAGTATAGCCTTATAGGACATGACTAATTGGATACAATAGATTTGAGAACATATCATGAGTTATCCTATCTCAATAACATCACTCGAACTATTTCAAATGCATGCTATTTTAGAAACTTCTGATAAACCACGTACTTATCTAACTATATGAACTAATTAGTTTGACTATTTTTAAGGTATGGAGTTCAATGTTCAATGTTATGATAAACAACGACATATACTAACTTAATTATGTGTTTAGGGTTCAATGTTCATGGTTTATGATATATGATCAGGGCTCATGGTTTAGGATATAGGTTAATACAAGAATAATGAGGTAGCACTACAAGAAAATTGTTTTCTTGTCAAACGATCTTAGTCACATAAAAATTTCCCTTATTAAAAAGTACATAAGAGTCACGTAAATTGTATAATTTTAGTCATGGAAAGTAAACAATATGTTTTGAGCCTTCATTTCCCGTGATTAATAGCTTATAATGATAAATTTTCGTGAATAATATAAAATTGCCTGTTTTATCTAAAATAAATTTTTTTTAACCTCTTGTTCAAAATAATCATCACTTCTTCTTTTACCAAAATCTTACCAAGTACTTTGTAAGAAAATTTAATAACATTTGCTAATTCTCCCTTCACATTTCCATTTAGATGTGAAATTTCCCCTCATTTTGATGTTTTCATTTCAACTTTTCACTTTCACAATGTTTCCCTCCTCATTTTTCATTCTTTTCACTTTGCTTTCCCTCCACAACTTCTCTCTACCAAAAATGATAATTTAAGGAGGGAAAATTTCCTCCAATTCGACACACCAACATTGCAATTCCCTTATTATTAAGCCCGATCCTCATCTCTCATAAGCTGTTGTTTCTAACATTAATGTCTTGTCTAGATTTTACATATGAAAATAAATTATGATTATTGATTGACAACGCTAGCAAAATTTTGCCATGAACCTTAATTCATATATTATTTTGCTAAACAAAAGTTTTATACTTCGTGCACCAGAAAATTAATTATGTAATTTATTTTTTGTATATAATTCATGTGATTTTTTGTTACTCAATTTCCCTTCCTGTTGCAAAATGATATACAATTTCTTTTTACTTCATATATATTATCGCCCAACTTCTTCCTTCCCGCTCTAAAAGGTCGCTCAATTTTCGTTTGGATTGACCTATATTGTTGTTTTCGTTTGGGTTAATCTATATTGCCGCCCAAAAATATTGAAATAGGAAAAATGTGATTTTCTTCTTTGCTTTTAGAGTAGTGTTGTGAATGTATGTTTGTTAATAGTGTCAATTGGTTGCAAATGTTGATATCACTATTAATATTATCTAGTGTACTTTATCAATTACGATTCAAGTAATACAAATTTATTCAACATTTTGAATAGTTTTTTTAATTGAAGTATATAAGAGGTAGAAAGAAATTGGTTAAAATTTGTGAAAAATATTTTAAATTAGTTTAATAAAATGTGTAAGTTGGTAACGAGTAAGAAGTAAGTGATTCGGGCCCAAATGTACACATTTTGCCCCTCATTTCTTATTCGTTTAGCTTAGTATTTCATCGTTCCTCGACATATTTCGCGCTAGGTTGTGTTTGTTTTGATACATTTCAGGTCCTAACACGTGTGGAAGAGTCGAGGTCAAATTTTGGGACAATTGGAGGTCAAAAAGTGCAAAAACAGAAGAAATGTCCGAAGTCGTAACAGTGAAGTGAAGGCGTCCCAGGAAACAGCCGCAGTTCACGGCCGGACGAGGCAGTTCACGGTCTTCTAAGACCGTAACTTCGATCACAAACCGTGAACACCGAGGTGTCCAGCGAGGTTCCTGAAGTTACTAACGATAAGGCAGTTCACGGTCTCTAAGACCGTGAACTGTGGCCATTGACCGTGAACCCAAGACGCAAGGCGGTGCGTTTTGGAGATGACTGAGTTCACGGGCGGGTTTAGGTGTTCACGGCCGTGAACTGGCCAACGCGTCTGTGAACTGATCGTTTCGGGCAAATATGAAGACAACAGCAAGGAGAGAGAAATGGGAGCTGGTTTTTGTAGAAGACTTGGTTTCTTTCTCTAGGGTTTGCCCAAAAACACCAAAGGGGAGTTCTAGTGAGAGAGAGAGACATTGCTAGAGTGATCTTGGAGCATCATTGGAGGCTTGGGTGGAGATTCAAGCCTAGAAGAAGAAGAAGATCTCGAGCTCAAACTTGTAATCCCTCTCTCTCTCTAGAAACTCACTCTTTTCTCTTGGGTGTTGTAGATCCCTAACTAGGGGTGGGCATACGGTTCGGTTTTACCGAACCGAACCAAGTTCAAACCGACCGAAATTGAAATAATTTTAATTAGGTTCGGAATTCGGACGGAGATAGGCTGAATTTCGGGAGACAGGTGCTTTTTGACCGAACCGATAAACCAAAATACCGCCGAATTTCTGAATTAATAATGGCCCAAAACCTAAGCAGTCAGCCCACTCCCTACTTGACCCAACTAAAGCCCAAACCTGCCAGCAGTCAGCCCACTCTCCTTCTCCTATCAGAGAAACTAAGGCTTGCTGCTGATGCTGAATGCTGAAGTTGAAACCCTCGCAGCCAACAGTAGCCGCCGCCCGCCAGCCAGCAGAGATGCGAAACCGGAAACCCAAATCTACTCTGTTGCGTCCCCGTCGGCGCGTCCGTCGCCATCTCGTCATCCCCCGAGGCCCGAGCCCAACGCGACGCCCCGACCCAACCCCCGAGTCCCGACGGCCCCTGTTCCAATCTCGACTCTCGACTCTCTGCGACTCTGCCTCCGTCCATCTCTCCCATCGCCAGCCCGCCAAGCCACTCGCCGGCCGCCTCGCGACGGCCTCTCCCTGCTCCCACCGACACCCGACAGCCACCTAGCTCCCGCCGACAACACCACTCACTCGTCTCCTTGAAAAGTATAAAAAAAATGGCAGCAGTGAGCAGCCAACCCCATGCCAAATTTTCCCATGCCAAATTTCCAGTTCCAGCGAAACAGACCAGAAGGCAGCAGGCAAAAACGGGCAGCAACTGTGCATTTCGGTTCTGGGCATTTAAACCGAACTGAACCGAACCGAATTATAGCTGGGTTCGAATTCGGACGGGGTGCTGGTTACTTTGGAAATTCGGCATGTCCTCGTTCAGTTCGGTTCAAACCGAACCGACCGAATGCCCACCCCTATCCCTAACTAATACTTTGTAATTACTTGTTTAGACTGAATGACTATTTATGCGTATTGTTTAATCCAATGATTGAGGTATTATTCATGTTGATTGTGCATGCTTGTGCTTAGAAACCTAAGGATTGTGCATGTTTTGTGCTTAGCATCCTTAGGTTTGTGCATGTTGGTGCTTTGCAATCTAATTAGCCACTTTAACCTAGCTTAGAGAGAAAAATCCCCTTTCCAAGGGAGACTCAATCAAGTTGGTTTTCCTTTAGCTTTTTAAGCCACCTAACTAGGTTAATTTAGGGCAAACCTCAATGTTGAATTAAGCAAATTGGTTAAGCACGATTAAACCGTCCGACCCTTGAGTTGAGTGAGGGAGTAAGTCAACCACCGATTCCCTTAACTGAGAGGGCCGAGTGACACGACCATAATGTTCACCTCGGTTTAGCAATTGAGATTGCGGTCTACGACCATATATGCATCCCTCTGCAGTTCACGGTTACCTTGCCCTTAGCAATCGTTTCAATCCAATGAGTCACGGTAGCTAGTTAGGGGGAAGCAACTCCTGGGTGAATCTCCCTTAGTTAGAATTTTCTTTTATATACTTTCCCTTGCTAGTTTAGTTTGTAGTTCCATTATTTATAAAACCCAAAACCGTTTTGCTAGATAACAACTTAAGCGATTGAAGTAGGGGTACATGGACCGGCCTGAGTCGATATTTAAATACTTGATCTATACTGCAACGGGCTAGAGTTTAAAAACTTGGACTCTAGTCGGGATTAATTTGTGGTGTAGTTTCGTGCGAGTCAGTAACTACGCTGATGCACTGATCCGAACAACCCGGAACCCGCCTGGGCCGAAACCCGATGAACTCGCAACCCGAGTTGTCCGTAACCCGATTGAACCCAAACCCGATGAACCCGTAAGCTTACTAACCCGCAACCCAATTGAACCAGCCCGAACCCGCCCGATTGACACTTCTAGATACTGGAGCTTTTCAGAATGGGGCACTAAACCAATTCTAGCCTGTCTTGTGTGAGGAGTACTAATCGCAATCCTAAATACTTTGTTTAATAAACGTAAATACGAACGTATGTATTTTATGCAATTAAAATTTTAGTTCCGTAATATTGTCAAAGGTGTTCCATTTCCCAGTTCATTAGATGAATCTCGTGCTAAACACGTATAATCCTGTATAACAAGTTTAATATTTATAATTTATGAATTAAATTGATAGTTTGAACATTAGTTATATGTTTATTTATTTTTACAATAATCAGTTACATATATGTGATGACTATTGACGTACTATTAGACATACAATTAGTTTAGATATGAAGTAAAATATTTGTACGTATTTTATATGTAACTTATATACTCGTACCGTTTTACTAGCTATTAATCGTTTCGGTACGTCGGTTAACCACTTAGCAAAAAATTTATTTTGAAAACATAACCAATAATCCTTATCCGATCCGTTAACCACTTAGCAATTAATTTGACGATTAATCACAAACCAATAACAACCTCCTAACATAAAACTCTAATCGACTTAAATCTAATAAAGTACTAAATGAACCCTTAAGCCCAAACTCGAGTATCGATCAGTCCACCAACTTGAAAGCAACATTACCCTCAAAGTTGAGGCCAATGTCCATATACTAAAAAATTCAGTTCCCTCATGAAAATACAACTAATTAATGAGCTTTGTGCTGGAGTTGGTCTTCAAGAAGCTTCACGACGACAACTTGGGGAACTTCTGGCTGCATAGAGATTGGTTGCAATATAATTATATAAGTATGCACTGCCTCCTAATTTGTTCCCGAAGAAATTAAGAGTTTCACTTTCATTCACAAGGGCCCTTTTCATGGCTACAGTGACCATGCTTCCTCAATGTTGACCTAACTCTGTAACTCATCACTCTTAGGCGGGAAGGAACGAGAATCTGTATGGACATTTTCTATCCTCATTTTATCGAGAGTCGATCGTCTTTTTCTATCCTCTAACCTGTATCTGTCGCATTTGGAACCAAAGGAAGAGAGGTGATTTCCAGCTTGTTTGGATATAATTCTTTTGTGAAATGATCATACCATTTCCTGTGAGAATCTTAATTCTATATGGGAATTTATTTATAATGTTATCTTTCAAATACAAAATGCTACAAATCCATCATAAATTTAAAGGGTTTTAAAACTCAAAACATTCATTTTCAAATCCAACAAGCAAACAAGCCCTATAATTATTCATTTAAATTTAGATAATACTCAAGTAGAGGAATTTTACAATACTATATAGTATTGGTGCTATAGGTTTTTACCTTTATGGTACAACTTGAAATTGTACATTCAATGTTATGGTACAATTATAGATTATACCTACACTGTTTTGTACATATTCTTATTGGTACAACTTGAACTTGTACCTTTATGTGATGGTACAACTTCAACTTGTAAAGTTGTACCATAATATAAGGGTACAAATTCCTTTATGGTACAACTTGAACTTATACATTTAATGTTATTGTACAACTTCAAGTTGTACATTAAAACACCAAAATACTTTATAGCATAGTAAAAGGGCTCTACTCAAGTAAGCACATCAAAGCTCTATCTCGTCTTGTATATAATTTTTCTTGCTTTTATGGACATCAATATATTTCGAATCCGCAGAGCCCAACGACTCTAATCTCTTAAGATATTCCATGTATTTGATCTCCACAAATTCCTTCAATACCTCCAATTCCTGCCATCGCCAGGACTCTTCAACCCCATTGCCCTCTTTCCGACATAAATAGACTTCGTGTAGAACTTTTTGAACAATTTCTCATAGGTAGATTCTTTAGCAATCCCCATAAATTCAGTATCACATTCATCAATCATCATACCCCCTTGGTTCAATGACTAAAGAATGTCAATCAATTATGGTGGGGAACACTTACCCCCTGTTTTTTTAGAGGAGAAAAGAAGGGGAGGAGAAGGGAGGAGAAGGGAAATACAGTTCCCAAGAAAATTTTCTGCGTTTTTTAAGACACCTACAGTAGAAGGAGAAGGGAATGCAAGGGAAAGTTTTACTGCATGGACCGCCCCTCCAAATTGGAGAGAAAAGGCCGATTTTAGTTCTTCCACTCCTCTTTTCCTTTTTCTCTTTCATTGGCAGGGGTAATAATTTATAAAATATAAATATAAATAGAGATTTTGGCGGATGGGAAGGGAAGAGGATTAGAAGGAAATTACAATGGTAATGGTAGATTGAGTACCAACAATTTGAAGAAAAAAAAAATGAGGAGAGGGAGATGTTTAACCCCCTCTCTCTCATCCAACAAAGGCCGTGGCGATTCTACCTCCCGGCTTCCGATGTGATGGAGGACAGGGACATGTTTAACCCCCTCTCTCTCATCCAATCCTCGTCAGAACTCAGACCCCGGGATGGGGCGAGGTCTATCGGGGTCATCCATGGGCAATCGGTGCTAACCGGCGTCCTCTTCCTTGGACGACCGGTGTTCGTCTCCCAAGCCTGGCCAGTTCTAGCGGGCCGTCCGGTGAATTTCTGTCGGCCACGTGCTAATCGGAATCGTATCCGAATTCAAATCCCCAACGGCTGTGGTGGATCCCGGGATTTGGGGAAAGGGTGTTGCGATTCGCTCATCCCCCGTATCTTTAATGATGGGGGTTTATCCAAAATTCTATTTTCGTCAGATAAGTCCCAGAGACTCCCACTCCAAGTATGCCAGCCCGTGGTGTTGGCCAACGCGGAGGCAGAACCCTATTTAAAAGATGGCCTCCAAAGAGAACTTCTTATGCCAAAAACGCAAAAGGAAACTCTTGCTTGGAACGGAGGTGAAATCATCTTACGGCGTGGGAGTGTTTCTGGTGAGTGGTTATCCATATTCAAGGAGCCTTTTTGTGGCTTCTGGTCGAAAGCTAAGCCATTAGCTTTTATATTTTATCTACCTACTTGCTTCCCCTGGTCAATTTCAAGCTTGTATTGTTACATGCCGAGTGACAGAGCCTCCGCTGATCTGCCTCTTTTGCAGCTAGATACCATGACGCTCGGCACCAATGATCAGGTTGTGAAATTCACTTTGGAAGAAATCCGGTCGACTCGGGTGTGCAGGTCCAGGATTCTGATCGGCCGCCTGTTTGCGGAAGATGGGATGTCCGCCGCTGAGCTCCGGGACGCACTTAATCGACCTTGGCAGGGGGTTGGACGAATCATCGTGAAGCAGATAGCCTATGGGCTGTTTGAGTTCGTCCTTCCTACTGAAGCGGACAAGACATGGGTGCTTCAAAGAACCCCATGGGTCATTAATGACAGAATCTTAAATGTTCGAGCATGGACCCAACAGGTCTCGCACCATACATTCGAGGAACTGGCAGTGGCCCCGTTCCGTGTCCAAATGTGGGATGTACAAGACGATTGCTGCACACAGCACTTTGGCAGGAAAATAGCTTCGGCTACCCTTGGTCGCGTTCTTGAGGCGGGGGTTTTCTCTTGCACAGACACGAATCAAAAGTTCATTAAAGTTAAGACCCTTCTGGACTTCTCTAAGCCACTGAGATCCCAAATCATGGCTTCTAATGAGGAGACAGGTGGTTTTTGGATTCGTTTCAAGTATGAACATCTACCAAGTTTCTGTTATAACTGCGGTCGGGTGGGACATTACCGACAGGGCTGTACGTTTGATCCACCGTCTCGACAGGAGAAATATGGCCCTCACATGTCCACTAAGAAGATGGGGAGGAAGATCTTCGAAGGTGATGCTGATGACCACCAGTTTCGCAGGCACTCGCATTCGGTTTGGATCAATAATAATGCTCGAGAGGGGAGGATGGCGAATGTACAGCCATTGCTCGACTCTGGGAAGGATGACAAAAGGGAGCCGACAGTGGCGGTTCAGTCTGAGGGGGGTACCAGTCCGCTCTGGATGGGGACCTCGACGAGACCATTTATGGCGACGGAACCGGGGAAACCAAATGGGAGAAGCCCCATCCGATTCCCAATGACTAAAGCCCCCAAAATGAATATTGGCCGCCGGGGCCGTCATGGCAAGACCAAGAAGGAGGAAGACGGAAGTCCGATGGAAGTTGAAGAGCTGCCCCAGAAGGCTTCGCGACTAAAGAAACCTCCCCGTCAAAATAATGGTGCTGGTGCTTCGATGGCGGAGGGGAAGATTTATCCCGTGCGTCGGAATAGACGAAATCGCGGTGGTTCCCCTGTTCCCAGTCCGGTGGGAGAGTGCGGGGCGACGGAACTTAAGTTGGCCCATCGTCGGCGGCTTATTCTCGAAGATGAATCGGAAGATGAATTCGTTGTTAAGGCAATCCCCGCCCCTAAGCTAGTGGAACGTAAACGTACTGGCGAAATTCCTGGACCTGGTGAAGGGATGGCTCGGCGGGGGAGTGAGGCAAAGCCTAAACAGCAACTGAAGCCATTTGTTAAGAAAGGAAGAAGAGGGGGGGGGGGGGAAATTGGGAAGTCTACCTATCTCTGCGGGCGGCGGGCTAAACCCAGCAGGGGGGAGTGACTCATTACAAGAGGTGGAGGGCGGCGGGCTCAACCCAGCAGTGGGGTGTGGCCCATTACAAGATGAAGAGATGGGCCGTAATCTGCCGCAGGAAGGCCCGGTTGGAAGAGGGGGGAGCTTCCTTACCAGGGGGTGGAGCGAGAAGGGCCAGGGCAGGTGGGCCGGCCCATACTGCGTGGCTGGAAGATGCGGGCCCGGAGAGGAAGGCCCGGAAGTCTGGCCCACAGTCAGAGGAGGTGCGAGCCATGGTCTCGGCGGATTCGGAGTCAGAGGACGAAGCCCACTGTTTTGAAATTAAAAAACGAGCTCCCTTCAAGAGGAATACTGAGCCGGGTGCTAATTCAAAGGGAAGGGTGTGCCAAGTTGTGGCTGCCTTTGAGGCTGGTCTTACCATCAACTCAGAGAAAACGCCTGCCATGGAGGGCCAGGAGGGAGGGGCGGATTCTGAACGCAAGGACCACGGACGGGTCCAAGACGAGCCTTCGGAGTTGGATGAGTATGGGTCAAATCTAGTGAACCCAGATATTGGTACGCGTAAAAGAATCATTGATGAGGTGGAGGGGGAGTTGGGGGATGCTCCCACTCCCAAAAAACAATTTGTGGAGGTTGCTGATAATCTGGATCAGGTGGAGGAAGCCAGCCTAAAGTGGCCCCAGTCGGATATATGAGGCTTCTGGCCTGGAATGTGAGAGGAATTGGACCATCCCTCACATTCCAAACAGCTGTAGGATTAGTTCGTTCAAATAAACCGGATCTCGTGTTTATTTCGGAGACACGATCGAGCCGGCGTGTTGTCTCTCGCCGTATGCGGGATTTATCTTTTGATATTTCCAATTGTTTTTTTGTGGATGCGGTTGACGCTTCCGGAGGTCTAGTTGTTTCTTGGTCCCCCGAAGTTGTTGCTTCGGTGTTTTATCATTCCAACTTTTGTATTTGTATTTGTGTTCAAATTAATGAAGGGGAAGTTGCTTATGTTGTGGTGTGTGTTTACATTAGTTGTAATGCTGCCACCAGATCGGCCCAATTGGCCCATCTAAGTGATATTTGTGCGGATATCCAGAACCCTTACGTAATCATTGGTGATCTTAACACTATCCTTCATGAAAATGAGAAAGATGGAGGAAGCACCTGGAACATGACTCAATCCGCTAGCCTGCGTGAGTTTATTACCAACCTGGGGCTTCATGACCCTGGTTATCAGGGGGATCAATTTACGTGGACGAACAAGAGGATGGGTACAGCTTGTATTCGTGAGCGTCTCGATAGAGCGCTGTGTTCACAAGCCTGGATTGATCACTTCCCTGATACCTTGGTTAAACATTTTACAGATCAAAGGTCTGATCATCAGGTGCTCCTCCTCTCTGATAAACCTTATGCGCGTAATTGCCGGCCTCTTTTCCGGTTTGATGCCCAATGGGCAGATAATCCCGAAGTTAGAGCCATGGTCCAATATGTCTGGCAAGAGGAAATCCAGGGGACACCTATGTTTCGCTTATGGGAGCGCCTTAAGAGGCTCCGTCATTTGTTGTATGATTTGAGTAGGGCAGGCACTACTAACTCCCTCCGAAATATAAAAACCCTCCAGCATGAAATTGAAACTATTAAACTCTCCCAACCAATTGATTGGGAGAAAATCAAGACTCTGGAGAGTGAGTTAGCTCGGCAATGGGAGGCAGAAGAACTCTATTGGCAGCAGAAGTCTAGGGTCCATTGGTTAAAAAAGGGAGACAAGAATACTTCTTATTTTCATATAGTGACCAGGATGCGCCGTAAGAGGAACTTTGTGGTCGGGCTTCGTAATGCTGAGGGTGCGTGGGTCACTGACGAACCGGGCAAAGCGGGCATTGCGACTAATTTCTATCAGCATCTATTCACTTCGGAGACTCAAATCTCGAACATGGTTGATAGAGTGGCAGACTTGCCCATAGAACGCACGGTTGCCCCCGAGATAAATGCCAGCCTAACGGCGGTTGTCCTTCCTGGGGAGGTTCGAAAGACTATCTTTGCCATGGGATCGAAACAGGCCCCTGGGTCTGATGGATTCACGGGAAAATTTTTCAAATCCTTCTGGGATATTGTGGGAGCCTCGGTGGTTGAAGCAGTTTGTTCTTTCTTTGAAACTAGTAAGCTGCTCCGTAGTTTCAACCATGCTTGGCTTACGTTGATTCCCAAGGTCGAGTCTGTGGAGAACATGCGGCAATTAAGGCCTATCAGTTTGTGCCCGTTTGTTTATAAGACCATTACCAAGATCATGGCTGAGAGGCTGGCAGGTTTCTTACCTCTGATAGTCTCGGAAGGTCAAAATGCTTTTATACGAGACCGACAAATCATTGAAAACATCCTGCTAGGGCATGAGTTAATGCACTATTTGAAAATTAAGTCACGAGGGAAGAAAGGATACATGGCTCTGAAGGTTGACATGGAAAAGGCCTATGATAGAGTTGAATGACCCTTTCTTCTCGCCGTGTTGGAAAAAATGGGGTTTAACTCTACCTGGCGGGGCTGGATACAAGAGTGCCTTCGGTCCTCGTCTTTCTCCGTTTTAATGAATGGCTCCCCGTCGGGGTATTTCACTCCCACGAGAGGCCTCCGACAGGGGGATCCCCTATCCCCACTCCTGTTTGTTCTCTGCACGGAGGGGTTTGCTGCGCTTCTTCGAAAAGCTATTGCGGTTAATAAGCTTGGAGGAATCAAGGTTGCTCCCCGAGCGCCGCGAATATCCCATCTGTTCTTTGCCGATGACTCGTACTTATTCCTGCGTGGGTCTCTTCACGAGTGCGAAAACCTTATCGAGGTCTTGAATGAGTATGAGGAACTTAGTGGTCAGCGGGTTAACTTGGAGAAATCGGCAGTGTGCTTCAGTGGAAACATTGCTCTGCCGGACCAAGAATTTCTGGCTGCAATTCTGGGGGTAGGGGCGGTTGGGGTTCATGATAAGTACTTGGGGTTGCCTACGCTAATTGCTCGGTCTAAGATGGAAACCTTCCGGTATTTGGAGGAAAAGTTGTTGGAGCGTCTGCAGGGGTGGAAACAGAAAACCCTATCCTGGGCAGCGAAGGAAACTCTTATTAAATCAATTGCCTTGGCTCTACCATTGCATGTGATGTCCTGTTTCAAGCTTCCCCTGTCTCTGTGCCGCTTGCTTGACAAACATGTGGCACGGTTCTGGTGGGGCGCTGAGGAGGGCCAGCCGAAAATCCGGTGGAAGTCATGGAGGAATATGTGCCGAAGTAAACATGAGGGTGGAATGGGATTTCGTCGGTTCGAGCATTTTAACCAAGCTCTTCTGGCTAAGATTGGATGGCGGATCCTTCAGGAGCCCGATTCTCTCCTCGCTCGGGTTTATAAAGGGAAGTATTTCCCGAATGGGTCCTTCCTTTTGGCCACGGCGAGATCCCGTCTCTCTTGGGGGTGGCAGAGTATTCTCTATGGCCGTCAACTGTTAGAGGCAGGCCTGCGGTGGCAAATTTGGAATGGGCAATCGGCTTCTCTGCTCCATTCGAACTGGATTCCCCAATTCCAGCTCGATCCTCCCCGGTATAACCCGTAGGTCTTGTCAGTTGTGGACGGGCCGGTAGTGGCGGAGGTAATTGATCCTGACGGGGGCCGATGGTGTAATCAGAAATTGAGTCAATGGTTTGATCCTCCGACCTGTGCGGCCATCAAATCGATTCCCCTCCCGCGGTTACCGGTTGCGGATAAGCTGGTTTGGCATTTTAGTCCGGAGGGCATTTTCACTGTAAAATCGGCCTATCATTTGGCTGTCTCTATTGATATAAGAAAGGGGGGCTGGCGGACTGAGGTTAGCTGGATGGATAAGGCTAGCTGGATCAGACTATGGGAGGCTAACTTGCCCCCTAAGTTGAAAGTGTTTGTTTGCCAAATTCTGAATCGCATGCTGCCTACGACGGAAGCTCTTATTGACAAGGATGTGCCAGTTTTACCTCGATGTCCGGTCTGCTGGGCTGAGTCGGAAACTTTGGAACATTTATTCCTTTACTGTCCGGTGGCTCAGGCACTCTGGGATTATTCGGGTCTGGCTTCCCTAGGGGAAGGGTTGCCGAAGCACACTTTCCCCCTGTTTCTGAAGCGGTTGTTGGCTCTGATTAGTCAACCCTCCGTCCTCATGGCGGTTGTTGCTATCCTTTGGCGAATCTGGCGTTCTCGGAACTGGGTTGTTTTTGAGGGCAAGCAGTTCGACTTCCCTGCGCTAATGCGTCAGTACAGTCAGCAGTATGAGGAATGGGTTGGGCTGTCTGTGGATCGGGGCCCTCCATCCACGGTTTCTCCAGCACCTCAACCAGCTTTGGTGGGGGAGGGGACGTTGGTTTGCATGTGGGATGGTGCGACGAGGAGGGGGTCCCATTCGGCGGGAGGATTTGTGGTGTTGTCTCCGACTAGGGCAATCCTAGTGGCTGAGGGGATTCAGTTCCCGAGTATTGATGATCCAATGGTGGCGGAGGTGTTGGTGCTCCGTGACGCCATCATGTGGTGTCGTGCTCGTGGTTTAATGGAGGTGTGTTTTGAGGGAGATGCCAAGGTCGTTATTGACAAAATCAACCATGCAGATGCTAGTGATAGTCGGATTGGTGCTATTCTTGCTGAAATTATTCATCACATGGCATATTGCTCGGGGTTTAGCATTAGATTTGTAGGTCGGGATAGCAATAGGGTAGCCCATTTGGTGGCTCGTAAGGCCCTCTCTTTGTACCCGACTGCGAGTCGGTTCTTTGATTTTCAGGCCTGGCTGTGTTCCAGGATGTACCTATCTGGCTTCTTTAATCAATGATAGATTATCTTTTGTCAAAAAAAAAAGTATTTATTTTATTTTTCATTTCTTTATAAGAAATTTTATAATGTTTTGATTTATTGGTTAAATGATATGTTCTATATACACATTCCATACGTACAAAATTTGAATTGTATACTAAGATATTTATCTATTTGACTAAAGCTTTAAATTGATTGAGCTGTATATCTTTCATTTTAAGTGGTAATTTAATTTTTCAACATTTTTTATGCTGATTGGGCGGTGATGTGGTGCGTTGACCGTTAGTCAACACGTTTGACCGTCCAAGTTAACGGTCAAACGTCGGGTTTGGCCAATTTATTTATTTTTTATGTATAGTTTGGGCCAGGATGTTATAGATCAAAAAAATTGGTCATGATGTTTATTTTGGTCAAAGTTCAGACCATAAAAATATATTAACCCAATACAATATGTCATCTGTAACCCCAGACAACCTCATCTTCAGTATCATTTTTCTTATGGCAAAAAGAGTGTCCTTGTCACCTTCTATGTATTTTTTTCTGTCACTCTGCTCATAAAACCATCCAATCAAAAACTCAGAATTTGGGTTAAATGCATGGTTGGTCACTGAAATTACAACAAGTTTGATCATTCAAAATATTTAAATCCATTGGTGGTACTTCAGTTTACTTAAACCGTTCACGTTTAGTCACTCTCCGTCCAACTCCGTTAACTTTGACTGATGTGGCAGTCAACTCTCAAAGTTGACCATTAACTTAGTGACGTGACAATTAAGAAATAATAAATAAAATAAAATTTAATCTATTTTAATGTCCAACTTATTTTACCATTAAATAAATAAATAAAATAAAAAATTATTATAATTATCAAATTGAAAGGGGCCCTCTGAAACCTGCCATCTCCTGCTGCTTGCCGCCGCCAACAACCATGGAGGAGCTCCTACTCATGATCGCCGACGAGTTCTGACGCTCGGACGCGAAATCTCCCGCCGTCAACACGGACTGGGGAGGAATATTGGTGTAGAGAGACGGCACGTGGTCGGTGACGTTGTAGGACTGGGCGGCGCCGGACGAGAGGCACTCGTATGTACATGGGCGTTGGGCAGTGCTTAAGCCGGAACGACACGGGCACGCTTCGAGCCCATTTATATCGTGGCGTGCTTGGCACGGCCCGGCAGTTTTTGTGTCGTGCCTTACAAGCCCATTTGAGAACTTTGCTAGGCTCGGCCCAGGCCCGGGCACGATTCGAATCGTATCGTGCCTATTCGTGCTCGTGCTGTGCCTGTATTCGTGTTTAATGAAAAGGAAGAAAATAAAAGAGAGAATGAAAAAGAAGGAGAAAATTGGGAGGAGAAAGATATTATTAACCGAAAATGTTTGAGAAAAGTAACAAATAGGGGGGAATTGGAAGTATAGCGGGTGTGATTTGACATTGTTTAATTCTTCGTCCGTTTTTTACTTATGGTAGACACTTGTATTTTGTAATATTTAAACATATAGTTCTTTCTAAATTTATTTTTGATAAAATAAATATTATTTTTTTCACATAAATATTATTTTCGTGCCATGTCTGTTCTTATACTCAATAAAGTCTCGAAAGTATTAGGTCCGACAATGCCCACTTATATATCGTGTCGTGCCCGTGCTCGTGCCCGTGCCCATGAAGTTTAGGCCCGGCACGACTCACAAATTATTCGTGTTCGTGTCTGGCTGGCCCATATATTTAGTGCACGTGCTTGTGTCGTGCTGTAACCGTGTCATGTCGTGCTAGCTCATGGACGGCCCAGCCCGGTGCCCACGTACACACTCGTAATGTCGCCGGGTTTTTTGTCTTGTTGAACGCCGACACGCTTCCCCCCAAAACTTCAAAAAAGAATTCAAAGATGAAACGAGTTTGTTGTGCTCTACAAAATGAGATCAATTTTTAATATATTTCAAGGAACTTTTTTTCATACCTCCCATTACCAACTACATACCATATAGTAACTTCTTCGTTTTTAAGTCATTTTAATTTGAAAATGTTTACTCAGAAGGAACGAGTTCATCATGATCTATTGGATCTACAAACTTCTGGGTAAAAAAAATACAGATAAAAAATTAGCATATTTTACCACTTTTGTATGTGGATGGTAACTTGTGGTAAACAATGATGAAAGTCGTAAATGAATGTTAGTATACTCCTACTATCATGTATTCAACCTTCCTACAGTATTGGTATGTTTATACCATCATAGTATGCTTTCTTACCATATGGTATTAAATAGGAGCATACCATATGGTATTGACTGATAAAAAATGACTCGATTTTTTTTTGTTCTAAAAAAGTATCAAAGTTGATATCATTTTAAAGAGCACAATTATTCTGATTTATCTATGCAAAAAAATTTAAATTCCGACTTAAACGAGAGAGAAATCGTTCGTTAAAGATTAAAGGGGAAAAGATAAAAAGGCTTTCTATGAGAGAGAGATGTTGATGTCATGCTAATGTGGACGTGTTACTCATGGTTACTCACCATAAGCTTAATCCGCTCCCGGTGAGGAGACGAGCATTTGAGGTAGATTGGTGGTTATTTTAGGTAAATTTTGGTTGTGATTTTTTATTTATATGTTTTTATGATACACTCTTTAATTTGTAGTTGTATATTTGGATTAAGACTATTGTACAAAAAATTAAAAATATTGATATCACCATAGAATTAACTATTGTAATTTACCAATAACGATTAATTATATGATAAGTTTGCAAGTCATACACATTGATTAATAAGTTTCTTTATTTCATAATGTAGAAAGAAATTGACTAAAAATTGTGAAAAAATATTTTAAGTTAATTTAATAGATGTGCAAGTTTTAGCTACAACTTAGGAGTAAGAACGAAGAAGTAACTAGATACGCTAACTCGAACAACCTGAACCCGACCCGCCCGGAAAGAGCTAAAGCATCACTTGAGCTTGAGCTTGTCCATGCTTATCTCTGTGGACCAATCACCACAACATCGTTCGGAAAGAGCATATATTTTCTATTGTTCATTGATGCCTACAGTAGAAAGATATGAGTTTATTTCTTGAGGCAAAAATCATATACATTTAAAGCTTTCAAGAAATTCAAGATGCTCGTGGAGAATGAAAGTTGTCGCTAAATCAAAGCCATGAGATCTTATAGAGGGGGAGAATTTATGCTGAAGAAGCTCAGCAGGTTCTGTGAATATCAAGGAATTCACTAGTTTCTCACAGTCCTAAGATCCCCACAGCATAATGGGAGTTGTTGAAAAGAAAAAAAGAAATTGTACTCAACATGGTGAGAAGCATGTTGAAAAGCAAGAATCTGCCAAGGGAGCTATGGGTCGAGGCTGTTGATTGTGCAGTCTACCAGCTGAACATGTCACTGACAAAGAGTGTTCGGAATCAAACACCTCAAGAAGCATGGAGCGGAAGGAAACCCACAGCCTCTCATCTCCGGGTCTTCGAAAGTGTCGAATATTTGCACGTACCGGATCAAGAAAGGAAGAAGTTGGATGATAAAAGCAAGAAGTACTTATTCCTTGGAGGCTAGGGACACTCTTAACATTCTACGGGGCACAAGATGTTTGATTACGTGGAAGAGACACTTTTTTCAAATTGTTTTTCATTATTAAGAAAGGATAACAAAGATAAAATACGAGCTTGTTGATCATCAATAGAGGCGTGGTAGTTGATGAAGAAGCAACATGAAACTGAACTGCTGAAACACAAAAGAAGACACTTGTATCGAGCCCACCTAGTCACAGAGAGCCAGCCAGCCTAGAAGGAAGATCAAATGAAAGTCCAAGACAATGGCCACAAAAATATATACGTCTTGAAGATCTTTATGATGCTACAACATGCATTGATGATGATGAATTGACACTATACTGTCATTTCATTGATAGTGAAACATTGGATGTTAAAGAAGTCATCAAAGATGAAAAATGGAGAAAGGCTATGGATGAAGAAATTTTTCAAAAATATTCTTTATTTGCATCATTCAAAAATGGAGAAAGGCTATGTATTAGAAAATATGATGACTTTTAGATAAAATAAATAAGAAACATCTCTTTTCCATGTGAAAGTGGGATGCGGGTTATTTGAGTGACATGCAACCCCACAAATAAGTGCGGGTAAAAAAAAGTATCTACGATCCACCCACATCAATCATCAATCCATTGCAATTTGGGTTATTTGTGGGTGAATCGATATCACCACGCATTAGCCACCTACATGCCCACCTGTAAGGTACAACTCATCCGGCCAACTGGCAGGGTAAGAAACTAGTAAAACATAAGGATGGATCAACTTGCCTTGCCTCGTATGCGCACAGGCAAAGCAATCAAATCGGGATTTTACATAAAATGAAAATTTTGAGTAAAATCATAATCATAAAATCGAAAATTTTTAAAGTTTATATAGAAACAAACACCGAATAATATTAATAAGGTAAATCATGAATATCACAAAGACACATAGTGATAATTTCTCAAGATTATTGTTCCAATTCAACACAAATGCAACCCAACTAATTTGCATCTAAATTTATAGAGTGGTTACTCAAAACAACAAATTTGCAATAGGGAGATAAATAATTACAAGTACTTTGATATAAAATTATTATTGTTCATCAGTGCTTGTGTGTGATGTACTAATATTTCATTCGTTATATGTCAATCAAAGGATAGATTTTGGCAACTTTTTTACATGATAACAAATGAATCTTTAATTCAATAACAAAGGACTAGATGATGTGATAGAGAAGAATAAAAAAAAGATATTAACTTAAACAAAGATTTTATCTTATTCATTTGACTATTTGATTTGGTCCAAATTCATTAATTCAACATATACATTAAAATCCTTAAAAATCGTAAGATTTTAAAAAATTTAAGAATTTAAATCATTGTAGTGTAGGATTATAAGATTGATAGGTTTTTCGGGATCCATCTCCACTAACTATGATAAGAAAATGCCGTTGGTGAACTAGATTCCCAATAGCTAACTTTCCCAACGAAATTAAAAAAATTACCACTCGCAGAGTGTAGAAAAAGAGTTTTTGGAAATTTTTTCTAAGGAAAAGGAATTGGACAGCCTTCAGCCGGACATTGCGGTTGGTTGGGTGAAATCAAATCCCTCTGGTAGGGAACGGATTAGGTCAGTAACCTTATGGTGAGTAACTATGAGTAACCAGCCCACATCAGCATGACATCAGCATCCCTCTCCTGGAAAGCCTTTAATTTTCCCTTTCTTAATCTTTGACAGACGATTTCTCACTCGTTTTAAGTCGAAATTTAAGTTTTTTGCACAGTTAGATCTGATTAATTGTGCTCTTCAAAATAATATCCACTTTGATATATTTTTCGAACAAAAAAAAAATTGAGCCATTTTTTAACAGTCTATACCATATGGTATTGACTGGTATTGTAATAAGAACATATTATGGTTTGAAAAGCGTACCATGGTGGTATGAACAAACCAAGATTATAGGATGGTTGAATACATGATAGTAGAAGTATATTAACTGTCATTTACAACTTTTATCATTGTGTACCATAATATACCACCCCATACCAGGGTGGTATTGTATGGTATTTTTTGGTCATGTAATTTGTTCACCCAGAAATTTATAGATCCAATAGATCATGATGAACTCGTCCCTTCTGTGCAAACGTTTTCAAATATGAATTAAAAACGAAGAAAATACCATAATATACCATAATATACCACCCCGTACCATTGTGGTATTGTATGGTATTGTGTGGTATTTTTTGGTCATGTAATTTGTTCACCCAGAAATTTATAGATCCAATAGTTCATGATGAACTCGTTCCTTCTGTGCAAACGTTTCAAAAACGAATTAAAAACGAAGAAAATACCATATGGTATGCAGTTGGTACCGAGAGGCCAGAATTTTTTTTTCTAAAAAAATATTGAAAATTAATCTCATTTTGTAGAGCAAGATAAACTTGTTCCATCTTTGTAAAAAAAATTAAAAAATTCGAATTAAATCGAAAAAGATATGAGCCGATTAAAAAAGCTAGGAAAAATAAAAATGGTCTTTAATTCTCCATCTTTAGATCTGGATTTTCTAAATGAAAGGTACAGATTTGGTTATTGATGGGTGCATAACCCATGGCTATGCACCCTATCTTGAGCCCCTCTGATATCTTTCTCACCTGGTTCTTTGTCAAATTTTATAGTGAAATAACATAATATAATTTTAATCAAAATTTTGCCTACTCTACTCCCATATATTACCCAAAACTGATCCGCACACATATCACTACTCACAGCCCTGCAGGTCATTCGTGACCACGTTTTTTATATAATTGATCATGTCATTTGGGCAATAAAATTCAGAGATCCCATCTACCAAAAACCTTACCCACCGCTGGCAAAAAATTGCAAGTGTACAGCGAGAATACAATTACGCCAAAGATCATATTCAATGAGCCAATACCATCAGGCCGTCAATGTAAAGCATGTGGTGGAAAATAAGCTGTGCAGCAAGGTTCAAACTCCTTATGAAGATGCTGGTACTGCTGCAGCTGCTACAAATGCAAATAGCACAAGTGGATGAACATGAAACCGTCAGCAGTTATCTTTTATGCAATAGCTTCCGATTGCATGTGTGACGAACCAGATGAACAGAGAGCAAAAGTCATGCTATATATATATAATACTACCTTTAGTGGGAGGTTCATCCTGTGGCTTCATAGCTGGGAAGAGAAGTACTTCCTGTTCCAAAGGAGGAAGAGGTAGATTAGTAAAGTTGCTAGTCGCACTTCGAGCAGAGCCCAGTCCAATTTGACCCAAATGTCAACACTGCGAGCATGTTCACTCTGATTCCGTACAGTCCCCATCCCCAAACAATTCTTTATTTTGTAAGTAAATATAAAGAACTGACCAACACAAACTATATTTGGTCCAGTCCAATTTGACCCAAATGTCAACACTACGAGCTGAGACATTGCATGCTCCTTGAGCCAAGGGCAAATAGAAATGTGGAGACAATCACTTCAGTAAAAAGCACAAACCTTGATGTTCTGTGAATCAGTTAGCAGCATAGTCAGTCGGTCAACACCCAGGCCCCATCCACCGGTTGGAGGCAAACCATATTCAAGAGCGGTGCAAAACGTTTCATCCAAAGCCATTGCTTCGTCGTCACCAGACTGTCGATCCTGATAAGTGGACAACCCACTTTAGATCAACTCCAGATAGAAATTTTTTCTTAATCTAGCAAAACTGAAACTGTACCTTGAGTTGATCAGCAAATCGTTGTCGTTGCACCACAGGATCATTTAGTTCAGTGTATGCATTGCAAAGCTGGGAACCAATAGTTATCATTAGAGTAAACAGAAACCGTCAAGCAAACTAATCAAACAGCAGTTGGGAGAGAAAGAGGAGAAGGAGGTTCCCAAGACTGTACTTCATGCTTGTTGATAAACAATTCAAAACGTTCAGTCAAGCCTGGTTTGGATCTATGCCACTTTGCGAGCGGACTCATGATTTCAGGATGATTGATGATAAAAGTTGGATTCGTGCAAGTCTCTTCCAGGAAGTGCCCCACAAGCTGTATTGCATATGACAGAAAAATTGAAAAGAGAATTTAGATGAATGCACGCTAAGGTGAATAAGAAAGCACAGCAAACTGGGGTGCCAATATAAAGCAACAAAAGACAATGTCCAACAAAAGTAACTGCATCATTAGTAATAAATCATACACAACATAAACCTACCATAGGCTGGCAACTCAGATGCCTAACATAACTACAGATGTCTAGCAAGTAAGGATATAGTGACAAGCAAGGCCAAGAAGAGGGGAATTTACTTTGTCCAGCAGACGAGCTGTTGTTAGAGGAGGAGGGCATTTGATATCGAATCTCTCACATGCAGCTGCCAGGTACTTGTTAGTCTCATCACTTGCAAAATCCTTTGGTATGCTAAGGTTGGCCATCTTTTCCAACTCCTCTATCATGTCAATCCTCCTGATGCCACGTTATTATTAATCATTAGGAGAAAATAGTTAACATCTTCAAATCAGCATTAAGAACATATAAAAGAATGTAAATGCACGTTACGGTACCTGAAAGGGGGAGTAAAGTCAATTTCTATTGGATCTTTATCAAGTCCATTTGCATGATAATTAACCTTGTAACCACCAGTAAGTTGCTTGACCATTCCTGAGCAAGAAGCCAGCAGAAGAAGAAAAAACATGACATTGGTACAACACATCATCAAGGCGCACAAACACTTCAAGACAATTGAAACTTGTGCTTATTCATACCACTTAACAAGTCCTCAGTGATCTCCATGAGGTCGTTATAATCGGCAAAGGCCATGTAGAACTCGCAGGTTGTGAACTCGGGATTATGTGTCAAATCAATGCCCTCGTTTCTGAATTGTTTTCCAATCTCATAAACACGGTGAAGTCCACCAACAACTAGCTGCTTCAAAGGAAGTTCAGGTGCTATTCTCATATTCAGCCTCATGTTCAGATCATTGTGATGAGTCACAAAGGGGCGAGCAGCTGCTCCACCAGCAATCATGTTTAAATTAGGTGTTTCAACCTGAGGACAAATACCAAGAAACCATTGGGGGGAGAAAAACAAAAAGAAAAAAATTTCACAAGATAATAGAGAAATAAAAACAAAACCAACCTCCAAGAAATTAAGGTTGTCTAGGAAGCTTCTGATATATTTGATTATCTTCGTTCTAGTCACGAATATGTTGGGAACTTCGGGATTTACCATGAGATCAAGATATCTCTGACGATATCGTGTTTCCTATAACCAGATAAAGGAAAAGAACTGAATCCATAACTTACAGCAATTTGTCAGGACATTAAAAAGCTGTATTTCTAGATGGACGCATACCTGATCCTTTAAAATATAAGTTTCAGGATTCCTAGTTAATCCAGGACGCCATGCTTCAGATTTCTGCTTGCAAAAGATATAAAAAATATCAACTGGCTTGGGTCAAAGCCAGTAACACTATTACCATCTAATGAGAACTTCATTTACCTTGACATTTGCATTGTCAGAGCCAGCCGCGGGTTTCTGTCGAGGCATCATATGAAGACAATGAGACAAGACCACAAATTCTCTTGGGAATATGCTAAGCTCACCTCTTTTTGTTTTCCCTGGAGAAGAAAAAGGCAAGATTGGGCATTAGCCAAAAGAAAAGAACAAGAAATTGACCAGATCTAGGAGCAGTTCAGAAAAAAAAAACTAATTTCAACAATATCAATGTTTACAAACCTGGAAATCCAGTAACACCAACAATATCACCACGCTTCACAGCAGCGTGAAACCTCGAAAAGTCAGCTTCCTCCATGCCAGACTTGCTGAATTCCATTGAAACAAAGATTTAATTCTTGAATATGCAACAAAGAAAGGGGGACATAAACAATGATTCAACGACAAATGAAATAAACAAAGAGTGTAAACATTCAGTCCGATGAATAAACTTGCCAATAACAAAACAACAAAATGATGAAAGCAACTCTCACCAACAGAAGCACATCCGAACCAAACAAAAAGAAAAGGAAGATAAACTAAGTGCACAAAGGGCAGAACCTTGCGTCGGCCATAACTTGAACCTTTGCACCACCAGCATGCAGATCATAGAATAAGAGCTTTGAAGAGGATGAACGTTTAGTCATGATCCGGCCTAGCAAAATCAATCAAGTAGACAAGATCATTAAGCAAAGTGGATCCAGCAAAAACAGAAAATTGTGAACTTGGCTGTTGACAAACCAGCCAAAGAAGCAGAAACATCTTCAAGATGCTCTCCATTGCTCAGACTCCCAAACTTGTCTACATACTCAGAAATTGTAAGAGTAACAAAGAACTTGTGAGGATAAGGATTTTTCGCTTCACTCTTCTGTGCTTCGAGATATTTGAGCCTATTCTCAAAGTATTGCTGCAGGAGAAGAAGAAAATTAAGTTTAGAGAGCGGATATACTATATACACAGAAATGAGAACGGCATATGCAGAAGAAATGTTAATACTGTGGGGTCCATTTCGTCATCATCTCCAGCAGGCTTTTGTGTTTTAGAGCTAGGTTTAGCAGCAGCCTGGACAAGAAGAAGCACAGAGAGTCATTTATGCATTCATTGAAACACAATGTAAGAAGAATGTTGCTAAAATTCGATATCCGGTGAAGGGACGCAGCTGGAATGTTTACTGGACCAGTACAAAGTCTCGTCTAAGTAGACTATTCATAGCCTAAATTCTTCCCTGAAGTAACTGAACTCGGTAATAACCATTAAGGGATATAATTTTCTTGCTGTACAAGCCACGAAAATCCTAAATGAAGTAGACAATGAAATTGTAACCTGCTTGGCTCGCTCTTCCTCTTTGCGCTTCCTCTCCTCCTCCTTCTGCTTATTCTTCAGCTCCTTTTTGCGGGCACTGCATAAGTGGAAAAGAAACAGAAAAGGTTCAGCTTCTGAGAATGAAAAAAATTGAAAAATTGAAAGAAAACGGACAGTGAAGCTAGCTAATCACAGCGCTGGTTTGCGCGTGGATTGAATGGGGAGCAGATAATTTGAGAGAAATAAAAAGAGGATTGAACTTTGAGCTCGGAGAAGCAGTGAAGAAGTAAGAATAAGGGAACGGGGGTCGTACTTTTTGCTAATGGTTTCTTCGGCAGAATTGAGTTCAATATCAGAGACGGCCTTGGTGGCTTCATGAACAGTTCCCGCCATTGGAAGACTGCCGGAGAGACGTGCCTTCTGCTTCTTCTTTCTCGGCTTCTGTTTGGATTGGAGAAGAGAAAGAGAAACCAGGGTTTTTGTGTGTGCTTAGGGTTTTCTTCTGCTGCTTTTTTCTCCGCAACAGTAAAAACTCTTTAAACGCTACACGGAACGAAAGTCATGGATTGGGCTTGAAGAATGGTCATGGGCTGTTTCTAATCCTAGCATCTAAATTTGGAGATATAGGATTTAGCCTTTCCCCTCTCCAACGTCCAACCCATTCACTATGACCCTCCTCCAAATATGGAGAAGTCACGATAAAATTTAAGAGTTTGTCTACATATTTGATTTGGATCATACCCAAATCCCACTTATCATGAATTTGTCCATAAATTTTAAATCTTTCGTACTTGTTTTGTTTGCTTATGTTATGGCTCCATGAATTTGGACTCCTATGATACGAGTACAAAACCGATACGAGTACGAAATCGACACTCGTAATTATCAAAGTCACGCAGCTAAAAATAGAAATAACAGAATAGCAGATAGAGATAAGGCGAAACTGAACTGCAATCTCACGCCTGGGATAAGGCTCTACCAATATAAGGGTAGAATCTCAACCACAATCAAGGGGGAAAACCTTATTGATACAGAGATAGAATTCACAGGCTAAAGCTCAATGAACCAAAATAAACTCAATATTCTTCGATGTCTAACATAAAACTCGTGTTTAAGCCTTTATATAGGTTAGGGAAACAACAAACTTGTCCAAACACTTAAAAGGAAAGAAATTCTAAACCAACAAGAAAGTTTTAACTCGTCAGACCCCGATCTCCGGGTCAGGTCTTCAAATCCCCAACGCGGAAAATGTTGCTAATCGCCGGAGAAAACCCCCTATCTAAATCCCTGAGTGAACCCTTGAAATCCCCGGGTGGAAATTGGCACCACTGGCCGAGGTGTTTGCCTTCATCGCCCCTTCTTGCTTCCACGATACGCCTCTCTCTCTCCAAGCTTCGACGGGCATGGTTTTTGGGCTCTTGAGGCTCGCATCAGTCCCTTCCCGTTGGAGAAGTGTTTCCCTCAAAGCTGGTGTTTTCCTGCAAGAGACAACGTAAATAGTATTTCCAAATGGAATTCTCCATAGCAGTCAACATGTGCCTTCAAACCAAAAGATGAGTTCCACTCCCGTCCTCCGAATTCGTGCCACTTCCATTTCCCTTCTCTCTTAACCAATTCAGCTCCATTTGTCGCCGATCTTCTCGAACTTTAGCTGGCAACAATAGGTTGAGCAGGAACTTTCAATCGCCTTGCTTGAACCGATAATTATTCTACCTTCCGTCGTGAGTAACTCCATGATCATATTTCCACGGACGACTCAATAAGAGATGATAAGCTTCCATTGGAGCAACATCACACCAGACTTCATCTACATACTCACCAATCTGAAATCAAACCTTGGCCTTCTTATGAACCTTGATGGCTCCATAGTCGTTCAGCCAGTGAAGGTTGTAAGGTTATGGATGCTTAATAGTACTTAGCCTCGGATTCTTAAGTGCATCAAGACTCGCTAAATTGGTGCAACTACCACCATCGATCACCACAGACAACAACTTTCCATCCATCATGCAAAGGGTAGGGGTGTACATGGGTCGGGTGGTCCGGGTTTAGCCATTTTAATCACCTGACCCATGCACTACGGTTAGGGAAATATTAAACCCAAACCAACCCAAATAAATTATAACCCTACGGTTTGTTTCTAATTGGGTTGGGTCGGGTTGGCGATATTTTTAAGTAAAACCCCAAACCAACACAAAATATGTAATTATTCTACACCATAAAAATATTTTAAAACTAATTAAAATTTCAAACAAATAAACCGAGGTGAAAGGTATCAAAGTTCACAAATGTTGTTTAAATTTTATTAAAATGTGATTTACTTCAGCATATATCTAGTTTTCTTCATGATATTTGTTGAAATAGGATAAAAATGTTATAAACGAATGCATCCATAATATGTTATTCTATTAAAATCATACACAAGAAAAAATAATTACGCGAATCATAGCTATATTAAATCTATGTCTAAACTTTAATCCGAAAAATGCATTAGATTAGTGAGACCATGAGAGAAAAATATGGCAAAATATCTTAATTTTCTAATAAGTATGGTTATATACGACATAAATATTTTTTGGATACGAACTCATATCAATAGTTGGAACATGGGTTGGGTTCTACGGGGTGTGTAATCCAAAACCCAAACCCAACCCAAAAGAGGCGGGTTGTAGAAAAGAAAACCCTCACCCAACCCAAAACCTTAGTTTTAGCGATAAATACGGGTGGGTTGGACGGGTGGGTCGGTTTGCGGGTGTGTATGTTCACCCCTAGCAAAGGGTATGAAATAGATTATCTCGTTATTCTTATTCAGCTAGAGATTCAAGGGAGAGCACTCTACGATTGACTCCAAGAAACTTACCTATTTGAGGGGCTTTAGCAGCGATGTGTTCATCTACATCCTCATCATAATCGATTCCCTTCCCCATTGGCTTCTCTTCCTCCTCCTCAGAAAAGTATTTGTCATCTCGCAGAACTAGAGTCTTCTTGTTGGGCACTAATTTGCTTTGTGATCATGTCCGAGACATTTGAAGCATTGGATGCTTCCAGCCGATCCTTCATGTCTGGTTTGGATGATTAGGGAAGTGTTCCTAACAATTGGCTTGTCTCCTTCTGGCCTGAGTTGACTCTCAACATTGTTTTCTACAAATAACTTTGTCGAATCTGAACTTGTTCCCACCAAGTTGTTGCATAATCTATAACTCATAGGTAGCTACCAGAACTTTCTAATGCTTTGGGTAAGATTGCACTGAAAGAACAAGATCATCTTCATCTCCCAATCAAGGTAAGCTGAAGCACTGTTGGTTTCTTGAAACATAGGAATTACTAGTTTGATTCCCCGAATCGAATCAATGCCATAGCATCCTGTTTCTGGTGGTCTACCTCCATAATCATGGTAATCATCTTCATAATCATTAAATGGAGGTCTGTACTGGGTAGTTAGCTGACGATGATGCCCCATTTGTTAAATCCTCTACATCTGCTAGTTTGGGGTTTCAAGAAAAGCTTGATAATTTTGAACTCGTTATGCTTTAGGGCTCTCTCGAATCTCGGCCCCAATATGAATTGCTACAACTGCTGGATTCTTTAGTGAATGAAGTCTAGGTTGCGTCTCCAACTTGGTGATTAGGGTATCCAGACGCTTGTTGGTTTCAACGAGCTGAGTTTTGGTAGCGTCATGTTGGGTTTGAAGTAAAGCTCCCATTTGAGCCATCTGTGCTACAAGTTGTTGCATCGCATCTACAAGACTTGACTCCATGGTTTGCTCTTCAAATGGAATTTCTTCCTCTGACAAAGAATCCTCTTATGTTGCGGCTTGCTATAGGTTCTTTGGATCTCGTACGATAAGAAACAGACCCTCTTGACTTCGTTTTTCCCACTGTGCTGAACCAGGTTCTGATACCACTTGATATAACACGGTACTGACACCAATAGTTATCAAAGTCACTCAGCTAACAAATAACCGATAGGGATAAGGCGAAATTGAAGTGCAATCTCACAACTGCGGGAATGCTCTATCAATATAAGAGTATAATCTCGACCACAATCAAGGGGACAACTTGATTGATACAAAGAAATAATTCACAAGCCTAAAATTCAATGAACCAAAATGAACTCAATGTTCTTCACTGTTGACTTACGTGTTTAAGCCTTTATATAGGCTAGAGAAACAATAAACTCGTCCAAACACATAAAATAAAAGAAATCATAAACCAACAAGGACTTTTTAACCCATCAGACCCCGATCCTCAAGTTGGGTCTTCAAATCCCCGGGCGGGGTAAACGTTGTTGACCCCGGGGAAAACCCCCTCTTCGAATTCCCGGGTGGACCCTTGACATCCCTGGGCAAAAATTGGCACCACTGGCCGAAGATTTTGCCTTCATCGCCTCTTCTTGCTTCTGCGACACACCTCCCTCTCCAAGCTTCAACGGGCATGGCTTTTGGGCTCTTGTGGCTCGCATCACTTTATTTATCCAAATTCGTTGGTCTCGCAAACTTGTAAATCTCACAACACCCTTGAGGTTTGGCTGTCATCCAAATTTATCCTTGTTGTTGAAGCTAGTTATTATGTTGATGATTTGTCGTTCAAGTTTATGAAAAGGGAGTGGCGGTTCAATTCCTTTCCCTGTAAGGTTTGTGATGGTTTTTAAATGTTATATATGTGTTGATTCCTTTTTTATAACTAATGTGTTTTAAATCATAATGTTTCGTTATTTGATAGTCGGTGATTGTTAAAAGGGTTTTTCACATGCCATAAATTGAGTTTGGATTTTATTTGACAAATAATTTTGAACCTCATACCAATTTTAGCACATGAAACGATCCAAGTTGTCTTGCCATCATATATAAAAAATGAAGTAAGGGTGGTAGGGTAAATTACTCTTTAAAGTGATAAATTCATAATCTTAAAATCCATCAATAAATCCTACAAGCAAACAATAAACTTTTGAAATCCATAATGGGCCAAATCCATCATATAAATATTTGGTTTTCTAAAACCTTCATTTTAACAAAAAGAAAAACTTTCGTTTGTCAAATTCAACAAACAAGCGACGTCTAAAGTTTGGACTTTTGATATGGCCGGTGAGTAAAAATATCACTTGAAAAGAGGATGGATCCACGCCAAGACAATGCACACGTGGAGGGGTGTCTAGCAAGCAAGGAACCCTTTACGCTTCTACGTGTGACCTTCAGCATGTTGCAGCCCCCCATTAATCCAATTACTTTTTATTTTTTGTAAAAGATTTATTGGATTTGTGGGGTTTCAGGGTTTGTTTGTAATTTGAAAGAAGAAGATGGATATAGTGGCAAAAAATAGTCACATTGCAACGACCATAACAATTAGTTATATGCTTTCATATATATTCAATCTCACTTCATGATTTTTTCTGCACTCATTCTCAGAGGTTAAAACAAATTCTCTCAAATCTCATTTTTGCGAAACGAAAACATTCCCATCAAGAGAGGAAACAATTGACAAGCAGATGAAGATAAAACATTGTGCAAAACTTGGGTATCGATATCGGAAGATGAAAACTATGTGTACTCTTTCATATTTATTATTTTCAATAAACTAATGACTCTTTTGAAAAAAATCGCATAAGTAAAGAAATTTACAAAATAGTTACAACCATAAAAATTTAAAGTGAAAAATAAAATTAGAATGATGATAAGTATGCTTTAGTGGGATTGATTGGAAAATATTGAATTTATCAAGATAATATATTGGAGAAATAGAGAGATTCTGTAATTTTCTTGGGTTACCTCCTCTGACTATAAATGGTTATTTGAATTAGTTGTTGTAGTCGTTTGGATGGATCAATTGAAAAAATGAGATAATTTGGTCAATTATATTATTTTACAAATCGATAACTTCAAATTACTTGACCTCATCTGCGACAATTATAATTGCTTTAAAGTGAGTTCATTAGAAAAACCTCAAACCAAATAGCTCAATCCAAATTTTATGTTGCATAACAGGTCAATTTTTAATCAAGACGACCTCGTTAGTTTTGGAAGAAGAGAGAGTGAAGAAGGAAAGTTTTTATACATGAGAGATACGAGGAAGAAAAATGGAGGCTATGGGATACTTTCACTTGGGGAAGAGGGGAAGGATTAGACTTTTTTTAATAATTTATATTGTGTGAAAAATTTGCTCCTCCGCCTCTTAATTTGGTAGCTGCTAAAATCATCTCATTTGCCACCTGATCTAAATTCAGACTAACCACTAGATAAGAAAATGGTAGTCATTGTGCCACCGAGAAACCTAAATCCAACCGTAAAAGGAAAAACATTGAGTTTTCATTTATTACCGGCTGCATCATGGTACCAAATGACTCGTTTGAAAGAGAAAAATAAAATGGATCATTTGGCTCTAACGAACCCCTCCCTCCATTTACTCAATCTACTCATTTTAACATTGTCCTTTTCCATAAACCCAATGGGCCAATACTAACTCAGTAATCATTCTCTATAGTGTCATGTGATTCTAGTTTAATTATACATGGTGTTGGAGAATGGAAAGTCGGAAATCACTCGAAGGAAATCAAGCCGGTTGCAATAGTTTCCTAAACTGCAAAGTTGCCTTCCTTGAAAGAAATTCAAAAGCAACGGTCGGCCAGCAAAGGGTATTTATTCCTCTCAAGAAGAACAGTGATCGGGGCTTTTACAAGAAGTGGTATAGGGCTGATTGCATAGTGGGTTAATCACTACAGAGGCATAGGATCTGTTTGATTAACGGTGTAACGGGTCTGGGATTGGGATCCGGGTGATTTTACATTTCTTGTTCGTTTCATTGTTCTTGAGTCTGCTAGTTTTTATCCATTTGCTTAATAGGTTAAATCAATAAAAATCAGAGTCTCCTAGACCTCAGTGAAGTACTGAGTCTAGGACGAGGACGTACCCGTTAGATTGGGGAACCTCGTTAAAATCGGCTGTGTTGTTGGTTCTTGCTGTGTTTCTCTGTTTCGGTTTCTCCCTCTGTTTTTCCAGGTTCTGCATCTGCCTAACACTGGCTTCGTCCTAAGGAAGAAGACGAACTCAGTTGGCCGGGCTGTGGGCTTGGTCTCGAACAGGCCTTAGCCCAAGTTTGGTTTTAAGTCTTTTTTATTCCTCACTGGGCTTGGGAGCTCCGTGAGCCCATTCGAACGCCTTCAACAGAGAGTGAAAGAGATTCATCATCTCTATCGACTTTCAGTCTCATTTCCCCCAAATCCTTTCTAACCCTAAATTCAATTTTTCATTCTTCCACTGATTAACACATGGTCACACTCACACCCCTTTCTTTGATCATTTCACTTGTGATTAGTTGTTCTTTAAGCTATTCCACGCTAGGTTGTGTTTGGTTGAGTATATTTTAGATCCTAGCAAGTGAATATGGCAAAATGAACGATTGTCGGGCTATTTGGAGTCAAAACCGAGACAAAGTGAAGAAGTTACTGAAAGTCACTGCCAGATCGTGACTTCCATGAAGAAGGTGTGAGAATTGCAAACTTCCACAAGCCAAACTACAGTTCGCGGGCGTTTGAAGATGTCATGATTTGACCGTGACATTTGCAACGAAACCAAGAGATTTATGAAGGCCAAATTGCAAGTTTGGTCACTAGAATTACTTAAAAAGTTCACGTCTGCCACTAAAATTAATTTATTCCATTCGTAGTCACTTAAATTAGGTTAACAGTTCAAGTTTAGTCACTGGCCCGTTAACTTTTGCTGATGTAGCGGTCAACTCTTATAGTTGACTGTTAAATGTGTGATGTGGCAATTAAAAAAAAGTGTATGACCCAAAGTGCTTGGCAATATAACTATTTGTTGAGTTATGATATAGGAAGTGTATGCCCCAAAGTAATTCGGAGAGCTTGCAATCGATCGACCACAACATCAACCGGACCTTGCACCATCTTTCAAGGGAAAGAGAGCTAAGAGAAGCTCGAGAGAGGTTAGCAACTCATAACTCTCAGGAAGAAAAGGAGAAGAAACTGAATTTGAAGTAATGGTGGAAGAGCAAGCACAAAATGAGGGTGAACTGGTTTGAACCACGGGGTATTACTTCACCCCAGGAGTTAAAGATATACAACCTTGCATCCACTCATTACCGCCAAAAACTTTAAAATCAAGACGAGCGTTATCTAAATGATCTAAAACAATATCCAATTCTATGGTCTCAACCATGAGGCACTAAGAGACCACATCAATCGGTTCTTCAAGCTCAGATATGGGATAAAGTGAATGGAGTTCCATAATAAGCGCTCTGCTTGAGGTTGTTTGACTCACTTCTACTGTCACTCCAGGAATTGGCCAAGTGAAACCACTTCCTAAAGCGTAGTATAGCGGGTTTGGGTTTAATTATCAACCCGGGTCCTAGATCTGATGACTACTCAGTGAATTCTTGTTATCTAGCAATGAAACTGGAATGCAAGTCTAAACTATCAAACAAACAAAGCAAGTAAACTGTTGTATTCAGGTTAAGAGAGGTCACCCGGATATAGTTCCCCCCAGACTGCAGTTAAGCCGGATTGTAATTACCAAGTTCAGTTTCTATGAAAGTTATACTGCAGAAGGTTCTTAAACAGCCTGAAGTCTCGACTAAAGGTCTTCAGACCCTCTCAATCTGAATCTCTAGCGGGCGACTAACCTCCATCGGAGTAGACAGATTGAGGCCCTAAGAACGAAACCTCCACTACCGAAGTAAATCCGGTACAGAATAGTGAGTTGGTTCCTCGACTAAAGTCACCAACTCCCTACCTTCAATCAAGGATACTCTATTAACCTAGGCAGATATTCTCATTCTAGGTTAAAGCAGAAACAACAGGAATTTGATCAGGATTCAAGTCATTCAATCATTAAAACCTCAATCGAATATAATCAATCATAGAATCAGTACTTGGGTTCATACAATCAAACCTAATATACAAATCTAGGGTTCTCCATACCCAGATGAATGGGAGAACTACTCCATGGAGAAGAAAGCAAAAGCAGAATCAGACGCGGAATTCATACTGTGAAGGATGGATTCCTGCTCCTGGACGTTGATCGACACTTCTCCAAGCTCAAACTGGCCTCCAATGGTGTTGAAGATCAAGCTAGGGCTCTTGGGAACTCTTGTTCGTCGCTTTCTCTCTCTAGGAACTGATCTCTCTCTCTAAAACTCCAATCCCCTTCTGTTTGGCTGAAAATCTGCTTAAAAAGGCATCAGTGGCCAAAGCACGGTCGAGGGCACGACCGTGCTTTGCCTCAGCCCGCCCGTGCTTTGGCTAGGGTTAATTACACGGCCATTGTGTTGGTGCAAACACGGCCGTGCTTTGGGAGAACACGCCCGTGCTTTGGGAGAACACGCCCGTGCTTTGGGAGAACACGGCCATGCTTTGGTGAAGCACGCCCGTGTTCTATCTCAGCCCTGCCCGTGTTTTGGCCAATGTGGTCCAAACTCGAATTAGCTCTCGGCAGTAAAAGCACGGTCACAGAACACGACCGTGTTCTGTTTTAGGTGTGCCCGTGTTTTGGCTCCAGCTCACCGAAATGACTTCCGAATGCCCCGAAACTCGTGCTTAGCCTTTCCTTTGACGCCAGGGACCTGAAATATGACAAAATAGCACAACCCGGCGTAAAATAGGCCAAAAATACACGACTATGCCCCTCAAACGGATAAGAACTAGGGGCGCAAATTCGTGCAATTACATCGTTATCATTGTTTCCATAGTACTCCTTGAGAGGAAGAGCAATATTGAGGAGAAAAAAGCAAGATTGTGGTAGCGTCAACATCCCAGCTTCTTATGGGCGTTTTCATCTTCCAACCCAAGACCTCCCGGTTTCCAAGCACAAATGGGCGGGTTTCAATAACAACCAAGGTCATCCTTTCAACAACAAAGACCTCCATTCCAACCTAAAAAATTCCAACCTCCAATCTCTCACAAGTCACAACTAAATTCTCCACTCAAACGAGTTATATTGCAGAGATTTTGGATATATCATGTCCATGTTCTTTGTAGGGTAAACACTCAATAATACCCAAACCTTTAAATAGTGGACAAAAATAGGCAATCCTAAAACAAAATACAAAAAGGCGAAACTATTTGAAATACAATAAATAGTCAAAACTTTCTATATGTTGGACAGACACAACCATTTGTTAGTTTCATTGTGAAATATGCTGATATGACTAACAAAAACCGTGAAAAGGATGTGATTTTATGACGTGGAAGAGATCATATTTTTTTTAACCCTGAATCAACAATTATTTACACCATGTTAAAAATTCTCTCAAATTATTTATATTGAGAAATCTCAATAATTTATTTCGACAACATGAAGCGGGCCCTTGAAAAGAGTTGCTTTGGTAAACTCTTGAGTATTAACTTTAAAGTTTGATCTAGTGATCTCGGTTGGTAGTTTTATTGATCTATTTGTGTGTTGTCAATGTTTGCCTTCAAAAACGACGATCATTGGAGAAGAGTTGCACTTTGAAGAAGATATGAAGATGGTTTATCACAGATGGTGACGACTAGGTAAAACAACGAAGGGATTGGCAGAAGTTGTACGGTCAGTTGATGCTGTCGAAATAAATGAGTGAGTTTTTCTCTGTATAATTAATTCAAGTGCAATATTTTGATATTACGTAAATAAACGTTGATGTATTAAGGCAAACAAACTATATTCATGTCATGTCTCGTAATCATGTCCCATAACCATTTCCTTTAGCAACATCAACACTATTAATGGTGAAATTAACGAATGACTATATTTGTCCAACATATTAAAAGTTTAGGCCATTTTATGGTATTTCGAATAATTTTTGCTATTTCTGTCCACAACTTCAAAATTTTAGCTATATTTAGTATTAGCTTGGCCCTGACCTGTTCACCGGAGTATCTAAGTTTATTTTTCCAAAATTAGCTGAATATTGGTGTTTGTTGGTGAATCTTAACAAAAACTTTTTATCGATCATATCATTATCTAATAAATATTAAAAAGTAGCGTTAAAATATGTGTAATCATTAATTAGAATAGTTACTTATGGAATTGAATCAAACTCTGGATGGGATTAGGTGCTAACCCTTATAGGGGTTAGCACCGTGATAACTAGCAAAAATCACTACGGAATATTATAAAATCAATACAACATCTAAGCTAAATCACTACTAATTCAAACTAGTAGTAGTTTTTCCCTTGGTTAGGACGGTGCTAACTATTGTACAATTAGCACCGTAACCCCTCCCATCAAACTCAATAGATCTATTATATGTACCAGTGCAGTCAAAATCGGGCTTTAAAAGTTAAAAGCTCACGGTTTTACTCTTCTAGATAACCAAAACACTTTCATTTACGCATAAAAACTTAATTGTATAAAATTGAATTAAATTGCGCTTAAAAGCTTACTCTTTTACGCTTCTATTTCACTGAAACGCTTCACACTTTTATGCTTTTAGTTCACTAAATGAGTATTCTTTTCATGGAATTAATTATAAAAATAATATGGTGCATTTGAGATTGAAATATACTTACCAGGTACTTGAATGCATTCTCAACTTCAATAGAGTAATCTAATTCTTCAGCTACGCTCTTCCCAAATTCATTAGCATAGAGAGGAAGGTGGCTTAGAGCATCCACATCAATGCAATTGTAAGTTCAATTGCATATGATTTTTTTTCCACCTCAATATTTTTGCAATCCAATTCATATGAATGTCATTGCACCTACATCAATGCGATTTACTTGCAATTACATATATAATTAAATATTTTATTTAAATTATAGAAAATAAAGTTAAAGGGAAAAAAGAATAAAAAATCTCCAATTTTAGGCCTTTTTGATTTGCATATTCAATTGAATTTGTTGTAAATATGCAATTGTAGCCACATCAATGCAATTGATTTTGCAATTAAAAACACACATGTCATGTCTTCTCGCAATTGATAATGCAATACCAAAGTGGATGCTCTTATTGTTAAGATTTATGTTTATGAACTTATTATTAAGAGGCTATTAGTTATTTTACAGTATGTGTAAAAAAATTACGCTTTTACGCTTTAATTCTACGCTTTACGATTTTATCATTTTTCCGCTTCTAGATAGAATCACGCTTTTTACTGTATTGATATTGATATGTACATTGCAATATCTCGACCGAAGATTGTTAGCCATATACATTACTAGCTTATAACCCGGCCCTTTGGCCGGAATGCTCATATTTGATTATTTGTATTTTTATGTTACTTTTAAGTCTATTAACCCGTTTAATCTTATTGATAATCATTCGATCGAAGATGATACATAAAGAAATAATATATAGGTCGAACATTCGGAGAAATATCATAATCATTTAAGAATATAAAATATAAAAATGTATCATTGACGCCATTTTCATAATGCTAATTAAGTCCCTGTTAAAATGCTATTGGTTAGTTTTCTTTGACAGTCAAGAAATATAGAGTATAAAAGCTCACTGAAATTCTCACACAATCCATAGATAGTTTGAAACTAAATCTTAAACCTCACAATCCTATATAAAGGGTTCAATGCTCTCCTTTTAGAAACAATATGTCACTAATCAAAAGGAAATGAAGAGTTGTTGATTCAAGTCATCTATATACTAAAAACTCAGCTAAGAGGGGACCATCACAACTTGAGAGCAAACGAAAAATCAGGGTTATCTCCAATATACGAATAGACTCGATCAAAGTAATAAGGCGCAAAATTAGACACTCCTTATCTATTAGTTCCAGTAGGTTGAATAAAGAAGCGACCTATTTCAAACAATCAATCAATGATTCCTCGTTTTAAGATAGAAATAAGTTATGACAGTTGCAAAAACCATAAACCTAAAGATCCAATAGCTACCACTCTCCGTTGTACAACCAAATTTCTATCTCAAGAGGCATATATTCAACCAAAAATTCAATTTCTAATCTTCCTTCTACAACTTCAGTTATTGATGAACTCCATTCTATTCGCCATGAATTGATATCGGAGTTGAAATCTTCTACTCGCCCAGCTTAAAATCCCCAACAATAAAATCGTAGTGCCAAGAGATACCTGAAGATTGATTTTCAATGACAGTCCTGTATTGGGAAGTGAAAGGCGCAAACTATTGCACGATGGATGAAATTTCGGAGGAAGTTAGGAAGAGAAAAGAACAAAGAGAAAAAAACACAAAATTTAAATTGAAAAATGCAAGGATACAACAGTAGTTACATAATTAGTTTCTTCCATGTTGGCCAATTACCCATTTACCTTTAGCAAAAATTAAGGAGAGAGCGAGAATTTAAAATTGAGAAAATTACATGAAACTCTACTATGAAAATAGAAGTATCAAGCTCGATAAAAATACATACGATAGACTTACTGAGCTTGCTAATTATGATGAAAAAGTCCTCTGATTTTCAGAGATTAACTTTGTCTATTTTTTGTATAAAAATGGATGCATTAAATTTGTTTAGTGTAATTGGTTGTGATTGTTATCTTTGTTTGAAGAGACCCGGGTTCAAATCTTGATATTGCTATTTTTATATGAAATAAATAATAAATGTGTAAAGACAAAAATGACCTTCCTACTTTCACTCTCGTTGCAGGAAATTTGGAATGGAGAAAAATACACAATACTCTACCATATATTAATGGAGGATAGTAAAATTCAATGAACCTTTGCAAAAAAAAAAAATACCTAGCCTCGAGCCCTAATATAATATTGTTCAATTGAATGCTTGTTTCTAGTGTATGCATATGTAGCTTCATCCACCTTGTACTTTATTATTGGATCAAGTCCATTACTTTTGAATGAACTCTCTTTGTGTTAGTGATGGCAATTTATACCCGCCCCGCATATATTATCCTACCTGACCCGCGATGGGGTGGGTATTATCCGACGCGCAATAATATGGGGCGTGACATGGGTATTTACTTCCGACCCGCTCTACTCCGCCCCGTTCTTGTCCCATTCTATCTAAATTTCTTATAGCATCTAATCACATTTCTCTTATTTGACTATTCTTCAACTAGTTAAAGTCGATCTTTCAACTAGTTGGACTCAATTACCCATTCTATTATCACTATTTTTCATTCATAAGTGTTTTCCCCTTCATTTTATTGTTAAAAACAAAATTTTGGTGTATTTTTTTCAAATAACATGTAAGAGTGGATTGCCCTGCCCCACCATGAGTTGTAGTGGCGTGGAACATGACATGATATTGAGGTACCCACCCCACCCCATTGCCATCACTACTTTTCGTGAATAAAACTAAGCTCCAATTGACAATAAAAAAAGTTGTCCATAGAAAATTAGACTTAGCATTCGTTAATAAATTTTGAAAATACATCAAATAAAGAGAATTCTAGTTTCTTTGTTGAACTTATGCTCAACTTATCTATTAATTAAAAAAAAAAGCTAACACAGAGTACAATATAGTTAATAATTTGAGGTGTCTACACACGAGGAATTACATTAACAATACGAATAACAAAAGTAAAATTAGTATTAAATAACAAATTCTTTTTCGACAAAATCAACACAAACTTGTACAATATTGTTGTGTGTATACTTGGTCTAGTATTATCAGATTAAGAAGTACGCTATTTTTTAATTTGAAAAAATGAATAGAGCAGAGTCTCCTCTGAGTTCTGCCATTGTTGTTATTATCATCACTATCATTATTCTATTCCTTTTGGTTATTATAGGTATAATATGCTCATCTGCTATGTTATTTTATCAAACATGCTCTTCTACTATTTTTTACATCAAATATGCCCCTATAATTTGGAAAAATGATCAAACATGTCCTTTTGTTAAAATTTCATTTGAAAAAATCAATTATGGAACCGACATTTAAAGGATCCGACATCGGCAAATGGGAAATTTTCAGTTCTGTCCCCTTTTTTATTTCCTTGTTCTCGTTAAAGTGAAATTATAAGAATTATTTGGCTATACAAAAGAACCAAAAATTCTAATGTGAAATCATTAGTGATATTTTAGACATTTGTGTCGTCCAAACCAAAGTTTAGTCGTGGTTAACGGTTTTTGGATGAAAATTTAACATAAGGGCATGTTTGATCATTTTTCCAAAGTACAAGGGCATGTTTGATGTAAAAAATAATAGACGGGCATGTTTGATAAAACAACATAGTAAAGGGGCATATTATATGTATAATCCAAATTTAAATGCACTAATAGCAAAAACATGGACCATACAAAAGGGAATCAGGAGGGTGTCAGTCATCTTCCCTTTCGAAAAAAATTTATTTTTATTTTTTATACCAGTGTAAGATTAATTGATCTACAAAACACTCAATGCCAATAATCAGCCTTTGCCACGTCAGCGGTTGCTCAAACGACCGCACAATTCGGAGGTCCTTTATGGACATTTCCAATCCATCTCTTTCTCGGGCTCTCTCTTCCGCTAGCCTACTGGAAACTGACTTCCCTCTCACACTCTATGAGTTCTCTCAATCGCCGTTGCAGTACAACAATCGAAGACCTCTCACCCTTGGTCCTTCTCTTTCTCGCATTTTGTTTTATAATCTCCCACCAGAAATTGATCGCCTCTCTCTCGCCGTCACAACACAAACGAAGACCTCTCAATTTCCCACCGTCGCCCTGTCTGTACTTCCTGGCTATGAGCTGTCGGCGTTCTGTAGCCAAAAGCTCCTGGAAAACCGCCTTCATCTGCTCTATCGTCGTATGTGTGTGTCTCCCACCTGCTGCCTCTCTTGTCGTCCCGCTTCGTAGTCATTCCAGCACCGTCCTTTACCCAAACCATCTCGGACAACCAGCCTCTCTCGCTCTTGCTGTTTGTCTCGATGCGCGGAGTCAAGAAACCTCCCTTAGCGCCTAATTGGAGCTATATCCTCTATTCATGTAAGTACCCTTAATTAGTGAATTTTTGTATTTTGGCTTCTGGGAATCTTTTCATGGGATTTCCGTGCCGCTATTCTTCAATTTAGGGGTCGTTTGGAGGTTAGGATTCTAGATGAAGGATTTAGCCAATACATGCATTGAGAAGATTAAGTCGTTTTTTTGGTCAAATTTGTAAAAGAATACATGCATTACCTTTTTGGGGGGCCACTCACAATCCCTCAAAATGAATTATTGTGAATCTCTACCTAAAGTTGAGATTCTAAACAAAGGATTGTGTCATATCTTTTTATTCCATTTTTGTCCCTGCTATCTTTTCTTTATACCAACAATAACCTCGTCCTCCACTACTCTTCTATCCTTGTCATCAAAATTCTAGGAAAGCCAAAAAAGGGAGAAAACTTCCCTGCTCCTCCCTTGACGACAGTCGTCGGAAGTCCACCAAAAGAAAAATCATTGAACTTCCCTGCTCCTTAGTCCACGCTAATCCTTGAAGTCCCACAGGAATCGCTGCCTCCTCACCATCATAACGGAATAAGCTTGGTAGCTGTATCTCGCCATCGAAATTCGTCGGGAATCGAAGAAGAAGAGTCGGCTTCTGTTGCGAATTACTACCTCACAAACCCAGCACCATGCCCTCTCCTCTCTTTTTCTCTTCATATCTCTTAGGATTTGAGTTGGGAGGGATGTAAGCAAAAGTAATTAATTGTGATGGCTGGAGTTGATTTTTGAAATCGGGGAAGCTTTGAAGTTTCTGCAATCCTAGCGGCAACAACGTGGTAGCGGTGAGACGACGATGATTCTTTGCTTTTTTTTCTTCTTCTTTCATTTGCAAGAACAAAACTTTGAAGCGTAAATGTGTATTTTTATTCAAAAAGGTGTGTTGCTTTTTAATTTATAAAAAAGTAGAATCATAGATACCAAACAATGTATTTGAGAAATACATTAATTTGCACAATACATATAATTACAATACACCAATTCATTGAATCCATCAATTTAGACAATCACAACCTCCAAACATGCCCTTATTTTTCCTTTTCCAATTGACGTTCGATCCAATTGTAACTATTACGTGTCCCCGGTTATGTTCTACAGTTGCTCAGTACTTTGACGTGATTTAGATCCAATTTCTGGATTGGGCTCTGAGGCCTGAACCACAGTTCGTTGAAGAATTTATTTCCCCTGACTTATTGGTTAGTTTTCTTGCTGGGATTTCGTGATTGCAGTAACGCCTCCAAAGCGTTGTCGCCGTGATACTTCTTCTAGCCAGAAGGAGGAGGAGAAGGAAGTTTCTTTTGGTGGTCCGACGGATGCATCAGAGTGAGTGTTATTACAGTCCCAATTCTGTACTCTTCTCCTTCCGCTCTTCTTTGCCTGTTATGAAGTTTCCATTCATGATTTGTACTTCATTAGTTCTAACTTCTAAGCATGATATAAGTATTGAAGTAGTGCAATTTGTGATGAGCAAAAGCATGAATTGAGATGGCATATTACTTATACTGGATTAATTGTAACTTCTTGGCAATGATATACGTAATGTATTAAAAGCAGTTTGCGATCAGCAAAAGCATGAAATGAGATGGCATATTACTTATATTGAATTAGTTCTACCTTCTAAGTATGATACATGTAGTGAAGCAAAATCATTTTGTGATGAGCAAAAGTGGTGTAGTTATAGATTTTAAATGGTTGCTTTTTTCAATTTTGTTTATTTACATTTCTTCTTTTGTTCTTAGTGTTCTTCTGAGAATTACTTACAGAAAGATGCTCCAGCTATCATGATTTTCCTTCTGCATGCTAATTGGTTGTTTGCAAGCTTTTTTTATCACTCAGATTTGCTCCTTTACTTGGTATCAGTTCAATGGAGTTTTTGGTTTTATTTGGTTTCTAGAAACTTGAAACCCTTTTTTGGCTTCATAAAAATGGAGAATTGGTTTGATCTTCTATGTTTGATTTTCCTTCCTTGGCTTCTGGACTTTGAACTCTTCTTTGATGATGACCTTTATCAAATAAAAGCAGAGTTCAAAAGACAGATTCCCACAAGGCCTGAGAAAGAACAAAGAAGAACAAGAGTGCAAAGTCCAAACGAAAAGGGACAGACGAACAGAGAAAATGCAGTACAGATCAGCAGGAACAAAAGGGAAAAAAGCAGGGTCTGCAATAGGGGTGTTCAAACGGTGTGGTTACCATGGTAACCGTTTTAACCAGTACTATTTGGATAATTTGGTTTGGTTAATTTGGATAATTGGTTTGGTTTGGTTGAAGTTCTTAGCTTGTTTGGTTTAGGTGGTTTGGTTTGGTTTGGTTTCAGACACTCCTAACCAGCCAAACCAAATTACCAGATAAAAAATTAGCCATATATCTAATATATACACATACTTAATACTTTGAATAACCACTCAAGAGTTAAACGTTCATCCCTTTTAGACTCATAAAATATAAAGCTTGATATTGTAACTATAATGTATATTTGTATATGTAGAGTGTAGACCACAACATACGACGCCTAATTTAGATAAATCTCATACATTATGTTGGATGAAAACTTGAAAGCAAGGTCCTTTTCAGCCTATGAAAATTGCTAAAAGACTAAGTCAATTCAAACAAACACAACAATTCATTAACCCATACCATTGTGATAAAATTTTGTTAGGTGAATACTTCTATACTAACCGTAAGATAATTATCTTAGTTGCATGTATTTATGTTAAGGATCAACTATAACTATGTGTTGATTGTTATGTTTTATTCATTATATAAATTTTGAATTGATAAATTAACCGAAATTTTTCTCACTTAATGATAATGTGATTTTATATTGGTTAATCTGGTTAACCAATTAACCAAACCGATTAAACTTTAGTTTGGTTAATTTGGTTGTTGTATTAGTTTGGACGGTTTGGTTATGATATTGTATTCCATGGTTAATGAAATTTAGCCTTATTTTGTTTGGTAATAACCATGACAACCATTTGAACACCCCTAGTCTGCAAGACCCAAGCCGGAACTAGGGGACCAAAGCAGAGGGATCCCTACGAGCTGGGGAGGTCACAAGCTGTAAAACCACCAGCAATGAGAAACAAAGATTGGAAGGTAAACAAGGCTGCAAACCACAACTCATACCGCACCAAACTAAAAAACTAGCTACAAGAGACAACCACCACGCGAGAATGGAATAGAAACCCTTCAAATAGACACTTCCAGTTTGTGTTAAGGAAGCAACAAAGCTGTCATAATTAATTATGCACATTGGAAATTCAAGTTTGCTACATAATGTAAAGTGCAGCCTGATTTTATTGATAATCATTTGCAGTAAAACATAACACTTGGTACACTACTCAAATATGACAAGGGATGGTTCAAGAGAATACACCAACAAAAAACAAGAGAAACAAATACACAACAAGCATCAATAACAAATAAACAGATAAGGAACATGTTTGTGGGTTATGGCAAGTAACTGCAATCTGCAGATTGGTTGGTGTTAAGGGATGAAATTCTTGAGTAAACATGACAATTACCTTTCAACATAATGCATAATATAGATGGATCTTATGGCCAATGCTTACTGATGAAATGGTCAAAGTTAAGAATTCATATTGTTTGAGTACTATTGCTCGAGTATTTTATACTTCACTGGCCGATATAGTACAACAGAATACACATACCGGTAGAATAAAAAATCAATCTTACATGCTTGGCAAAACAACACTAAAAATGGCTACAATACTTTTATGTCGTTGAACCATTAGTGATAAATTATGTTTTTTAATCCTCCTTCTGTTCTTCAAATTTCGAAAACCCCGGCCAACAGGCGGGCCCAATGCTAGTTGAGTGAAGAGGAATTGGGGAAGTATTTGGGTAAATGGTGGGTTGAGATCTGAGCAGGTCGTTCAATAGTTAATTATATTAGCAAAAATAATTACGCGAAAGGAAATACTTGGGGCCTAGTATGAAACTAGCTTGTGACCCGGCCCGTTGGCCGGATTACTTTATGTTACCCACTCGTGCAACAGGAGTGAAAGTGGGCGAGAGTGAAAGCGAGCGAGAGTGAGAGAGCGTCTATTTTTAAAATAAAAATATTCAAAGCGTTATTAAAACATTAATATTTTTATTTAAAAGTTTATTAAATATACTACTAAATTTTAGATAAAATACTACAATACATCTTTTTTAATTAAATACATACATACATATAAAAAAATTAATAGCTCATTCGAACGATTTGTTACTAATTTTATGCAAAATATTATATATATATTTTAAATTATTTATAAAAAAATAAAATTACATGTATGCCCCTCCCATCTCAACCTCTAAGTTTTCCCCAAATGGTGTCCTTGTACTCCCATCCCACAGTCTTACTATTTTACATCTTCTTTCAATTTTTTCTAGTCATCGATCGTCGACGCTTCGTTCCCTTCCATTTAAAGGGTATCGTCTATAAAATTTCACAATTCTAATATAAAAAATTCTTATACCAGTCCAAACAATCTCTAGATCAGTGGAAACGTCAATAATCTCACGAATCTATCTCTTCCAATCTAGTTCTGAGCTATTTATTTGGCTAAGTTCACAGCTTGTGTAAAAGATTCTAAATCATAAAGAGTATTAGTCGATCGCTAATGATTGGGAGATAATTTGTCTGCGAATCTCAATCCTATAGAGAGCTTGTATTGTCTTCAACTATTTTTTGTCAAACAATCATTCTTAAATTATTCCCTACCTCCTGCATCGAGATCCATATTTCTCTCTCTTTGCTATTTTCCTGATATACTTCTCATATACTTTTCCTTTTTAATTGTCATAATTGATTGCCAAATACCAACAATAAACTTGCATCCCTCCAATCTAAACCATCTCGAACCGGCCCAGGTCGAGATTGAGTGTTGTGGGCACCAACCTTCAAAAACTATCAACCCGATGAGCAAACACTTATAAATCACATATAAAAGATTTCAAACATAAAAAATATTAGGAATAAATTAATTCCTATAAATGGTAGAAATAAAATTACTCATTCAACAATCAAGTGAGTTGGCAGTTAGTTCATGGTTTAAATAAATTTATTTATCTAAAGAATTAAAATGCATAATCATGTTCATGTTCACTTATTTAGATTGTCTTTGATGTACAAATTCATTGACACATCAAAAAAATAATTTTGAAATACCGTATGAAAATCAATCTCGTCTCATGATTGTTGGATCAAATTGTGTATATTTTAAATGAATTGGGATTTTTTATATAGTTCTTGCATGATTGGAAGATAATATTTATGTTACTTGTTGTTTGTGATATTACTGGTAATGAGTTTGTATATTTTTTTGTTAATAGTTCGTATTGACTAATGACTATAGTTGAAGGCTTAGTATAATGACCAAAATCTACAATCCTGTGAGTATTTTTTTTTTGAACTTTTGGTTTAAATAAAACACTTCATAGCCTAAACACAAATATACAATCACTGTTGTGAAAATTATATTTTAGGAAAAAAATCACGACTTTAGAAAGAGGATTCCTAGCCAGTGCAGAGGATTATAAGGAACCGGATTGCTAAATAGCAACAACTTAATGAACTTCCAAAATCCCATCATCCGAACTTGCTTGAAACTTAAAGACCAGTACAAAAACTGAAAAAATTAAAATTTGTTGTTGATAAATTAACAAAGCGATTACTGCATCTGAACCCAGTAGAAGCTTCTTCTCATGAAGTTAATTTTTTTTACAAATTTTTGTTGGGGCTTGCAAGCTCGCTGCACTACTGAATTTTGCATGCATGGAGGGAAGAAGCCCATAAAAGGGACATTGATAGGAAGGCTAAAATATAAGGATCCTCTTGAGTTACACATTGACCTGTTATTGCCAAACTTCTTCTTGGGGCCCTTTACTTTCCTTCAGCAAACAATTTGGTCCCCTTCTTTAAACGAAATCAAGTTACACACTTCTTATTCCCGCCAGTTCATTCAGCTTTCATCCAAAGCAAAGTTAATCATGCCCTTCCATAAAAGAAGCACATAAAGAATGCAAAGTTAAAGCGACCCATCACTTGTATAAGAGAAAAAGAAAGAACTGTTTATAGAGTAGGGCTTGTCACAAAGCAAGCTTACCAATTTGTAAGTTGCCACTTTCCAGTTGCTTCAGATTAAATCCCAAACGTCTAAGCTCAATCCCAGCAAGATTAAATGAAAGAAAAAACACAAATTGTGATCACAAAAAGGTTAATAACTAATTTCTAAACAGCAAAGAAAGTCAAAAGAAGCCTACCAACGAAGAATATCATGAGTGAAAGAAGCCATTCAACTATCAGGTGTGCCCGATGTATCTTGTTTGGAGCCAAACCCTGAAAATTCAATTGAGAATTTTGATGTCCAAAACTGAGCATGGTATTAACATTGATGGCGGCAACATTTAACTTAAGCCTGTAGTAGTGAACAATTGTATGAGATTATTAAATAATGTCTCAAGCAGACTCAAAGTTGGACCAAAAGCCGGTAGTTAATACACAATATCAAGCTTCTCCATAAGAAACATGAAGAGTGTAGAGAAACCATTCTTCTAAACCAACTGACTTGTGCAGTTGTACCGTAGACACCACCACATCTGCACTTATAATGATGGCTTTCAAATTCACACAAAATGTTTTTGCCTGATTATCCATTTTATCACCAACTATCCACACAAAGGCATACAATATATATAAACTCAACAATAGAATGCCATCACACCAAAATGATACCCATTCAACTACTCATCACAATACACAACCCAAATGTCAACAAAAAAAGCTCCTATAAGCAACCAAAGCCAGAGATTGCATTACCCCATCCATCAACCACATTGCATACATTAAAGCGTTGCTGCTAGCGTTGTAATTTTTTTGAATAACTTATTTTTCAAGCAAGAGCTAATAAAATGGGACGACAACAATTACCGCAAAAATCTGGACATTAGAGATAAACTTTTACCTGCATACGAAGGAATAAACGAACAACAAAGCCCATAAGCAAATCATTGATAATGAAAAACAGAGAGGAGCAGGGCATGATAATCAGGTTGCTTTCTTTGTACAGTGAGAATCAAGGGTTCAAAATATTATAATCAAACATAAACACCACAAAAGAACAAAGAACAAAAGAGACAAATCACATATACATAGCTTTCGGACTTAAAATTTGCATTTCCACCGCAAGCAATGTCATAAAAGCAAGATCAAATACAACTAAAGAAGGAAACTACCCACATTGATTTGGCAAAATCATATCAAGGTCAATGTTGTTTCTGAGTTCAAGCTATAAAAAGGAAAAACTAACCATATAAACCAACAAATAAAAGATTTAGTAAGCAAAGGCACAAAATTCACAAAACAAAAGGAAAAATGAACGAAATATAAAGCCTACTTGGCAAATCATTGAAATTTGTCAACATCGCCCATTAACTCGATCCATCCAAGTTTCAGTCAGACATATCCTGTTAACAAATGACCATGACACCTGTGATAAATGAACAATTAGGAAAGGAAACAACAGCAATAAAGTTTTAGTTGAATGAATCACATTATTTAGAGGAAAAACTCGGAGCTGTGAATGGTGAAAAAATATGAGGTCAATACTGGTCCAGTGATTTTACTATGCAAAATGCACAGTAGAACCTAATGGAGTCAAAGATACTGTCCAGCTAAGACCAAAAGCTTCCATGAATGATATGCTGAAATGTGTAGGAGCAGAAAAGCAGAATAAGTTAAGGCTCTAATTTGGGTTATTTGTTCTCCATATTTCAATGACAGATGGAATTAAAATATGATATAGAGCTTTCAATGACATAAACAATAAGAACACCATTTTCAGCAGCCTGGATCTGTGTCGATGAACTCCAATTTCCTCCTCTCGTCAAAAGATGCAGCTCGGCAAGTGCATATTATATTTTAATACATCTATTTATCTATCGCCATAAAGCTATGAACTTTCTATCATTGGAGCCTATTTGAAACTCTTGGGACACACTATTTCCATTGCGGACTCTACAATGCTCAGTTCAGCTCAAAAAGGAAACCAATAGGACCACCATCAAATGTGCAAAAGGTAGACCAACCATCTTTGAGTGTCCTGCTGGTTTTGTTTATACTGCACAAGCATTTAAATTCGAGCTAGTTGACACTGCAAAGACGAAAAGTTCTTCCTAACAACATAGTTGCATTCCTAAAACCTCAATGCCATGAATGTTCAAGATCGACAACTGAAAAAAAAAGCAACTGGAAGAGAAAGAAAGCTAACCTCGAATCAATCTCTTGGCCTCCCTTTGATACTCATCCTGATTCTCCAATAATGTGCCCCGACACCGCCGCCGCCAACCACCATTTCGGTAAAGTGTTCTGCCTCCGAGCCAAGTACTTCTTCCAATCATTTTCCCCTACAGCACGACTCAGGGACGCCAATGGATTATCCAAAACCCCAAACTTCTTCCTCTTCGACCTCACGCCATCTCTTTCTATCGCCACCGCCGCCGTCGCAACCACCACCTCTCTCCCCCCGAGACTCCGGTCTCTCCTCACGACAACCTTCTCCCGCCTAAACCCTACACTCCGCCTGAACGCGAGCCCCAGGCCAATCAAAACCCTAACCGCCGAAACAAACACAAATCGACACCATGCTGTGAGTGAACGCTGCTGGGATACTGAACGATTTCGGCGGTGAAGACGCAGGACGGAGAGAGGAGGAGGCTCGGATTGAGACCGGCGGAGGACGGAGAGAGGGAGGCACGAATTGACTTACAGAAAAAATCAGCGGGGGCTGTTGGCGGTGAAGACGGAGGATGGAGAGAGGAGGAGGCTCGGATTGACACCGGCGGAAGACGGAGAGAGGGAGGCTCGGATTGAGTGGGAGAAAAAATCAGCAGGCCCGTTGGCGGGTGAAGATGGAGGAAGGAGAGAGGAGGAGGCTCGGATTGACAACGGCGGAAGATGGAGAGAGGGAGGCTCGGATTGACTGGGAGCAGGCCCGTTGGACGTCGCAATAGGAGCCGAGTCAATTTTTTTTGTTCCGAAACTACCCCTCCGAGAAACGCTCCCGAGGCAGCAAATTTGAAATGGGGAAGCTGTTTTCCCCTTCAGCATATTATAAGTAGAGTAGATAGATAGATAGATGGGCTAATGCATGCTTAATAAAAGGAAAGGCTAATTAAGAAGTGGGTTGGGCCAGAACTTATTATTTTCGTTCGATAATCTGATTTATGCAGGTGATGCTCAGGTAGTGCTCAGGAAGATTCAAGTGGCTCAACTAGATTATGCTCGTGGTGGGACAATTCTGCATGAGATTTGTGACCTTCGAGATTTATTTGAGTGTTTGAGACTCTGTTTGTTGGTCGTTAGTGTAATAGGATTGTCCATTTGGTGGACAAAAGATTATTTCATTGATCCCTTCGATTGTAGGGTTCAACCTTATTTCTGGGTTGTTTTCAACTACATAACTTCTCTGTATTTATTTGTTTCTCGTTAATACGAGCGATCTTGTGCTAAAAAAATAACTTTTTTTTGGTCAAAATCATTACGAGCCGTCCACAGCCCATCCATGCATTTAAACATTGGGTTAATACCTTAGTTTGGCCCGAACAATAGACAAACTTTCTACTTTGGCCCGTGGTATCAGAAATTGCTATTCTGGCCTAAACTATGTAGCATACTTTCTTATTTGGCCGGATGCGGGTTTGACCATCAAATTAGACGGTCAACCGAGTTGATCGTTAGACAAGGTCCACCTCACTTGCCACATCAGCTTTTCGGGAATAAAAAATTAATTTTGTATTTTGAATTTTTTTACTTTCTAATAATAAAAATAATAAATGAAAAAAATAATTTAAAAAGCTCCCCAAATTATTTTTGTTTAATTTTAGAAAGTAAACAAAACTCAAAAATTCAAAAAAACAATAATTGTTTTTCCCTTGATAGCTGACGTGGCAAGTGAGGTGAACTTTGACTAACGGTCAACCGAGTTGACCGTCTAATTTGACGGTCAAACCCGCCTCCGGGCCAAATAAGAAAGTATGCTACATAGTTTAGGCCAGAATAGCAATTTCCGATACCACGGGCTAAAGTAGAAAGTTTGTCTATAGTTCGGACCAAACTAAGATATAAACCCTTAAACATTAGTGAAGATCCAACGGCCAAAAATAATTTTGAGTTCATGGGGTGCCGACGCTTTTGTCTGCGGCCGATTGCTGCCAATTAGTTGGACAATATTTAATCTCGTAAGGAACTTAGTTTGTTAATTGCTTCCAACAGACTTTTTCATATTAAACAACCCACAAAGAATTCAGACCTGGGAACATTGGAAGTTCTTCTGTATACAACAATGGGAGGCGAAACAGGGGACGACGGAGTGGCCGAGTAGAATCAATTGCTGGAAGATCGTGCCAACTCGTATCAAACTCTGGAGGGATTGACCATGAAGGGGATAAGGATCGCGGAGCCCCGTAAAGGGTTCCTTCGTTGCCACTTCGTCGTCTCCAATCGCATAACCGTCAGTTCTGTTCCGTCTCTCTCTGTTCCTTAAATTGTCTTCTCTTCTTCTTCTTCCTCTGTTCCTTTTGGGTTTCTTCTTTTGTTTTCCTGTTCAGTTTGCCCTGATTGTGGTATTTTAATCAGGACCCAGATGGGAATTGGGAGATTGGAGCCATGGCGACACTGATTGATGCTGTGGGTGTGACTGCCGTTTACTCTTTGATCCGCCATCTCAAAGGTTCAATTGAATTGTCCATCTCTGTTCTCTCCACGGCCAAAGCACAGGTAAAGAGATTCGTCTTCTTAAGTTTAAAGGTTAGTCATATGACCAAAATGGGGGAAACTGATTTTCCCTCAAAGTCAATTACTGATCTCTCCTTTGAAGGTTAGTTGATCCTTAGGACTTGCGACTGACCCCATCCCTGAAATGTCACTAATAACACTCAATCAATCAATCAATCATTAATTCATTGTTATTGACCTCCTCTACCCAAGTTTGTATCAAGAAAAGCGAATTTTGAATGACAGGAAGAGATGGAGATAGAAGCGAAGATTGTTGGGGGGAGGGGAAGGCTGGTTTCAGTGGTGATAGAGGTCAGGAGGAAAAGTAACAGAGAGCTGATTGCCTTAGGGAAACAATGGGTCGCTAAAGCAAGTAAGCTTTGATTACTGATGGACTTTGATGAACTGTAATCAATCCACAGGATAGAGTGCAGGTTGCATAACTACGTCACTTGTGTTATGTATTTAGAAACTTTATGGATCATGGATTTCAGAGCACACCTTGCCCAAGCTTGATGTTTGATCGATCACAAATGGGGTCATTCACTGACAACGTACTATAACTCAGGCTCAGCAACATTTTCCAACTATTATAGGTTTGTAAAGCACAGTTGAGCGTCTGAAGGGTTGGAAACAAAAATCTTTATCCTGGGCGGCAAAGAAGACGTTGATTAAATCCATTGCTCTGGCTCTACCACTGCATGTGATGTCTTGCTTCAAGCTACCACTTTCTTTGTGTCGGCTTTTGGACAAACATGTAGCCCGTTTCTGGTGGGGGGTAACAGAAGACCACTTCCGTATTCGCTGGATGTGCTGGCGGAATATGTGCCGGAGTAAGCACGATGGGGGGTTGGGCTTTCGTCGATTTGAGCAATTTAATTAGGCGTTATTAGCTAAGATTGGGTGGCGCATTCTGATGGACCCCCAATCCCTGTTGGCGCAGGTTTATAAGGGTAACTATTTTCCAACAGGCACCTTCGTGGAAGCAAAGGCTCGGTCCCGCCCCTCATGGAGGTGGCAGAGTATCCTGTATGGGCGAGAGTTATTGGAAAAGGGTTTGAGATGGCAAATAGGGAATGGCCGGTCTGCGTCGCTCCTTCACTCTAATTGGATTCCGGCTCTTCAGTTTGATCCTCCTATGTATAACCCTCGTGTTCTACCGGCGGGAGGAGAGTGACCAGAAACTTAGCCAGTGGTTTGATCCACCGACCTGCCGTGCCATTAAGACTATACCTCTCCCCCGGTGCCCGGTAGAGGATAGGCTGATTTGGCATGCTTCCCCGGATGGGGTGTTCTCAGTGAAGTCTGCCTACCATTTAGCAGTCTCCCTCGAGAAGCGAAGGGGGGTTTGGAAGTCGACGGTTAGTTGGATGGATCGATCAAGCTGGATTCGTGTTTGGGAAGCGGATATTCCTCCCAAATTGAGAGTCTTTCTGTGGCAGATTCTTAATCGGATTCTGCCTACTACAGAGGCTCTTATTGGGAAGCAGGCCCCTGTGAATCCTAGATGCCCGGTGTGTTGGGCAAGTTCGGAAACTATGGAACATCTTTTTCTTGAATGCCCTGTTGCGAGAGCCCTGTGGGATTATTCTGGTTTGGCGCACCTAGGGGAGGGGCTTCCTCGTCATACGTTCCCTTTGTTCTTTAAAAGGCTGCTGACGTTGATCTCCCAACCGACTGTGATTATGGTTGTCGTGGCTATCCTCTGGAGGATTTGGAGATCGCTGAATTGGGTTGTCTTTGAGGGCAAGCAGTTTGGATTTCCGGCCCTTATGCGCCAGTTCCAACAGCAGTATGAGGAGTGGGTCCGGTTGCCTGCGGAGAGGGGTCTTTCTCGTGGTAGCCAAGAGCAGACCCGTCAAGATCGAGATAGCGCGGAAGGGGTGGTTTGCATGTGGGATGGGGCTGTGCGGGTGGGGTCTCATTCGGCTGGTGGTGTAGTAGTTCTGACCCCGGATCGGGAAGTTTTAATGGCAGGGGGGGGGGGGGGGTACAGTTTCCTTGGTTTGATGATCCTGTGGTTGTGGAGTTGGTTACTCTTCGTGAGGCGGTTCTGTGGTGTCAATCACTCGGATTTACGGAGGTCAACTTTGAAGGAGATGCTCAAGTTATCATTGATAAAATCAACAAGGCGGATTCTAGAGATAGTCGGTTAGGGGCTGTGTTGGAGGAACTCATTATGATTTTTGAAGGAAGCCCTGGGTTTAGTGTTAGATTTGTTGGTCGGCGTTGCAATAGGGTAGCCCATTTGGTGGCTAGAAAGGCCCTCTCTTTGTATCCGACCATGAGTCATTCTTTTGATTTCCAGGCCTGGCTGAATTCCAGGATGTAACTATCGGTTTTGATCAATCTAAGATTATCTTTTGTAAAAAAAAAAAAAAAAGTAAAGCACAGTTGAGCTATTAAAAATACAGAATCAAAATCAAGTCTATTTAAAGTTATTTTCTAGGATGTTTGGTTAGACTTTAGCATTAAAAAGGAATAGACAGTGACGAACGGGGAATTTGATTCACTGAAATATGGAACTTGGAAGTGTTTTAAACGCGCTGCTACGAATCGGGAAATCGCCAGAATCGAGAAAGTAAGAATATGAAAAACGAGAATCGAAAACACTACACACGATTTACGTGGTTCACTAACACGATGTGTGTTAGCTAGTCCACGGGCGAGAGAGAGCCAGTTTCACTATATCGAGGAGATTACAGAGGAGATGAGAAGTATTTATACTTCTCCATGTGTGTCTAAACCTAATTCAATATGGCAAAGAAAACGGTTACAGATCAGGCCACCCCTGACTATTCCAGTCACGATTAATAGTCCAATTCAAGTCACAGGAAGAATACAAACGGACAGATGTAATTTATATTGATAATGTGCCTCCTTAGTTTATTTTCACATCCTTTATTATTAAAAGAAAACATACATTATACATACAAACATTTCAAACAAAACCCTCTATAAATCTCAAAGAGCCTTTAGAATTTCATCAGCACTAGAAATTGCGGTCACATCTCCACCTTCTTCAATGTTTGCCACCTGAATCTTGAGATCATCCGCTAACAAAGCGAACCGTCGAGCTCGAACCCCAGCCCCTGCATCCATCGCATCGAGTTCAAGCCCGAGGGCTCGAGTGTAGGCTGCCGAGCCATCAGCTAGGAACTTAATGTGCTTGTTCTCCGGGTATGTTCTCTCCCATGCCTTCATCACATATGCGTCATTCACTGTCGCAACAAACATCAACGTGCCAAAATAAAACCCCATTATAGCCCAAATCAAAGAAAAGGAAACCCATTTGCTAACAAAGGGCTGGCTTCTGTGTTTTTACCGCTCAGCAGCAGAATTTCACTGACGCCTTTGGACTTGATCTCTTCTGCTTTCTCAATGAATCCTGGCACATGTTTCAAGCTACAAAACTAAATCAGCCATCGACTAATACAGCAGCAGGAGTCTGGTTAAGGTAAAAAGAGTAGTGATTGCAGATTACCTGCAGCCAGGGGTGAAAGCTCCAGGGACTGCAAACAAGACCATCTTTTTACCAGATCCAATGGAATGAAGGGACAGGCTCTGCAACTGGTCTTTCTCGTCCAGATACATGAGCTTGCCATCTGGGATTGTGTCACCTACTGCAATTGTTGGAGCCATTTTCTTGGCTTGCCTGCTTCTCTCTCTTTCAAGAAGATGAATTGGGATTCAGAAATGGAGTGTGATTATATAGAAATATTTTTGTTACACCTTTGTCAATGTTCTGGATTTGTTAATGCATATTTAGGAGCTCCTTGGGCATTATTTCCCATGTTGGCTGCTTGGTGGTTTACATCTGGTGAACTAGTGAAAGGAATATTATGGCTCTTGATTCCCATGGTGGATTGTGGGGGAAGAAGACAAACGGGAACTTACAGATCAAATGTTTGCGATCCATCTGTTGGTGTCTTTTCATAAAATGTCACATCCTGTCACCTTCTAACAGTCGATTTCGATGACCTGGACCGTACACTGGTCCAGTCCCATGCTGCAACTTTCAACTCCTAAAACCTCGTTTAGCAATTAAAGAAAAAGAACAGACTTGACCAGAAGACAAAGATCCCATCAACTACTGTCTACTGTAGTGGTGGATCACTTCCTCATGTTCTGGATATTCTAGATATCTCAATCTTACGTTTTCTTTTACCAAAATCTTTAATGCAGTCTGAATTATGTAAGATATCTGCTATGACTAAAAACAAGTTCCCTCCAAGTATGTTCAGAAGATGAAGGTTAAACTAAGAAGTTTCCACCGTGTCTACCAAAGTATAAATTGAAATCTCATTTCATATATATCATATGGAGAAAAGAGACTCCAAGCAATACACTCATTTGGAAATGCCACTCCACCAAACCCAAACACCAAAGGAACAAAATGAACATAGAAACCCCAAAAGCATTACAAAATCACCCTAGCTAGCTATCTCTATATATATATCTATGCACACCATTGGACATAGTTAATAAATGCTTCACTATTATCATACAAACAAAGCCATAAAGCTAAAAACACAGATAACCGAACAAACCTTGCTCAAATAACTTCTCCCAGTTAAGCTTTAATCTTCAAACCGAAAATGCTCATCTAATCACTTGTTCATGATCTTTACCTTCCAAACCATTACTTCTTCCATTCCCCATTTCAACCCCGTTCTCCTCATTATTCCCAACTTTCCTTGTCATGTCCTCCTCACAAGCTCCATAACTCCAACTGCAGACACCAAAGTAGACCAAATTTATGGCCCCCATCACAGCAAGCAGATAGTAGTAGTTATCATACCGAGCACGGTTTATGTTATCATTGATCCACCCATCCTTCCCGCCTCTTGAAGTCACCCTGTTCACAATACTCAGCACAACACTCGCCAGCAAGCTCGCCACCCCCATTCCAAGTCCAAACAGGCAGGAAGCAATGCTCGACATAGTCTTAGGGAACTCGGAGTAGTAGAACTCGATCTGGCCAATCGCGTTCAATGACTCTGCTAGCCCTAGCAAAACATACTGAGGTACAAGCCACATTGCAGACATGTTCACCACTCCTAGAGGGTTGTTCAAGTAGCCTTCCTCTATGGCCTTCTTTCTTCGAGCTCCTTCAACTGAAGCTGCCACCACCATGCTTAGGCACGAGACCACTAGGCCGAGCCCCATCCTGAGTTTCGTACTAAGCTTGACTGCCCTCCCACGTAGTTTTGAAGCAAGAGGAAGGATTGCTCGATCGTAGAGGACGACCCAGATGATTATGGTCACGACTAAGAACATGGAGTATGAAGCTGCTGGGATTTTGAACCCTGAAGTCAAGTGCCTGTCCATGGAACTAGCTTGGATAACTGGAAATGAAGTCTGGCTAGTGTTGATGGAGAGCATGATTCCACTAGACCATATGGGGAAGACCTTAATGAGTGCTTTCAGCTCTTCCACTTGCTGCACTGTGCATAGGTTCCATGGATTTTTTGCTGTTCCATCTGGGGATATTTCGATTTCTGGGTCGATCACTATGCATGCCTTGTTCAAGAACCTGGAAGTTCAATACAAATGTGTCAAAGGTAAGCGAGAATAAACACCTAAGGCATAATCTTTTAGGAGTTGACTTGGATTCTGACTGAACTATACTTGCATTGAACAAACTTTTATAACATGAAAGAGTTGGAACACTTTCAAATGGGTTACCTTAGTTTCTGGGAAGGGGCCAGAAGGTTTGAATCTCTGCCCACATGGTACCATCCACCAATGTTTCCAGAAGGGAAAGGGAGTTTCCTGTTCTTGTAAGCAACCACAGCTACCCGAGCAAAACCTGTGAGCAAACTCGTGCTAGCTTTATGCTTCACATACAAAGGGGATGCAACAAAGAAGAACACGGCTGAGAGGAGCATCAGGATGGCTGGAACCCCAAAGCCGACTCGCCATCCTAGGTGGTCTTGAATGTAGACAATGGCGGTGAGCGCAATCAAGACTGAAAGGGCAGTGGAGGCATAATACCAACCAAAGAAGGTCTCAAGGATCCTCTTGTTCTTGGCAGGGTTGGCTCTGTTGTCGACTTGATCAGCACCAAATGCCAAGGAACATGGCCTGATGCCTCCTGCTCCAATGGAGATTAAAGCCAAGGATGAGAAGAGAAGAGTGAGTTGGCCTGCTGTTGGAGTCGTGCTGCAGAGTGAAAGGGTTGCTGTTGTGGGGCACTGTGGTGGCTTTGCTTGAGGAATCATTGCTGTTAGCCACAGTAAGATTGTTCCCTGCATTGATGAGGTTTGGCTACCAAGTTAAATTAAAATGACAATACCAAAAGCATAAATGGGTTATTGTATACATGCATGGAAAGATAGCTGCTCGTAGATAGGGGTGACATGTTGAAGGAACAAGGGCTCAAGGGTAATGTAGTATTTTATAGGGATTACTGGATTGGGTTAGAGTCTGTATAATGTACTTTAGATCATCGTTAGGATGAAAAATCTATCAAAATGTCAACAAAATTATCTCTCTTTTATATATTCTCATCTAAGACTCTAATCCCCAATTCTAAATTAACTATTTATTCCCAGCTCTTTTCTCTTCCAATCTGAATTCCTTTCTAAAGTTACTTTAATCTTGGATGCCCAACATCATACCTACAACATATCTGGTCAGTTATTAGTGAACCAAACCAATAATATCTGTTAGGTCTCAAGTTCTAAATAACATTCAGTCAAAGGTGAGGGAAAGGAAAGGAAAGGTCAAAGTGAAAATGTAAAGGTCAAAGATGCCTCTATTCACATTTTTCTCTTTCTTCTTCCTCAATTTTCTGTTATGTGTTTACCTTGTCAATCTTCTTCACTTTAAAATTCAGTACCCTAGTTGAGAGTATGAAAACAAACTTTATGATAACTCGCAAGTCAATCCCTTTTATAAACCCAACCAGAAATACTACCAACCTTTTACTTTGTAAATTATCCAACTCTAATTCTCTTTACTAAGTACTCACTAATAATTCATATTTATTATATCATAACTATTGATTTATCGGTCGGACGGATCGTATATCAGTAATAAACACAGTATAGTTTTATCACACAATTCAGTATAGTTTTATCACACAATTCATTTACCATACCATAACACATTTCCAAAATTGTTATATATATGTTGTTGGGGAGTCATGGGAGAGGAGAGAGGTGAAAGAAAAACCAATGCACATTCAAGTTTGGGGTTATGGGTCCAAACAAAGGAAGATGGGGTCAGGAGGGAAGAAAGGAAAGACAGCACAGCACACAATCTTGACTATTCACCAACTCCATCCACCACCACAACTCAAAAGGTGGTCCAGCCAGCCTCTAAAGTGCAACTTTCCCCTGTGTTGTATATAACAAGCTTGTGGGATGGATGGATTGATAATAATTATTGAATGCCCAAATGCATTGGTCATAATCCTTTGGTGTTAAAATGTCTCTCTTGCTAGATACAGGGGATGTGAGAGGGAACATAATATTCCTCCCTGATAGGTGCATGTGATCCACTCTCATGTGTGTTTTCCCCTTTTTTCCCCTTATCTATAAAGTATTACAAGGAGATAAATTAATTGAAAAAATAAGATATCCCAATAAGATTAGGGTAAAATTCACCTTTACAATGCATGCCTAGAATATTTCGACCTTGTCGGATTGAGTTTACACACTTTCCTAATGATAATATTACATACGTGTTACGTAGCTCTAATAATTAGAATAATACCGCTTATCATTCCCCGTCAAGATAACATGGATTATCTCATCTAACAACCCTTGTCATCCTTATTAAAAATAAGGTCTATGCATTATGCATGTTCAGAAATATGAATCTTGTCCCTAATTATATCCAAATATGTCTACTAAGAGTGACATGTTGGATAGAAATATCTAAACATAATTTAGATATTTGCAGAATACCTTGATTAAAGGAATTGTTGGACAACCAATGAGAATGATTGGAAAACTTAATTTCCTTCCTAAACTTTGTTTCATAGGGTAACTTATAAAAGGAAAACTTCCTCTATTAGGTAGAGTCTTCAACTGAACCTATAAAGAGAAACAGTTCCTCCAAAGCATCACACTAATAAGGCACCAAATTGTAGGTAACAAATTGAAGAAAAATACCAATCAAATGTGAAGTATCAAAGCATTTTAGCCAAGAACAGACACCAAAGCCCAAACAAGTAACTTGTCAAAACAAAAGGGGTTTGACTGGACTAAAGCAAATAAGCAGAAAACAGAAACAGTAAATCTATTTGTTTTGTAGTTGTAATCCTGTTATTAATTATTTTCGACAGATGGGTCCAGAGTCCAGACCTTCGATGTGGGCAGATGACTTTTGTAAACGTATCCAAAAGAGAGACTGAAAAAGTTTGAAAATGACCCCCACTTACAATAACCTTTTACACACACATCTCCTTTTCATATCTCATATGGTATGGAAAAAAATGAAAAATTTTCCCAATAAAACAAAAGATAGAAGCTACTTTTTCCCCTGTTTCAAGTTTCAACCGGCCCACTCTCTTCAATTTCCCTTCTTTTATTTCATCAGTTTCTGATATATCAATGGAGTAAAGTATGTTAACATGCAATGTGTTTATATATGTCAGAAAATGGAGTTGATACGATTTCATCATAAGGTTCAGCGGTTTCGATACAGGTTCTCAAATCTTAGTGAAATAAGGGTTGATTTGATTTTGGTAATAATTTAGTTCAGATTGTTACAATGTTTGTATTTTGTTTATAATGTATTATTATAATTTTTTGTCGAATTTTCTGTACAAACAATCAATACATTGTTTGTTTAAAGTGACACAAACTATCATTCAAAATAATGAATAGTTAAATCTCACATTTTATATTAGTTTGTTGAGATAATTTGGATGAAATTGTTGTATTTCGTTTTGTTCCCACTATATCATGACATTTTCTACTTGTTACTTTTTTTATATTAGTAAAGGGAAAATTGATATCTTACTCAAAAACTAATCTAATTTATTTAAATTCTACAATAAATTTCCTATATCGTTCACAATACAACAATTCAATTATCACCGATACCAAACCTACCGTGAATGTTAAAAATACTACAGTAAATTCCCTCTGTAACAGAAAGAAGAAGTGTCACCCACTCATTTGACAAGAAATCTTTGTAACGGGGTGTCTGGGAAGGATTCTAAAAGACAATGGTGCAAGGAAGCAAGGACTTCTTTCCAATAATAAGAGCAAACAAACAATAATAATGAAATAAAAACATGGGAGTCACTACCACTGAAATTATTATGAAATAAAACAACCACAGGACCTTCGAATTCCTATAATTTATCCCCCATTTCACCATGTCCTCGGATCCTCAACGACCACTCATCTATAATCTATTTACTAATCCTTATTTTATTCAAAAGTAAAATATTTTACCAACCATGGGTCCATATTCATCGAAGTTAAAAAAAAAACAATACTAAAATGTCAGCCGGCCAGTTAGTCAAGCATTCAAACAGTAACGATTCTTTCATAGACCATCTCATAACTAGATTCATTCATAAATCGTAATAGGGACAGTCCAACTACATATGTTTTGCATATTATAATTGATTAGAACACAAATCCCGAGATGGGCTTTCCTTAATCAATCATTAAACTAATAAAAACACCTGACATCCTGCAAGCTAGCTATAGCTAAACCAGTAGCTACTAGCTCTAGTGTACCAAATATCACCATCTTAATCATCACTGAAAGCAAGATTAGCCCAAATATAATACACTAACCTAATTAGCACCAAAGTTAATTAATAGTTAAAAAACGGGAAGAAGAAGAAAAAAAGGAGTGTGGCTGAGTTGGAAAAAAGGCAATCAAGTTGACTAATCACTGACCAGGAGGCTGGAGAGGGAGGCAAGGCCGATGGTGAGGAAGCGCCCCAGGAAAGAGTCGGACATGAAAGCGCCGAAAAGGGGAGTGAAGTTTGTGGCAGCTGACCAGAGGAAGAGAATGTTTGTCCCTTTCGCCACTCCCATCTTGTAATCCTTCATCAGATACATTATCATGTTGGGTGCTAGCCCGTAGCTGGCCACCTTCTCGAACGCCTCGTTTGCTGCAATTGAATCGATCGAAATTGATTAGGATCGATCAAGAAAACCAGCATGTGACATGACGGAAAGGGAAAGTTCAGAGGCACAGCAGGCACCTGAGTTTTTTTGACAGTTCATCAAGCATATATCTATACACAGAAAAGGGAGGGGGGAAAGGAAAGGAGCATTGAATGTCAATGGGGCCGGCCCTTTTGTGTTTTGTTTGTAGAAATGTGTACCTATAATAAATGGCATGGTGATTAGGCCGCCTTGCTTCCGGGAGTTGGCCGGCGAATCGGTGTTGATTTGGTTATCGGCGGCGTCGGATGCGGCATTGCCGAGTAGCAGGGCGGCGGGCGGTGGTGGCGGCAGGCGGACCTGATCTTCCAGATTCTTCTTCTCCTTGGTGTTGTCATCCTCCATTGTTTTGAAGTGAATCGAGGAGAAGAGGGAAAACCCAGAAAAACCCACTTCTCCAAATCTGGAACGAAGCGAGGGATTGGGAGAATGTGGGGGAAGGGGATGGAGGAGAAAGAGAATAGCAGGGCAGAGCTTTTGTTGAGTGAGTGAATGAGTGGGGAGTGTGGAAGTGATGGGGGAAAAAAGCAATGAGAAAGACAGAAAGATGAGAAGGGAAGGAAGGAAGGGAAATCTCTATTCTTCTGCTTCTCTCGTATTGCTATTGGGCATTGCGTGTGAGAAAGCAGAGAGGAAGAGTGTGGGATTTTGGTGTGAAGAAGGAAGGATGGAAGGCAAGAAGGGAAGGGGAAAGCTGACAAGCATTAAATAAACAAGGAAGAAAAGGACGAAACCTTCTCCCCTAACCCACATTGCCCATTGCTCTCTCTCTCTCTGCAACGTTCCACAGTAAAAAAAAAAAAAAAAAAAAAAAAAAGAAAGAGGAAAACTTCACCATACCACCACGCAACCCCACCTTCGAAAGCTCAATTCTTTAAAAATTCTCTGTTCATGGAGTAAAATGTTAGATATATGTGTTTTTGTGCATGTCAGGCTATTCGTGTAGAATATTTTTATGGTCATATGATGTGGTTAGATTTGATGTATGTTAATATCGGCGGTGCAGTCAATAATGAACGATGATGGGAGGAAAAAGTTACATATTGTTTGGTAATTATGTGTTTTTACTTATGATTTTGAAAAGGCATGGAAAGATGTGGAGGTTTACTTGTACACATTACGTTTAATAATGTGGTATGAATAATCAGTGGCGGACCCAAGGTAAGGGAGGGTGTGTCGTCGCCCGAGAATTTTGTGAAGGATCTACATATTTTCGGTACAAAAATTTTAAGTTTTGGACTTCCGACAACCCTTCGATAATTATAGCCGACACACCTTCATTAGACTGGAAATTTTTTATTATTTAAATGAATCAATCTTAAATTCTAATTAACAAAATTAATTTAAATTTGTTTAAAATAACTCATAATCATATCAATTGTTATAAAAAAATCCCACAGGTCATACCAATATACATGTGTGCTGGGATGGGTCCTTTCATTAATGGAGAAACAAAAAAATTACCAAAGCCCAAGCGACAATTGTCGAGACTCACCAGAATACTTGCTTTTGAAGTTGGTATGACTTTATATGTTGAAATACAAGCTGCGAAAGAGCATTTTCAGCTATGAAGATAATCAAGAACGATCTTCGAAATCGGTTGGGTGACAAATTTATGAATGATTGTTGTGTATATTTGAAAAAGATTTGCATTGCAGCATAAGTGATGAATGTATTTTAGAGACATTTAAATAGATGAAAAGTTATTTTTATTCGTTGTAAACATGACATTGTGAACTTTATAAATTAATTTTAATAATTTTTAATTAATTTTTTATTTAATTTTATCGGACACACCTCTCCGACAATCCTAGGTCAGCCACTGTGAATAATACAATTACTTTTATGGTGCTTAATTACACTTAAATCATTTTATGTAGGTGAAGATAGAGCTGCATATTTGATAGGGGTATTTGAGGGGGAAAAAATTATAGTAGGAATGACATGTATGCAATCATTGGAATCTAGCCATCGTTATCAGAGTCTGGTTTTTTTTTTTTTTTAATTCCTGAAAGTTCCTAATATGCATTAGGTTATTTCTGGTATTCATTATACCGTTTGTGATATAATTTGTCAATATCAAAGATTTTGATATCCATTAGATTATTTCTGGTATCCATTTGTCATTTTATGGTATTAATAATTTTTGTTTGTCAGGAGTATGTATGCTACAAAATTAATGGTTTGCACTAGAAATGTTTTTGCTACAAATTGTTGATGATTATCGCTGGTAAGCATTTGTCGAGTTTTAGTATATGATTATGCGACTTCACTAGTATTGATCCATAAGTCTTTCGTATGGGCGATTATTGGTATAGATTTTCCGCCACCATACTAGCCATTGGAATCTGGCGATCAAACATCTGTGTCTGTCACCTGTCTCGACAATTAGAATATGTTTTTCTTACCGGAATATAATTGTTATGTTATTATTATTGCCATTTTGGTATTGAGTATTTATGTTATGTGTTAAACCAAGCAACAAAACAAAGTGTTACTTGTTTTGGGCTCTAGTTTTTGAAATGATAGAAATGGGTGAGGAAAGTGTCATTGGTATCACAGGAGTAGAATTAAAAGCTGCAGAATGGCATGGGATTTGAGATTTAGGAAGGTGAACCTCTGCATTGATTCTACTACTGCGATTAACATCATCAAGCACAACGACAATGTCGCCCACAAGCATGGTCTTCTCACACTCGAGACCAATAGGCTTCTGGCTATGGATTGGGATGTACACATTTCCCATGTCTATAGGGGGTGTAACAACGTAACGCTGCTGACTTTATAGCTCACAAAGGTCGTGACCCTTCATTTTGGAGCCCATCGTTTTGATATTTTTGATCTGGGACTTAGCCACTGGCTTTCTTTTGATGTAATGGGGATCACCCATGAACGTTAAATTAAGTTAGGACGCCATTGGTGTCTGTCTTCCTACAAAAAAAAGTGTCATTGGTAGTGTGATAGGTAGGGGGTAAGGAGTGCATCGTTGAAGTTTATTGACGTAACCTTCAACAATACAAAATATGTATGACTCAGTTTAAATAACATATATTAATATTGAGACTAGAAAAAAATAGGAAACAATGTGTCAAAGATCATTTACAATAAGATCAAGAGAGGAAAAGAAAAAGAAATAGTGTTGAGAATAAGAATTCAAAGATTAATAATGAGAACTTAAGAGAAAAAAAAATATTTTGAAAGTGAGTCTAGCGGAATTCGATTCATAGATTTTTTTTAATAAAATCAATCCTACAACTATTAAGAACTCAACAACTAAAACTTATGCAAAACAACGCGTGATGCACTTAACATAGTTTCACTAGTTTATGCTAATTTATATTAGGTTGTGATAACTCAAATTATAGTTTTCTCAACCTCCTATATTTGACACATTTCACTTACTATCGATGCATTCATAGTAGTTTTTGTTATATTTTCTATGAATTTTGTAATTATTTGATCAATGTGCTTGTTTTAGACTTTGATTGTGTTTTAGATTCCGTAGTTGAGATGACTTGTTCTAGGGAAGTTGGTCTGGTCGATTATTCGATTCGAGCTATTTTCGAACCAGAAAAATAACAGGCTAGGTCTGGTAAACCATTTGAACCCGGCCTAAACTACTAGTTGGTACTCAAAGGGTGGCTTTCTATCGCTCGAGCTACTTATTGATAGACGTGAGGGTGGGATGGGAATAATTATCTCTCTCTCGACCGGAAAAGACAAATCGAAAAAGAGGATTAAATCACAATAAAGTTTATTACTGTTTAAACTCTTTTTCAAAACTCGAAATTTAAATCTCGTATAATAGAATAAGAAAACGATTCGGGCTTCGTCCAATTTCTTACTGGGATCTTCGGACTTCAAACTGGAACAACAAGTGATTTAAAAGAAGAACCAACGAGGAAAAAAAAAAGGAATATCGAGTGGTACTTCCACTATTCTGTATGCCTTTCAAGGCTATAAGCCGCCCTTCCCCCCTTTTATTTTAGGGGGGTACCGTGAAACAAGCGAACTGTGATTGCTTCCTTCTTAAAGGCTTGCTGATAAAAGATGGGTGAGTGAACGAGCGTAGAATACGAGGCGGGGATATAAAGCTTAGGGACGTATACTGCATTAATGTCTGTCCGTGGGTGGAAATATTAGGGGTTTTAGACCCTTTGCTTTCTGCCCTTTTTCGTCATTGCCCTACCACCTGGGCAAGAACCGTCGTGCTTCCTTTCCTTTAGCTCACCCACAAACACCTTCATGGTGCAATCAAGTCCTTTTGTTCATAAAATTCAAGAGGCCAAGCTGAAAAATAATGTATAGGTTTATGTTGACAACCTTCATTAGAATTTTTACAAATATTTAAAATTCCCTAAAACATTACTCTAAACATGTCTTTGTAGCCCAAAAATCCTGATCTAAACAATCAATTAGAAATATTGAACTTTAAGAACTTAATTTCATTTGCCTAAACTAACCCTAATAAAGCACACATGTATTTGTTTAAATTTAAGGATTATTATATTGACTTAAGATAATTATAAAAGGGCTTGTTATTTTTTAAAGGGAACCTGGAGCATTTTCATTAATTAGCAAGAGAGGTTACATTGTCCAACTTTAGCGATCTAATAGGATGATCGTGGTCCTATCTACCCAAACCTACATTTCATTCCATATTGTTTTCACGTGCGCCATGGTATGGGCCGCCACGTTGGCTTCTCTTGGTGCCTGCTGCCATGAAGTCTCTCCCAACTGTTCGAGCAATCGGCGTATGTTTCTCCAGACAATTTCCTTTTCAATTCTGCTTCTTTCGGCCTGGGTAATATCTACCACAAGGTTCAAGCAGTCTGTCTCCAAACTCGGGTTCATTAGATGAAGTTGAACCACCTTATGCACACCGAGCTCAACCGCCAAGGCTTCTGCATCCTCTGGATCCCATATGCATGTAATAAACTGCTTTGCTACTGCAAAAAGAAATCGACCTGTTGAGTCTCGCACCATAACACCAAGCCTTGCTCCTCCTCCCGGCAAAATACCCACGTCCGAGTTGATTTTAATTCTGCCAAAGGGCAGTGCAGTCCATCTCTTCACAGGGGTAGCGACCTGCATGTTGTGCTCCTTTTCTTGCCTTAACTGATAATCAGCTAACATTGAACAAATGAGCATTTCGCTCTTTCCATATATTGTACAGGAGGACACTCCATGACTCCAATAGGCCTTGCTCAACTCCATCAATCACCGCCTTAAACCAAGCTAGGCAGTCTTCGCCAACCTTCTTCTCGAAACAGACCGCCACAGGAGATGATCGCCAAATGCGCCTTCCCCAATCACAGTCGCCCAATGTATGTGCCTAAGTCTCAATTTGATCACAGAACGGGCATCTACCACTCCATTTGGGATTATGAGCATTAACTTCCACACTGGCGGGGAGTGAATCCTTAGCAAATCTCCCGAGGAAATCCTAACTTTCGGGGGAACATTTTGCTTCCATAGTTTCTTCCATACAGGTAGGAATGGCAATGGGTAGGGTCGGGTGCGGGCTTACCCTATACCAACTCCTAACCCGCCGGGTAGAGCCTCCTAAAATACCCGACCAAATAACCACCGGGTATGAAAATTATATAACCATACCCTACCCACCGGGTAACCACGGGTATTCGGGTAACCATGGGTACGAATCCTAAACTATGAACTTATACACATATATGCACATACATATTGTTGTCCATTAAAAATTCTCAATACTTGTAACTGTTCGCTGGGCGGGTATAACTAGACGGGTACTATCGATTACCATACCCATACCCTACACTTTATTTTGAAACCGGGTATTACCCTTACCCGCCCCTCAACCCGTCAAAGAGGGTAATTATCCTCGTTGACCGGTTACGATCGGGTAGGGTACCCATGGTTACGGGTTGGATTGACATCCCTATATACAGGGTGGCTGCATCTGGCACAACTATTCCTTGACGTGCATTTTCCTGTTCGACATATATACGATAAGCATCCTTCACAACAAAGTCGTCATTTCGACTGGGTGCCCAAATCTGGATGTCTTGTTCCATTATGTCACGTAATGGGATACTTTTCACTGCTTCCTCCATTTTTTTCCAAGCATGCAGCAAGAAAAGTAGAATCCCATTGCCCCGAATCAGGATCAATAAGCTCTCGAACCCTTGCGTTAGATGGCAGCCCACATGGGGAGGAGACAATATAACCTTCCAGGGTCGTGGGTACCCATCGGTCACCTCATATTCAAAGACTATCACCATTCCCAATCCTCCATCGAATACCACTGCTAAGGAATTCTTGGGCACTTAGTAGACTCCTCCAAATGAAACTTGTCATATATCCAAGTTCAGCTTCCAATACAGTCGAGTGTTTGCGATACTTTGCCGTCATGATCTTGGCTATTAAGGACCTCGGCCCCTAGTGAAGGTTCCATAGTTGCTTGGCCAACAACGTTGTGTTGAAACTGCATAGGTTTCTAATCCCCAAACCACCATTCTCCTTAGGGATCTCCAGCTCCTCTCTCCTTAGCCAATGAGTCAATCTCTCTGTTCCTTTCTGCCCCACCAAAAATTATTAATTAGCTCGTGTGCCTCATCAATAATTCCTTCGGGGATTCTGAACACTGACATGAGATATGTCAGTTGGGATTGTGCTACTGACTTAATCAAAGTCTCTCAAGCCGCAGTTGACATAGTCCTCTCTTTCCAACCTTTAAACTTCTTCCGTAGTCTATCCATTATCCCCTCGAAGATCTCTTTTTTTGACCTCTCTGCTTCTGTTGCTAATCCCAGGTATTTGTCCAGTTTATTCACCGTCTTCATGTTTAACACACCACCAATCTCCAACTTGCGATGGGTTTTGATATTTTTGCTGAAAGAGACTTCAGACTTCTGGAAATCAATCATCTAGCCCGATTCTACTTCATAGTCCTTCAGGATTTTCTTCAAACATAAACTTTCCTCCACAGTAGCTCTTCCAAAGAAAATGTTGTCATATGCAAAGAAGAGGTGGGATATTATTGGACCTCCTCTTCCAGGCTGCATCCCACTAATCCTCTTCTCTAGAGCTTGGTCCCTTATTATTGTTATTTATTACACGAAAGATAACCTTCGCCATACCTACCAGAGTCACATCCGACATCGTCTTCTGACTTGTAGGAGTCGTCTGACCTTTCTTCCTGCTGCTCTCATCATTTGTGTTCTTCGGGACTTGTGTCTTCCGTGGCATCTTGGTAGCATTTTCATTCTTCCCCTGGGTATTTCTCCCTTCCTCTACAACATTCTTCTTTGTTGCCTCACTCTTTTTATTTCTCTATTGGCACTGCTTGGTAATAGGCTCATGCTGAGCTAGCTGAGCATTGTCCCCCCTCCTCGTAAGCATGCAGCACATTAAATCGGTTACTATATGTCCCTCGTCTTCCCTATTCCATTCCCCCTCTCTTCTCATTCGCAGCCAACTTATTACTCTGTCTCCATACCTTCTTCTTCACCACCATCTAGTCCCCATAGATTTGACTAGTAGGTAGTTCAGTAGTTTCCGGATCCTTTCCCATCTTGTCTGTGTTGTTCTCCGGTTTCTGCTCCTCTTGGGTTTTATTTGGACATTCATCACTATGCAGTCATAGCATCCACATTTGCCGCACAACCTATGAAGCCCCTCATAACCCACTATATACGTTATGCCTTCAAATCTTGTACTAAGAGAGAAGAGGTTTTGTTAGGTCTGTTTCTACACAAACCCTTGTGTATATGATCCTCGCCCGCATTATTGTGGCCTGGTCTACTCTGATTGGTCTCCCAATCCGTTGATCTATACGAGTGACTGCTTCCTTATTAAAAAATTCCACTGTAACTCTGTGAGCTGAGTCCATACCAATTACCATGGCTGAGTTGACATTAAATTTCCATGGGTTAAAACCCTTATACCAGCGTATCGCAGTGAGGTACGTGTCACCGATCATCCATTGCCCCCTGACACTGCAAACTCATAATCCTCCTTAACTTTGAATCTCACCGGATTGCATCCATTAGACATGTCGGAAATTTTTATTGCTCCTCTTTGTGCCCATAACGACCACAACTTGTTGGATAGTGCAATAAACGGGATATCACGTCCCAGACCCTTGACTATTAGAGTCGATCGCCACTTTCTTCTCCAGTCAAGCTTTTCTTAGTCCGTATAAAGGATGGTTGGGCATCTCGGATCATCTTCCTCAGCAATATAGTCATATTCCTCATTATTGGCCATTTCAACATCCTCTATATCAAATTCAGCTATGTACCAGTCGTCACCTTCATCTTTGCCTTGGAAAAGCTTCGTCATTCCATTGGTCCAAGCTCCCTTTGGTGTATCAGCTTTGGTTTGAGTTTCATTGTTAGCACTATCATCTATCATCTCGTCATCCAGCTGTGCATCTTTAGTCAGGTCGACTGCCCTAGGTCACTTCTTCTGATGTTGGGTTTCCTGGTCCTGCACGCCTTTTACAACCGACGAGGACGAGGCAATATGGGGTCTTGTGGAACCCGACACAGGGCGCGGGGGTTTCGCAGCCAATTAATACCTTTTCATCATCCTAATTATTCACCCATGTTTTTTGGAGAGGGACGGCTAGGGAGGAGGAATGACGGCAATGTTCAGTTGGAGAAGGACACCGGTGAAGGGACTTTCAAGAGGCGGCGACCAGCGATGATGGGGATTAGCAAGTTTCGTTGAATTTAAATTGATTAAATAAATCATAAAGAAGGTTAAATAAATGATAATTTAGTAATATTATTTTTATGTTAGGGCAATAATAGTAAAACTAGGGCGATGTTTAACCATCCAGTTTTGGTACTGAGTATTGATGTTATGTGTTAAACAAGCAACAAAACAAGGTGTTACTTGTTTTGGTCTCTAGAAATTTGAAATGATAGATATGGGTAAGGAGTGCATTGGCACCGGTCACTAGAGACGTGTAGAAAAAGAAATTAGTTTTGGTTCATCGTCATCACATTCTGCCTCTAGTAATATTACTTGCTCCTCATTGGCACCTGTCACTTATTATCGATTCATTCTTAGTACTTGTGTTATATTTTCAATGAATTTCGTAACTATTTTTATCAATGTATTTGTATTAGATCTTGATTGTGTTTTAGATCACTCACAATGGTAAGTGGAAAAATGAAAAATCTGTAAAAAAAAAAAAATGAGTGATTTGGGTCTAGAGCCACAATACAGAGAGTGGGAAAATCGAGAAATGTCCAAAAACAATTTTGGTTTAAATCAACTCAGTAGTGACTTTTTTACCTTACTTTAATAATTCTATCATTATTTTATATAACAAGTCAAAATTAATTATGACGAACATTCTCGATTTTTTTGGGAGTAAAAAATTTTCATCGATAATTAAATATGATGGTATCAATGACTAAACAATTATGTCAAGAATTTAAATATTGATCGTTGAAAAATATTATTTTAAAATTTTCTCCTAAAAACTTCTTTCTTCATCCCCAAGTAACGAAATTCGAGTTCAAGTCAAACAAAGAAGGTTTTTGATAGAGTTATGAAGGAAAAAACCCCAAAAATCCCTTCTTCCATTGTATTATAAATAGATGCTAAGGTTAAACAAGAACACAACAGCAACACAAACACCAAACACCTTAGACGACACGAGTTGAAGGCTCGAGGCTAGACCCTCAAGTATATGGGGATTTATAGACCTTTAGCCGCAATTTTGGCCTTTTCTTGCAATAAAGGTTTCCATCAATTAATTCGTTCGCATCCATTAGGGAGACGAAGTTTTGTCGAAGTTCAATGGAGATGCATTCATCATCGATGGTGGTATCATCTATCTCACTTGTTTAAGAATGTGAATTCTATGATGCTTCATGAATCACTTTTAATGATTTAATGATATTTCATGCATGTATCTCCAACTATCACACCAAGCGGTTATCACCACAACCACTTTCCTCTTCTTTTTCTTCGAATTCTTGTGAATTATTTTGAGTTTGCATCCACCCAAGGAAGTATCTATGATATTTAGATTAAATTAGGAGCTTGAACAATAGTTATTGAGCTTCAAAGAGAATTTCACGATTAAAATTACATGTTAGAGTTCTTACTTTGATAGTGCAATTTTTGGCTACGTTTAGAACAATTGGATGCTTTATGAATCATTGATGATAGCTAGAATACTTAGAATGTGTGACGTGGATAATCAGTACAATTTTAGTGACTTATGAATTGGATGGATTGATGAGTTTAGCAAAAGTCATACTTGTGAAATAATGTGCTTTCAAATTTCGAATAATATGATATTCAATTTCTTGAAAATTTTAGTGATTACCTGTTTGGATTGAATTTTATTTTGCTTGTGCCAAATGATCTAGTCATTCTGTATGCATGAACCATCAATTGGTTATGTGAAATATGTTGATTTTTGCATGTAATATTAGAAAAGATGGTATTACCATAGGGTAATAATCTATTATACGGTTGAATGTGAGAAATGTGCTCAATTATTAGAATAGATGGTTTTATCATTTATCATCTACTCTATGAATGCTTATCTAATAATTTTTTCATAAATATCTCATATAAGAAGCCTCAATTTAAAGTGGGGGTGAAAATTCCCTTTTATATTTATTTGGCCTAATTTTCTATGAATGTATGAATTATAAAGATGTTCGACAGAATGATGGGATGCCACAAGGGCAAGACAAAGGATGAAAAAACATCTTCCTCTTGCCAACCACTATCGACTTATTCACCACAAGTTGATCCTATGGAGTTTGAATCTCCTAGGCCTCATACGGTTGTCCTCGGAGGAATGAGCATCATAGTGCAAGAAGGTGAGTGCATATCAAAGACGATGAGAGGAATTCTAAACCGACAAACTCAGAATCTCAATCATATTTATTCGTATCTCATCTAGTGCCACTGGGAGATTCTTGTTCGAGAGTTGGACGATCAAAGAGCCATAGTATGCATAACCAACAGGAGGTTGACATTCCATATATGGTTGACGGTTCAGAGGAGGAAGAGCTCAAGATTAATGATTCATTGGTACTTGGTGGTCCATCTTCGTCTAATGCTTCAGCTTCCACCATGCACTCAAAAGAGAAAGAAAGAGAAGTAGGAATGAGCTCGAGTGGAGACCTATGTTTTCATGTTTGATGGGTACTCTCTTTTTCTTTTGTTTTAATATGGATATTATTTTGGATATGGAGCATTAACTCTCTCTCCTTTTTATGCTTTCATTTTTTTCTCTTCTTTTGTTTGAATCCATCCTATACAATGATGGAAATCGTTTTCAGTAAGCCATCTATAACTACTACGAAACAAAACAAAAAATGAGGTAATACGTTCCAACCCTTTACATTGCTTGCTTATGTTTTTTTCATTTGAGAAAAATGTCAAGTTTAAAGTGTGGGGTGGAAAGGTTGTCATGTTTATTTCTCATTATGTTTTATACTTGCTATATGATTAGTCATGATTTTCAAAATTTATTCAATTCTCTTTATCCAATAAGTTATGATGTATACGTGAATTTGCATAATGCTCAATATGCATTATCCATCTATTGGTTTGAGTAGTCGAAATGTTAAGTTCAAGTTGATATATGAATTTTTTCAAAAAATTTCTCGAGTCTTGCCATCCCGTATATGCATGTTCCGTTCTCATCTTACTTTGAATTGATGAATCTAGGAATTTTATTTGATTTAGAGAAACTTATATAGTGACTATAAAGGATGTGATGGTCAATGGGACATAATTACCATTTGATGTATATTAATAATGTGCTATTTGATTTGTTTTTGTATTTCTAAGGATTAATATCTGAAATTGGCTCGAAATTTAAATTAAATAGACTACTTTGACTTGTGCTTTTTGAAATACCCATCTCGACCTAAAACTATGCATCTAAACTAATTAGACCCCATCGGTGAATTTATATTAAATTAGACGGTTAACATATTTGACTATTAGTGAATTAGCCTGCTTCGCTAACGTGGATACCATGTAGACAATAGAAATTAACAAAACCCCAATGCCTTAATAAAATTAAATAAAAAATAACAATAACCCCTAACGGAGATGATAAGCAGAGCTGTTAACGATTCTTCATCACATTGGAATCACCAAATCTAATTTTAAGAATCTTGATTCCCGTAGTCGACAATAGCGAGATAGTAGACTCGCTAGTCCGAGTCCTAATATCAGAATAATGGTTGTCACCACCATTAATCATATAAGAATGGGGGTTCACACCAGGGATGTGCGCAAGATTATTGAGTTAGAGGTGCAGTGGGGGAGGTTAAATGTTAAATCGTCGGAGAGTAGGTTACCAGGGAAGGGGCCAGGGATGTGCGTAGGCTCACGAATCAGATGGGATAATGCCACATTTTTCTGGTTTAAATGAATTTGTTTTTTTTTTTATCATTTGGTTAATTTTAAATAAATGGCGGGTATTATTTTTTAAATTTTACTTAAGTATATTATTATTTTGTTAATGTCTTCATACACGTGGCATCTATGTTAACTATGTTTGGTGAATATAGGTTTAGATCATCTTCGAGATATGATGAAGAGATTAGAGAACCCCTTTGGATTTAGTTTGGAGAAACTTATTCTTTACTCCAAACATATCCAAGAGTGATGTTGCCTTCACAGTATTCCTCTTTTGGAGAATATGGAAAGGTCGATGCAAGGCCACCTATGGTCATATTTTATACCAAGCGCAGCTCATGTGGAGTAATGGGATATGACAGAGGTACAAAAGGTTCAGAAGTCTCAAGGAGTGCAAAGGCAAACATCGCGTTCTTCCACAAGACAAGGTTCTCAGTGCAGGTATTTTGGTCCGCTTTAATGGGGCCACAAAAGCACATCAAGGTTGTGCAACTGGATTTGTCGGCTTCACAGGTGATGGAACAATTCTTTTTGCCTTTGGCAAAGCTTATATTGGAATTACTGATGCCCATATCTCGGAACTGCTTGCCCTTCATGATGCCATGAATTGGTGCCTTACTCATAATTTCGTTACTGTTTCTTTTTGTAGAGATTCCCAACTAGTCATCACTGATGCTACTTAAAGGAGGTTTTCACACTGCAGAGCAGGAGGTGTCTTAGAGGAAGTCCACTCTCTTTCCTCTTCCTTTGAGCCAGTCTCGTGTCTTTTCGCTCTTTGGAGCTTCAACATAGTTTCCCATTTCGTGGCAAAACAAGCTCTCTTATTGGGAGTTTGGTTGCTTACGGACTACCGTTCTTTATTATTATTATTATTATTATTATTATTATTATCTTATTTTTCATTTGTATTCCAGCAATACCCCGGGGGCTTATCTTGGTAAAATTTTTGGTGATTTGTCAACGAAAATGGTTTTGACTGTCAAATTTGACGGTCAACCCACGAGTTTTGACCAAATTAGTTTAGATGGTGCATAGTTTAGGCTAGGATTGAAATTATAGAAATCACAACCCTAATAGTCTATTTGTGTAAAGTTCAGGTTAGTTTAAGATATTAACCAATTTTTAATAATGTCAATGAGTCTCCACCTTTTAAAAGTTTTTTAGTAGGGTGTACTGTACTTTCTATCAAATTCAAAACTAAGAAAAGTGACATGAAAGTATGATCTATATATTTTCATACAAGGAAATATAGTCTAGGGTAAGCTCAATGCGTGAGACATCCATTCTTGACACAAAAAAGGATTTTAAAGAATAACTAGTTGCATTTCGGTTCGCTCCCGTCTGTGTTGGTTCCTCCTTAGTAAAAGTAAAATTTCCACCCATTGAATGGATTGTCAATTTGAGTATATGTTTTTGAGAGCACAGATAAAGCTTATAACACCCCTCAATGTCATTGACCCTCCATAGGAATTGAGGAAAAGGTGTTAAAGAAGTACTCTGACAAATGCGGAACTACATAAATTGCTCCTCATCAACCAATAAAGAATAATGCTCTAGTAAACTCCGCACACACGAAAAAAGTGAGAAAGCAAAGACAATATAAAAAAAAAAAGAATGAATTTTGAAAGGGGAAATGTACTAAAAGGTATGTATCGAAAGGTTGGAAGAAGTATTTCTAACTAAAACACTTGTTTTTCTTAAAAAGCTTCACCCTATGTGTTATGAGACTCGTGCATGGTTGGTCATTTATGATTGAATTAATTTTTCAGTTATTCATATTGATGCAGTTAGATTTCTCTTGTGCTATTGTTGACCTTTTAAGATCACTTGTGATCCACTAGCTAAGATCAAAATCTAGTAACGTTGTTTAGCTTTCATTGAGCTGTATGATTATGAGTAGTGTTTGCTTGGGAAAAGCAAAGCTAAAGTGTGGGGTATTTCAGACAACACTCAAATTATAGTGTTCTCAAACTCCTATATTTGATACATTTCACTCTATGATCGATGCATCTTTAATAGTTTTTGTTATATTTCTATAACTTTCGTAACTATTTGATTAATATGGTTTTTTAGAACTTGATTATGTTTTAGTATTCTTTTATGCCTTTTTATATTATTTTGTGCATTTCAAGGTAAAATATAATCAAGGATTATTTGGATCACCTATTGGATGAAGTTGGAGGACTAAATGGTCAAATACAATAATATTAAGGAGGTTTTAATTTGTCAAACGAAGTCCAACTGAGGTGAAACCCTACTTGGAGTCATTTAAGCCCAAGAGAAGCTTGTTGGGCAAAAATCAGAATGAATGGAGCAAGTCCACCATGGCGGGTCTAGCCGTCGTCCCACCACCGTTGGATCGAGAAGGACTGATCTGTGCCAAATTCATCGAGAAGTTATCTTGTGAGCCAAGCAACCTAGATCCAGAAAGAAAACCATGCCGCGTCCAACCGCCATATGTCTGCCTCTAGGCCTAGGGCTTTGGAATCTTGTAGAAGCTTCTTTCTTCGCCTCCAAGTCAAGGAATCCGTGTTCAATTCAAACAAGAAAGTCTTTGACCAAATTTATTACTTTGAGATATACTACAATCGCATCAGATTGTTAATATATATAATCATAATAACAGATGGAAACATAACTAAAGAGACTTTGAACCTTTGTTTCCGCCTATGAAATATAAATTAGAAGTTAAAATGGATACTAAATGTTATCTTAATTTTACTTATTATTTGGGGTTACAAGTTGATATTAAAAGTAAAAAAAAACATGTTATTTTGGTATCCAATGCCAAGTTTCAATGTGGGGCAGTGGAATAAACTTGAAATTGCGGGTTATTCAATTTTTACCTTCGATCCTTCATGTTGGAATCTAGATTTGCACTTTGAAAATTCAAATGTGGCAAGGAAAATCAAGAAAGGGGTCGAGGAAGAAAACAAAGGATGCGCTATAACATAAAAGGCATATATAATATACTTATTTGAGATTGAATTTACCAATCTATCGATGATCAATTTCAAATACATATCATTCATCATCAAAAGTTCTAACAAATCACTCAAATTATATCACAAAAGAAATCATAATTTTTTTATGTAAAATTCAAGTTAGTAATTAGGCCACACAGAGACGACAATGAGGCTGGGAAACGAAGAAAATGAAGCAGAAATAAAATTAGTAATTCAAGTTGAACGGTCTTAGTTTAAATTGAAGTCTTTTTTCTTAAAAATTTACAGTTAAAATAACGAATCGATGGACCAGTAAAATCGAAGTGATTCTTTGGTTTCATGTCTGGAAATTAAAAATCATTCGCTCCATCTAAAGTCGTGCAAGCAAAAAAAAAAAAAATTTCCTCTAATATAATTGGTTTGGTGATTTTACTAGTCCATACACTAACTCGAATTTTTTTTATGGTTAATCAAAATTGTATTGAAGCCCGGGGAGGTGCAACTCGCAACCTCCCTCTCAAAATATCAACGTTTTACACTCCAATAAACCTATACCAGTAACTAATCAAAACCAAAATAACAGAGTCTATAAGCCCAACATATCCTTGGCCATCTTCTGTAATTCTATTGTACTGCCTGTGTATAACTTGAATTCCTGCAAAACCGTGGTTGAGATTTGAGTAGGGTCTGAAACTCTTCTAGTGCCATAAACTCGAGCACATCTCTCTCTCCAAACTTATGCACAACACATCGTCCATAACAGCCTTCCAACTTTAGCTGTCGAGCCTGTACCCGACCATCTTTGCGTCACCCAGGCCAAATGAGAACTCCAATCTGGGAAAAGAGGCCACCTGCAGATCTTCTTTAACACTAACGGGAAGATCTCAACACTATAAGAACATAAAGAGAAAAGGTGATCTCTACTTTCAAATCCACCAGGACAAAGAACACAACAATTTTCACCTGCCAATCCCCAACTAACAAGTTTATCTTTCGTGGTAATGCGATCCAAGACAATCAACCAAACCAGCAGACTATGCTTTGGGATAAAAGGCTTGCCCCACAGAACAGTACACCATTCAACAGGAGAGGATGGAACACGAATGGAAGCCCAAACTAACTTAACAGAATATTTCACCAGTATTTGACCATCCCAAGCCAGATTATTACCTGTTCCAGATATGTGAGTGTGAGCCAATCCTCTGCATTTAAGCACTTTCTTCCACACCCATGAACTGACTGAGCTTGCAGGAATCTCCCATATGTCACGCCCTTTAACCCTATACTTCTGGATCCAGGCAACCCACAAAGAACCAGCCTCAGCAAGCAAATTCCACAAGTGCCTTAAAACACAGGCCTTATTCAATGTCCTGAAGTCCCTGATCCCTAATCCCCCTTCTGCTTTGAGCATAGCAACTTTAGACCAAGATACAGGTGCTTTCTTCCTCCCATTCAACCCAACTCCCCACAAGAACTTATTGCACACCTCTTCAATTGACTTCTAAACTCTCATTGGTAATAGGAAGACAGCCATCCAGTATTGAAACACACTAGTGATAACAGAAGAAATCAACTGAATTCTCCCAGCATAGCTAAGAGTCTTGGCTTGCCAAGTGGTAATCCTCTTAGTTATTCTACTCACCAGGATGCTACAATCCTGAGCTGACAATCTACCAGATAGAAGAGGAACTCCAAGGTATTTCACTGGCAGTTCCCCCAAGGGAAACCCTGTAAGATCTGATATCCATTTATGCTCTTCCTTTGAGATTTCTGCACAGAACAATTGGCACTTGGCCAAATTGCATCTCAACCCAGAAACCTGGTAGAATTTATCAAGTAACCTCTTTACCCCAACAACTGCCCTGACTGAACCATTTGAAAGAACCAGTAGATCATCCACAAAACAGAGGTGAGTTATTCGAAAACTTTTACACCTAGGGTGATAAGGAATAAGATTTTGAGAAACATCCCTAGCTAACATACAAGAAAAGACCTCCATGGCAATGGTAAATAGGTAGGGGGACAGGGGGTCCCCTTGCCTTAACCCTTTGCCTGCTGGGAAATAACCACAAAGTCCCCCATTGAAAGCCACACTCAGCATAGGGGTTGTGACACAAGCTTCAATCAACTTAATAAAACTCACTGGAATATTCATAGCCCCCATAACCTTTAACAAAAATTTCCAATCCACAGAATCAAATGCCTTCATCAGATCAATCTTCAAAACACATCTAGAAGAAATGGAGGTCCTATGATAAGCTTTAACCAGTTCTGTTGCCATAAGTATGTTGTCACTAATGAGTCTACCTCTAACAAAGGCAGACTGGCTAACCCCAATGAGTTTAGGCAACACTGAGGAGAGCCTATTTGCTAACAGTTTCGAGATACCCTTATAGACAACATTACAACATGATATTGGCCTAAAGTTCTGCATTCTATCCACCACTTCAAGTTTAGGAATCAATGCTAAAATTGTAGAGTTTACCTGCCGAGGCATGATTCCAGTCTGAAAAAAATCCAAGACAGTGTCTTCAACAGACTTACCAACTACATTCCAGTGCATTTTGAAAAACTCAGCTGTATAGCCATCTGGCCCTGGAGCCTTGTCATTCCCCATAGCCATGAAAACTGTTTTAATTTCCTCCCTTGTAACAGGGGATGTTAATATGTGGGCATCATCCTCTCCAAGTTTGTGGCAAAGTATATCCTCTAAGTAGGACAGTGGAGTGTCCTGAACCAGAGGGTCGGCTTTACCTAACAAACCTTTGTAGAAATCAACAGCTAGTTGACCCATAGCCTTCACCTCAGTGAGCACAATCCCCTCCTCTGTAACCAGCATTTGAATAGTCTGTCTATGGTTTCTAACTTTAACCATACTGTGAAAATATTTAGTATTGGAATCTCCCTCAATAATTCTTCTAATTCTCGATTTCTGCCTGCAAAATTCCTCTTCAGCCTTCTGCAACTCTCTGCAAACCCTTTCCTGATCCAGTACTGCATTAGAAAGGTGAGTAGTTGGAATAGCAAGCACATCCTGCTGCATAGCCTCAAGCTTAGCTTCAGCTTCCTTAACTCTTGCAGAAATCTCAGAATATTGGGATCTATTTAAACCCTTAAGTTTCAACTTTAATGCCTTCAACTTCTTATACAATTGAAAATATGGGACACCCCTAACTTCAGTTTGCCACGCTTCCTCCAGCAAGCTCTGGTACTGAGGATGCTGTCTCACAGAATGTGAAAAATTTGAATGGTTTTGGTAAAGAGGAAGTCAAGG